CTACAAACATCCTAACTATATACAACTATTCAAGAGGAGATACAAACTGAGTTCTAACTACTAGCCAATCATAAAATAGGAAACGGAATCGTACGATGTGATAAGGTGAAAAGGAACTATGATGTCATGAGGCTGTGAAGTTCTGGAAGGTTCTAGGAATCACGTGATATAGAAGCGTCTATTCTTCTGCGTCATAGAAGACGTCTTCTTCTACTTCCGTTATTGTAGTGGTAGGGTTAGGGTTAAGGGTTGGAACATATGTCGGGCGATTAGGAGTTAGCGCTGGGAATGGGCGCTTAATACTTGTAGTCGAAAGGAAAGAATAATGGTTTGTGTTTGGAACTCGTGACAGTATGCTTCAAGAAATTCGGCGTCCAGTAAATGATTCCAACAAGCGTGAAACAAATCATGCCGACAGTGCGTATGGAGAGCTGCCATGCCACTCTTCGATATCCGAGGTAACATACTGAGGACGTCCTTGATGCTATCAGGAAGCTGAAAATTCAAGGTAAGAATGACGTAGAACATGCGAGACAACTACCTACCGAAGGTAAAAATCCGACAAGGTGGCATGCACCGGACTTGGGTGCTGAATGTGCATACTTCGTTAAATTTCCAAAGTACAGGTAAAGCGGCCATGCCTTGGCTGTTCCGAAGGTTGCCAGATGGGTGGCATCTGAAAATAACATCAGTCCAGCTATAACACGTTCGAGTGAGCAGCCGGGTTCTCTAGGCTGTCTCTGCAGCTCATCCTGGGCTTCTAGCCAGGAGTCAGAGGTATACAGTTCGTCGAAGACGCGCTCTTGATGACCGTCCAGGGGATCCTTCCAGATACGCTTGAAAGGGAGAAGGTGAAACACGTTAGCTTGAATGTCAGCGAATGCCGAACGAATCACCGCTACAAGCGGCCGATAATGGAACCCTGGAATGTGAAAGGATGTAGACGGATCGTCTTTGGACTTTGTGGGTATGTCGATGGTTATGTCTGTCGCTAACCAGTCATCCGGGAAATCAACAGGCCCCTTTCCTCTGTCCAGTGCGCGCAAGCTCTTCCTTGCCGAAAACCCATCCAGGTCCCTTGGGTTGAAGTCCTCCGCTTGGAGCACGTCTTTAACGAGGCGTGTTACCTCAATCTCAGATTTCTGATGACTACCAGAGTTCATCCACCTCATAAGGCGGTAGATGGACATATTAGGGAAGGGATAAGGCGGCTCAGAGACCCAAAATGATGTACTGGTATCCGCATCAGCGGCCGTTGGACAGGATTTAGCTAGTAGCGAAGACGGAATGAATCTGTCAGGTTCGAACGAGGGTCGCCTGGGGTATTGTCGACAGAGTCCGACTACGTTAAACGCCGTTTGAAGAGAATCGCGCAAGGTCAAAAGTACCCTCTTGATTCGGTGCTGCGGCAGATTCTGGGATTCGGTCGCAGGTGGCAAATTATTGCCAGAAGAATGATCTGAAATGTTGATGTCTTCATCGGCGGGTATAAGGTCCTCGAAATGTCTTGGGACCGTCCTACGCGTGTATCGCAAAGGTCCTCGAACTGGGTCTAAGGCTACTGGTAGTGGTAGCGATTCATAAGCACTATCATTCACGTACTATATATAAAATGAGGTACACACCTGCAATATCATCATGATCCCGTTCAGTCGAAGTATGGTCCATTTCGATATCGAAAACATCCGGGTCCTGGAATGCTGGCACAATGGCAAACGTAGAGGTACTAGCATCAGTGCGACCGTGACTCAGATCGGAGTGACTGGCCCGGGCTGGGTTGATAGGTTCAGCCTGTTGCGCACCGAACAAGCGAGGTCCGCACTGAGCTATAGGTTTTATGCCGTGATTCTTTGCAAACCGTGTCGGTCCGAGCTATGAATTGGAAGAGTAGAAATTCGATCAAATTATGAAATTCTTTGGCGAAAACTTAGCCTGGACTTACTATGGGCAGCTGCTGTGGGGTTGATTTTTGCAATGTTTGAGCTGACACTCTTGCCCGGTCCCTCCTTTTTTGCGTAGCTAACATGCTTGCTCTCTGGTAATACTTGCAAGTAGAGCGGTGTCTGTCAAGTCCGCGAAAATCAGTATCCCTCTCCCAGGAGCAAGATAATGCGCCGCAGGACACCATTGAAAGGATGAAGATGAAAAAGAATAAAGTCCAAGGTGGTCGAGAAATATACATTCTATCTCGACTGAACTTGAAGGTCATGATAGCTCATTATCAAAATGTCGCGATAGCCTGGGAGTGAGTCCTCGCCGCACAAGTCAGTGACTCAATTCGTCCTCATTAGGCATTGCCATATTTGTGCTAATCTTTCTTACCGCGATACGATCGAACCTTACTATGCATATGATGAAAAACGCGGAAACAACACTTTTCTACTACAAATCTTCGAACTAATACATGCATATGGAATGATAAATTCTTAGAACGCCCTACGAGCTTTAACGGATGTTGACAACGGTTTGTGTCACTGGACTTTGAAAGTTACATTTGTGTGACTGCACGAGATGCGGTGTGCATGAACTGGTGGTAACTAATAGTACATTTCTGGGATCAAGTCTAGTACGTAGTTGACAACGGAATATCGATAAGATGATGAGGCTCGTACTTTAATATAATGATCCAAGGAAACAAGACGAGTGAGAAGTTGCTAATTAAAATGCGAGCGTAACTCAACCAACGAGGAAATGACTTAAACTTGAATTAAGATGGCCACCCCCTCAGGCTCAGGCTTGTAACCCGGCAGCGCATATTTCGCCTTCTGAACTCTCTGAAGCCACGCATCTTCCTTGCGCTTCAGGAGCGTCAAGAGTTGAGTATACTGGCGGACTCGATTCCGCGCTGCTAAATAGCTTAGATACACCGTGTCAACGCTATACTTGACGAACAGCGTGTCTTGCTCGTCGTCTCCCATGTCGATTCCGTCAAGCGCCATCTTGCACAAACAATCACAGTCAGTGCCCGACGTAAAGTGGAACAAGAGGCTCTATCGTACCATATATGTCTGGTGCTCGCGTTTATGCCCAGTGCTTTCTATGTTTGCAATTAATTCGGCCGCTGCGGGCATATCATTTATGCAGCCTTCATGGGTAAGAAAGTTCCCGACGCCATGAGGAGAGGATGACGATAAAGTTGGTGATGAATCTGATGATGACATTGTGGGGTGATACTAGCAATAGTTGAGGTCGGGAACTAGACATTCAACAATTTAAATATTTAGTGAGAATTTTTGATCGGAGTTACAGTAACGGTGTTTCAAATCAAGCAAGAACTGTGATCAGAGCAAGAACGGTCAGTTACACGGCCAATCGAAATCAACTAGACTGTTTAAAATTGATCCTGCTGTCACGGTAGACTCGGACCCGTGGTGCGTGGTCATATCTTCGTCTTTATTTATGTACATCATGGACTTTGTTTGGTCGCTGTAATATGATTATTTTCTGACTTTCTCCTTACTACTGTGACTGACTTGAAGTACCTCAGGCTGGTACTGGATTTGTTCAAGCTTGCTGGTGAACGTTTTCGTTGTGTTGATGCACAAGTTACAATACTCTACGGTGCGGCAAGATGATCGTGATATCCGAGTCCGACTCGGATATTTAGCGTTCACAAGAAGTTCAATTTCAACTTGAAGTTGGTACAATTCAAACTTGACCCCCCGGATAGTACAGCTTGAGTACAGCTTGAAACTGGTTTAAGTTGACTGCTATCATGGTCATGATCGACTCCTGACTCGGACTTGGCGGATGTTCAAATCATGGCCGCATCCAAGGCATGCTGCCAGTGTTCGGGGCTCGGTTCACCATGGCTCCCAGGCTGTTGCCAATGCTGGCTGTCGACAACTCCACGTCACTCGTCTATCGTCGACCTTCCCCTCTCGTGCATTCTCAGGGTTTTCAAGTTGGAAGTGCGGTGACTGGGGATGGTTTAAAAGTCAGTGTATGTTGGCTGACTCCTGTCTCTCGCAGTGCGCGTCGAAGGGCCTCGTGTCGGCGGCTGTCTTCGACTGTACCTCTGTCCCTACACCCTTCCTGGTCTCGATCGTCCGTATTGTGTTTCGCCGTCGGATCTGTCACGGTGGGCATGCGCATTTGGAGTTCACTGGAACATAATTGTATGTTGGCCGTTGTCGACCCTTCTCTCGATCATCCGTATTCTGGTGTTGCACGAGGGTTGAAGTTCGCCTACTGCGGCTAGGGCTCACCCCTCCCTAACCACTGCCCGTTTAAAGTACCAGGGTGTTGGCTACTTTCCGACATTCATTTTGTTTCGGAGCCGAGCAATGTGCTTCCGACACCATATTTTCACTCAATAAAAATTACAGATCCGAGTCGTAGTTTACACCACCTCAGTCACCGCGACTTTGCCATCGCTGCGGCTCGTGTCCAATTCACCTCCGTTATAATACTGACGCAACTTTTAGGATGTGTTTGTGCACGCGTTTGAATAGAAGAAGGCTTCTGCGCGTACTAGACTTCACGTACTAGTACTGGTAGCCTCGCACAAGCCTCGTGGGATCGGTTCGACCAGGGCCCTAGCAGGCCCCCCACCCCCTAATTTAACGTGAGTTCTGCTTGGGATTTATGAACCCGAGGTTTGCAGGCTTATGATCTCTCAAAGTTCAACGTTCTTCGGACCCTTACCCCTGCCGCCTATTCGATTCACAATCCACCAGGGTGTATTCTGCTGTTCGAGGCTTGAGCCGAGAACACTGGTTGAATCATTCAACTTAGCAGCAGGTAATTGTACGTCATTTATTCTTAAACAACGATGATATTGACATAATGCAACCCCACCACAGCTTGTATTATGTACATAATAATGATTCTGTATCTCATGGCAAGTTTAAATACGTTGGATTTTGAATGCCAATCGTACTCGGAGTTTATCATCGTACTGTGACAATGTTGCCGTTTTTTCTGAGTACCCGCTGTTGGACTGTCAGTCAGCAGGCTATTCAGACGGTCACCGAGTCGTCGTACTGCTCAATCGCAGCATGCCTGCAGGTAAGGGATTTCCCCCCCCCCCTTTCAATTGAAGATGCACTAAATGATTCGTATGGTGCTGATAGATCGCAGGGGTACTAGTAGTCGCCGTCACGGACAAAACTACAAGTTTGTTGAAGTTGACTATGCCGTGGATGTCGCACTTCGGAACAAAGCGACGCGTGTTGCAAGGCAGGAGTATAGCATCGATGTCTCGATGACAGGCCCGGACGACACTAGTACTTTTTGTCACTATATTCCGCCATCACAGCCGCCTTTGCCCGCACCCCCACACCCACCCTTACATCTTCCGCCAGGTCCACCGTCCCCCGAAACGCAATCCCCATCTCCACCACCCATTCTTCCATCACCATCACCTCCGAGTCCATCACCGTTCGTTCTACCACAGCCATCTCCTCCATCTCCGTCTTCTCAATTACCACTCGTTCTACCACCCCCGTCTCCCCAATCACCGATTGTTCTACTATTTCCACCATCGCCACTTGTTCTACCATCCCCATCTCCGCCATCACCGTCCCTGCTACCGTGGGATTCACCCGTACTCCTAGCACTTCCAGTGCCAATGCCGGCCACAAGAATCGGCGAGTTAGATGATGAGCCTGAGTTAGTAGTACCCGCTGCCGCCGACCGTGATGAAGGTCAGCTTCAAGTTGAACCTGAAACCCTCCCGGGACAACCTGAACAGAATTGGGACATGGAACAGGTGGCCGACATTTGGTCTTACATGAAATTTTGATGGAGGATGGCTTCTACCCTCGCATACTAGTACTACTGTCATTACCGTTTAAGTTCAAGTTGCATTGAAAGTCTGACTCCCTCAGATTTAAATCATTTGATCCATTAGGGAATACCAAATTAAGACCAACTATTTGTCATGCAGTTGCCCGCGGTTGTCTCCTATTGATTCTCGGCATTTACCGTAATCATGATCGTTATCATTTGTAATAATCATGGGAGCTTCTTCAAGGTTCTGACCTCAGTGCCACCAGACACTCATCCAGCACACATCATGCCTGCAGCCATAGTGGACCGCTCTGGCATTGTGCATGATCGCAGCTCTTATACCTCCAAGGCTCCAAACCATTTCAAACCCTACAATACCAGAAGCTTTAATGCACAAGCGACACGCATTATCCCCTCCAGCAGTTCCTTCACCGACTCCAACAATGAACAACTCAAGAATATGAAATCTGGGTTGATATCTCCAAGTTTACCGCTGAAAAATAGCACTGCACACCAAACATACAAGTCCCTGCCTGTGGAAGAGGAGGTAGAGCTCAAGAACAACTTGAACCTGAACCCAGCTGAAGACTCGGATGTCCCCGCGCTGGATTCTAACCCTACTGCAGCAGATTCATTGTATGAACATGATACTAAACACTACCCTTCTGAACACTTTACGCCGAGTATGTTCAATGGGAAGTGAATGTTTACTATGTTCTAATTGTGTTAAAGATGTATGGAAAGTATTGAATTATTTGATGACTCCAGCACAAAGTCACATGGTATGTGTTTTGCCAGTTCACCAGTCAAAAATTGATATGCTTACAATTATACAGGAATTCCGCGTGCGAGCAAAATAATTCGAATTAATAGAACACGCGGTGGGAGAAACGGCCCGCATACCTACGAAGCCCAGGTCGAGGCGATTTAATTACTTCTGTATCGAGCAATGCTAAATCCGGCGTTACAGGCTAACTTACGACTATAACGCAGAACTCCTTACCATCGACATGCCCACTGTCCTACACGAGTCATTCTACGACGACTTGAAGGATTCGTTTACCGTCGCCATTCGTAGTTTTCCTTACCATCGCCTGACTATCCGGCCCCAGATTCATATGAATCGTACCCTCGCGATCAAGGATAAATCTGTAACTCCAGATTTAGTTATATCGCTGTCGGCCACGCGGGGACCCAGTGAAGTTCTACTCATTCCTTACATAGGAGTAACCGCGTTAACGGAGGAGTGGGATCATGTTTTCGAAAAAATGGTGTCAATGATCGCGCAATATCCCGAGACGATCTTAGCGTCGATCGTCTTGGTGCGAGAACTCAAACGCTACGCCTGTCCCGCAGAAAAATCTACTGCGACGGAGACGTTGCACAACCGTTGCAACAAAGAAGAAAAACCCGATCCATTGTCACTCAAGTCATTCATGAGGATGTGCTCGACGCCACGGACAGTCGAGGAGCCCGTCAAAGTCGCCGATCACATTTGGTGTCACGTGGAATCTGTCGAATACTTTGTTTGGTTGAAGGGCGAAAAAGATAAGCCGATAGACTTGAGGAATAGCAAGCCAGAGTACAGGGCACATGGCGTAAATTTCTCTTTTGTCTCATGCGCAACGAATCACTCAATCCCATCCAGACTCTCATGCCTGAATTGCGCATGGAGAACGTAACGAAGATATTCGACCGAGGGTTAGCAGAGATGAAAGACCTGTTCGTCAGGTTCCAGACAGACCTCGATCCTGCCGTCGACCGTTCCGCGCTTGAAAAATATGTTATTCCATCCTTCCCTATCGACTGGTCTCTTAGCGCGCTGGGAATTGCGACCGCGGCGGACTTTACTGCCCATCTTCGCTATGTCAATTGGCATGCGGTTTGTTTCAGAGGCGTGAAGCGTTCCCGCGATTCGTCTTACGCCCCGTCGGAATCAGAGGGTGGTAGCTCCGTGTCTGAGGTGGATGACCCCAAGCCTCAGCCTGCCAGTGCGGGCACCAAGAAGACTCCTCCCACCCCCTCCCACCACGCATTTAGAACGATCATTGTGGGTCCCAGAAAGTCTGATTCTACCGTGACGCCCGTGGCGGGTACCAGCAGCAAACCCTTGAAGGCCAGCACGTCTAAACCCTCAAAGGCTGCTGCGGAAAGCACGTCTAAACCCTCGAAGGGCAAGGGCAAGGGCAAGGGCAAGGCTAAGCCTTCCAACAAGTGTGCAAAGCATTAGCGCGCTTTGGGGATCGTATCAGGCTGAGGGAAACTGGGGCGTTCCATTGACGCAAGCCTGAGTTCATCATGTTTTACTTGATTTTTGCTTTCGCGCTTTTCGTGTTACGCTTTTCGTTTTACGCTGTTCACGTTTTCATTCCTAACGAACTTTGTTCATGTTGATTGCAGTTCCACGGTGTTAGTGACTACTACTAGTAGTAGACAGAGTGACTCAATTGTAATCTCCTATCATACTCGACGTTGACTCGAATTAACAAACTACAGATTGTCCTTGCATATTGACCAATACACTAGTACTACGCACATGTACTACTACTTGTGCTTAGATAGACTACTAGTACAACTTGAAACTCTGCGTTTACTAAGGCCTCTCGACGGCCACGGTTGTGAAATTTTTGGCTGATCACGTGATAGGGTTGTTTGCCAAAGGCTTTGGATCCAAACAAACCGTGACGTTCCAGCCATCGTGTCACACACACCGTGGCCATGATAATCATGAATCATGATGCTCTCGCAAGGCGATCCAACGTCCTGACAATCCGAGTCTTGGACCCTCACTGCAGCTGGGGTACTATTAATGATTGGGTATTTTCAACGTATCAACACAGTACATCCACTCATACACAACGTTCCCCAGATTTCTCAATGTCCGAGTCAGCGCGCCAGTGACATCCCGTGGGGTTTTGAGCAGTATGCTGATTTTTCCGTAAGTACTTATTTCCGTTTGCCTTGAGCCCGAAGCCGGCTTAACTAAGATCTCTCAATGCGCTACTAGTAGGTCATCAATCAGCGTAACCAATCTTGTCAGCTTCCCGTCTTTTGGCAAGATGATGGGAGCTCAACTATGACGGACGTTGACATGATCTGGGTCATTCCAAGAGTCAAGGACCTCGAGTACCCCGCTGGTGAACCTGCAAAGCCCATCGAGGTGGTCATCTTCAACGAGCCCTACCTTATCGAAGTGGAGACGCACATGTTGGACAATATTGCCTTCGTTATCCTCGACAGCCCCGTTTTACGTGCATAGACCAAGTCGGACCCCTACCCAGCCCGCATGGACGATCTTAGTTCTGCCATCTTCTACTACACGTGGAATCAAGCCATCACAACTACCATCCGCCAATTCCCCGTCATCGACATATACCACGTCAACGACTACCACGACGCGCTCGCTCCGATATACCTCCTGCCCAAAGCAGTACCCGTCCGTCTCTCGCTGCACGATATTGACTTCCAGGGTCTGTGGCTGCTTCGAACAAAGGAAGAAATGAAAGAAGTCTGCTCCGCGTTCAACATCAGCAAAGAGCACTGCACGAAATACGTCCAGAAACACGTTCAACCTGCTTCACGCCACTGCATCATTCAGTAGCGTTCATCAAAAGAGTATCAGTGTCGCTGGTGCGCCAGACAAGTATGGGAAGCGAAGTTGTCGGTTGATGGAGATGTACCCTGATCGTGTTTTCTCGAAACCAGAGTTCACTGCGCTTTCCCCTTATCTATTTAGTGGTGCTGATTTCCCTTTGATTCCTTCTCGCGATGAATCATTTAGATTGGTCGCTGTCGAATTCGCTAGGAAAGGCACCCTTGGTGTCGGTAGTCGACTTTGTGGTCTTGGGTTGATGCCTGGATGAGTGAGTGCTTAGCGTAGTCCTATTTGAGCGGGATCTAATGCGCTTCTGCTCTTAGTGGTTCCCTGTGGAATCTACCTCGACGGCCTATATGTTATCTTAGCTTTCGAAGACGATCAAATTAGAAGAAAGAGCCATACTTCGTGCTCGGTCCACCGTCCAGTGTTTCCCAGTCGTCGAATGGCGTCAGCGGATGGAAGACATGCACCGAAGGAGTATCTTCAAAACCTACTAGTACGTGTTATGAGACTCGCTTACTTGCACCCCCCTCATATCCGCATTTAGAATTGCCCTATATGTCTCGGCGGTTTTGAGCGTTGTATAAATAATGGTCTGGCAGGCGGCTTTTCTTACTTACCTGCATCTTCTCTACAGCTCTCTTCACCTTCACTCTTTAATTTCTGGCACTTTTTCAAGTTGCTATTTTATTTCTGGCCCTTGTCACTCTTTATTTTTGTCAACCCGACACCGACACCATCACTTCTACCATGTCCCAGTCCGAGTCTGTGTCAGAGCCTGGACTCGGAAATGGGGTACACGCCCTCTCACTTCCAGACCTCTCCGGTGCAGTCCCTACCTCTGCAGAGGCCAGGGCCAAACGCCGCATCGCTGCATTAGAAGAAGAATTGCAGACAATGAAGGATGAAAGAGGACCTAAACAGAGGTTCGTCGCATACCGTTTTCCTCGCTGCCTCTTCCTCATAGATACTCACAGAAAGATGACCTACTACGTCGCACAAGGCAGGGCGGTTCGCCGAATGACCGTCCTCTACACTAGCTTAGAAAATTTGATCGCTGAGAACGATCGCAGGTATGAGGGAAGCTTGGTTAACGACATTGCGCAAAACACCACAGAGTAGGTCTTTTCTTTTTTTATGACACATTCAATTGATTATTATTCAGACAAAACCGCCTGCAGCGCGGCTACCTCGCGCTTACACAGACTCTGCCATGGCTACATGCTAAACTTGCAGATTGTGATTACGATGAATCTGAAGAGATGTTGAAGAAGGTCTGTGCTCTCAAAACTTGCGCTTTCACTGCACACTCATAATTTTATAGATCAGAAGAGGAGCCGATGCCGCCCGTGGCGACGATACATCCACTCTCAAGGATCTCGTCGCCGCCTGGATCAATCAGGATTTTCGTCCTACCATTCTACTCAGGTCCAACGACAAGCACTTGCGCGGGTTCGCACACGACGTTTGTGGGAAACTACTATGCCCCACTGAGTGGGATTGGAATGATGACCGGTGAGTATCAATGCACGTGGAATATTTACATGACGCTGAAGCCTGAGCAGCGTGAAGGCGGGCATTCACGATAGAACGACAGATTTCATCGTGTCGGAAAATTCTTGGCCGCTGTTTGTTTACCAGAATTACACATTCGACGACAGCAACCTGGAGCAGGGCCTGTTCATGTCTAAGATCCTCGTTCAGGTCAGTACATCATGATGGGTTCTTACTAGTCGTGAAAACGTTACTCATGTCTGTATGGTGCCAGGCTTTCAAAGCCGTATTTACGTCACCATCTTCCGCAAGAGAAGCTGATGGCGACGGTGATGGAGCCGATATACTCGAGAATAACCGGCGCGCCCGACGGGCATTAAACCAAGTCAAGGTTAAAACATGTGTGGCGTCAATCATCAACACGAAGAGAGTTACCCCTCGCTCCATCACCTATGTCGTCTGTCAGGTGAGTACATCTGATTGTTCACCCATCGATGTCTGACCTACTATCATTCAGGTTCGGTTTGCGCTATCAAGCGTCTCGTCTTGGCGCACCGTTGACGGCAACTTCGATTACGAAGTGTTTTGGAACAACATCGTCGATTTCTTCAAGGATGTCCCTGGACCTATCGCACGACATCGGGTGACCAAGCTACTCGAATGGTGGACAAGGTATTGCTTACCGTGGTCTGCTATATATCATCTAACATTATTTTTAGGAAGATTTTCGGGAAAAATCATCGAGAGGATCTAACCCCGGAAGTTGTATCCAAAATGTCCGTTACAACGCTAGCCGAGCAGAGAAAGAGGCTGGAGGAATCTGCTTTCGACTCGGATTAGCCTGATCATAGTTTTATATATCCGATATATTACAATACACTTTTTTAATGCAATCATAAATCTCATGTTCGTTATTATATTTCGAGATCACAAATCGGAAGGAATGATTTTCAGCGATCGTACTCAAGGCTTGACATGCAGTCTACAGCGAGATTTGTAGTACCTTCCAATTCCACCAATTCATAGAAATCTTTGGTATGTGAACAAACATGTCTATGACAGCTACAACCAACATTATGTTGTCTCCGTGCGGCATCAGTCGTGGATATTTGCCAGTTTAGAACGCCCCCAGTGGAAGAGGTCAATCGCGGTCTCCGACTGAAGACTATCAGTTGGAAATACTAAACATGAAAGGTGGGTCTGGTTAGGTGACAGAACTCGGGCAGACATCGGTATATCCAATTATACCTGAGCGGAGCACGCAACTCCATCATTGTGGTGTTCAGTTTCCAAGCGGTAAATAATTCTGCTACACCCAATTTGATGTATCCAGTGTATCAGCGGAACGAAGGAATGATTGTTGCTGCCGTTATTTCTACTTGCCTAGGCTGATCAGTACAGAGCAACTTGCTCTACTGACACGATCCCGGAACCACGCGCCTTCGTATGAATTGCTGCTGAGTTTCCTGACAGATGAATTTTCCGCTCGTGTTTAGAACAGACATGAATTTGGTAGTTTAAGGCATTGGACTTAGCGCTTGCCCTATCTTTGAAACGCACTAATATTGTATGTTTTGTACCAAGTGAGTAGCAGCGTCAAACTTGCGCGAAGTAAGTACCGGTGTCAGTGTGGCACATTGGGTTTGTTTTCAGGACGACATAGCCACGTATCTGATGTATTTGATGTATATCAATTCTATGTACCGCTGTGTCGTTGGTCAGACACATCAACAGACATGTATATAATAAATTGAGGTACTTTCGGTAGTAAATGTCCTGTCGTCTGATATGTATTTTGATGTGCGAACGCCTACCATCGTTCCGCCACTCACTAATTGAACACTTTGAGGTAGTGTGTCTAGATTCCTTCCTACATGAAGGATAATTGACTTTTACAATATTGAGCCGAGGGCTGAGCAAGGCTGCAATATCCTGCTAGATGTGGCAGTCTGGCAATTTCCCATCCAATACGGCGGTCTAGATCAACCAGCTTACAAATAATCACCCACCTCGTGACTGTGATATTTAGCCGTCACAAGCAACATTATTAAGAACCTGCGGTATCGTATGGTGGCTGTAATCTTATGAGCAGCGTCGCAAACGCATCGTTGACACATTTATCGTATGGTGGCTGTAATCTTGTGAGCAGCGTCGCAAACGCATCGTTGACACATTGCTTCGATGATGGATATGTTCTGAACTAGTTGCAGGACTGGGCGCGATGTATATGATACAAATCTCAGTCAGCCTAGGCAAGTACCTATCACTTCAGAGTGAAGTGTCCTGTATCTTACCAAGGGAACGTGTTGTCGAACGTGAACCTCGCTTATTCTCATTATCCAGTCGAATATTAACACCAGCTCTCGCACCAGGCGTGCTGATTTACAGAATTGTGGCGAGACGGAAAAACCTTGTACGAATATTTGGTGGCAACTTTTTGCGTCGCTCTGACACTTACAGACTCGCATTTTACTTCATTGGCCTGCGTTCGTATATTCGTTTGGAGGATGATCTAAGCAGAAGACGGTACGTCGAGCACAGGAGAACTTGCTTGGCTGCCATGAAAATGCATCGTTCTCACGTAAGATCAAATAATTATATGCAAACCCCACTGCCACATTTATGGGGATTGGTGTTATTGTTATGAATATATAGTATACTATGACATTTTAATATGTTCATCAGTTCACTGATGATATTGTGTATCCATTCCCAGTGGTGAGCCTATCAATAAATTTCTTCAATCACAGTTGAGCGATAGTTTCATTGAAGGCCTTGCTTTGAGCATCAGGGGATTATTGTCGGAACGTGATTGTGAAGCAAAATGTGAGTTAGTAACGCTGTCATCCAAACATAGTTCAGAAACATTTCAAGTACTTTCTAAGGCGGTAGCCCTTGGACATTCACTTCCCGCGACCCGGGATGAGCGCTGAGCCCTCGTGATTTCAGCTTTACACAGCTTTCAGTTGTGCTTCTTAGTACCGCCACGAGACCTGGGCCACCGCAGCATCGAGTCAAGAAAGAGATGGAAGCGGAAGCGCTACTTCTTGTCTATGGATATTCAGGAGGTAAGGGATATCATATAAATCAACCAAAACTACGTGTTACACCACAGACGAATTTAAACTAAAGGTTTCACCCTGTCAGAAAGCGCCTGTAATCGTGGACTACACAAATTAGACATGAGAGGGTGCAATGACCGTACGTGACACTTGTTCTGTAATCCAGTTCCACGGGCGAGAGATGTGATGTTGTGTGTTCCGGTACCACATGCGAAGCAATTGCCCACCTAGCATTGTAGACGAGTGCATTACAAACAGCACGAGGGGTACAACTGAAGATGCAATAATGAAGAGGACAAAGTTAGAAAAAGATTCAGCTGCCATCGTTATGCTCAACGAGAACACAAACAATATCATTCTGTCAAACAATGAGCCACTGAGCCATGGAATGCAGCCGTAAACGCACCCCCAACGCAAAAGTCCCGACGGCAGACTGAGCATAATGGCGAGGCCTCGGAGGCCTAGAAAAGAACGTGACATTTGCCGCATGTAACGAGCCTGTGGACGTAAAGAATACAGTAAAACAATGTAAAAAGAAACTTACCACTTTAAAAGTAGTGCCTCGTAGACTGTCATTGACTTGTCCAACCAAGAATAGTGTGGATGCTAATGAACCAAAGGTACAGAGGACAGACATGAAAATTCCATTGAACGTGATCGTCCGACCCTTGTTAGGAACTGGAATTGAGAGAAAGCTGATATCAACAGCAAGCAGCACAGTAGACTGGAACATCATTGGTTGTATGACAATATACGATAAAAGTACGACTCACAAATATTGCATATCCATTCCATTCAGTGGTGAGCCTATCGCAAAATTTGTTCCACCGCGGCCAGATGACGGCTTCATCGACCCATATCCTCTGAATACTCCTCATTTGAGCATTCGGGCCATTAAACAGAAATACATTCAAGATGCGAAAAATGATCGTTTGTGAGTGGCCATCAAGTGCTCCGTATAATGATTGGCCTACGTCAAGTCGGGCGCCTGGTTGCCCGCAGAAATTCTTAAACTTGGCGGAGCCTAGCAACATAATCAAGGAATGGTGTGGCAGATGACAAGCTGGAGCTCACAGAACAATGACATCAATCTAGCTGAAATCAACAAGCATATCAGAAACAAACAATTGACCTTCTGTGATTGGATTTACCTGCGATACAAACGGAGTGCTCACGCTCCTTGTTAGCACTGTCTGTAGAAAGAAAAACATCAACAACAACAACAACAACAACCCACATCAGGGAATGATTCACTCATGAGACAATCCATAAGCCCGAGCAAGCTAGCAACCTCGTCCGCAGTAAATTAAGAACGCGAGAACTCAGCCGTTGAATGAAACGACTGTATTCATGTACTGTACCTAAGAACGCGAGAACTACGTGCGTGTCAGCGACGTCCTACTCAAGTAAATACAGTACTCACCTCAGCCGTTGAATGAAACGACTGAGGGAGAAAATAAGAGGCGAGTAACGCTAAGTATCTGATATCCAAAACATTGACAAACAAATCTACCGAGGTCGCAATCATATCAACTATCGACACTCCCACTCGAACGCGGTAGTAAGCCGAGGGCCTTCGTAAATCTTTGATGCTTCTCCTTCGGCAATGCTTTCGTCATGATATCTGCAATCATGTCTCCCGTTGGACAATAGTCTACGACCGCCCACTTCTTCTCGTTCACTGCGTCGCGCACATAATGGTATTTTCGCCCGATATGCCGCGTTCGGGCACGATACCCTGGATTCTTCGTGAGCGCGATGGATCCTTGGTTGTCCGCAAGCAAAAGTGTAGGTTTCAGTTGCTTGTATCCCAACTCGTCCATCAGTTCCCGCAACCAAGCGATTTGTTGCGCTGCATTGGACAGTCCAATGTATTCAGCCTCAGTCGATGACAGCGCTACAAGTCCTTGTAGCTTGCTGCTCCAGGACACGGCTCCTCCGCCCATCATGAACACATAGCCTGAAGTCGAACGTGAGGTGTCTACATCTCCGCTCCAACTCGAGTCGGAATAGCCATAGAATACGAGTGCATTCTCCCGTTTTCGGACCGGCGAGAACGTTAGTGCCAGATCTCTTGTACCGCGAAGGTAACGCAAGATGCGCTTTGCTGCGACCCAGTGGACTCGTCCAGGATTAGCGCTATAGCGTGCTAGTGCTCCCACTGCATAGCAGATGTCTGGACGTGTCGCGACCATGGCATACATCAACGAACCGACAATATTTTTGTATGGTTTGTCTTGCATTTCTCGCCATTCGTCTGACCCATACTCAGGGCATTGCGCAGAAGATAGTGCTAGACTGGGGTCCATTGGGACTGCCACGGGTTTGCAATCCTTGAGTCCGTATTTCTCGAGCATCTTCGTGATGTATTGCCGCTGCGACAAACTGATGGTTCCTTTAGCCCGATCGCGAATGATCTCAATGCCCAATAGGTGCTTTGCTTCACCGAGGTCATGCATCTTGAAGAGTCTCCGTAGGTTTCTCTTCATCTTCTCCGTGAATTTTAGGCCCTTGGCTGCAACGAGTAGATCATCAACATAGATGGCGAGGAAGCAAACTCTCCCGTTTTTGTCACGATAAAGGTATATGCAGTGTTCCGAACTGATTCGCACGAAGCCTATCTTCACCAGGGCATTGTGGAGTGTGACGTTCCACACATATCCTGATTGTGGCAGTCCATATAGCGCACGGTCGAGAGCCCAAAGGTCGCCTGGCGGACAGTCAACACCATCTGGTGGCATCACATACACCTCCTCAAGTTCTCCATTGAGGTAAGCCGTTGATACGTCCAACTGGTGCAGTTCTAAATCTTCTTCAGCTGCGATGTCAGCAATCACTCGTACTACGTCCATTCCGAGTGTAGGGGAGTAGCTCTCCTTATAGTCGACCCCCTTCTTTTGATTATATCCTTGTGCAACCAGACGTAACTTGTAGCGCTCGATCCCTCCGTCGGCATTGACCTTGATGCGCATCACCAGTCTTACACCAATGACCTTCGCATTTTTCGGCCGTGGTACCACTCTGAACACCTTTTTCTCCACAAGGGATGCTAATTCTTCGTCCAGCGCAGCCCTCCATTGTGTCGCATCTGGTCCGTTGAAAGCGTCATTGAGGTTCTTTGGTGTTTCTGCTGCCTTGGGTGCGCTTTCGGCAAACGCAGCAAACTGGCAGTAGATGGAATTTGACGTTGTGTCATCTTCGACGTCAGGTGACAGTTCAGTCAGTGGGATTTCTGGTGGGTCCATCTTCGCGGGAGGTGCTGACGTGTCGACGATGACTGCGCTTGGCTTTTGTGGCTGATTGACTGGTGGCTTGGGTGGTGCGGTTTTCTGCACCATCACCAGTTGGGGGACACGAGGTGGTGGTTTGACGTTTCGACGGCCTCGTCTTTGCGCGATTGGTGCTTCTTCGGCTGGGGGTGGTGAGTGATCTCTCACATTCGACTTTGCCAATTCATTTTCAAGCTTCACAGCAACATTATGGTCCTCTGTGCCTACCTCAGGAGACTTGTGCTCATTCTCGCACATGGGCACAGGGTCCCCTTCTGAAAACACAGATTCGGAATCACCAGTGGGCAACACCGTTTTCGGGTCAGCCATGGTCTGAGGTGATCTTTCTGTGTCTGGTAATGCCTGCTCCCACTCAATTGGTTCAGCATTGTCACGTTGCAGTTCTGGCGCTGTCCCTGGCGCTTCGTCAAAAACAACGTGTCTGGACTTGAACATTTTCCGGGTCGTGACGTCGAGGAGAGTATAGGCCTTGGATGCATACTCGTATCCGAGAAGGACACATCTGCGGGCATGAGGATCCAGCTTGGATCATTGGTCCTTTGGTACTAATGCATAGGCTCTGCATCCGAAGGGTCGTAGTCCTGAAGAATTCACTTTCCGGCCGGTGAGTACTTCGAAGGGGGTTCGACCATCAATTCCAGAAGCTGGACTGCGTGCGATTAGATAGGTTGCTGTGCGAAAAGCATGTGACCAGTAGGTCTTCGGCAACCGTGAATCAATCAACATGGCCAGCGCACGATTGACAATGGTTTGATTCATCCGTTTGGCGAGTCCATTTTGCTCAGGGGTATCAGGTGCTGTTGTCTGGTGCAGGATCCCAGATAACCGGAGGTGTCCTCGGAATTCCTGTGAGATGTACTTTCCACCATTGTCCGTGCGGAATATGCGAACCCAGTTCTGCGAGAATTCTATCTGCTGCAGTCGTGCATTGAGGAGCGGTTCTATTGCACCCTGCCATTCCTTGAACTTTTCCAAGGCTTCACTCTTTTGCTTCATGAAGAAAATCCAAGGGTAACGAGTGTGATCGTCTATAAATGTGATCCAATATCGATATCCTTCTGGTGATTGTGGTGTGATAGGACCTCCGACATCAGAATGGATGAGGGCAAGTGGTGCGAGGGCAGATTCACGTTCGTGTTTGAATGGAAGCTTCTTCATTTTCGCTCTGACACAACTTTCACAGAAAATCTCCTTTCCGGTGACCCCATCTATTCCCCTCAGGTACCCTTTGGACACCATTCGTCTGATGCTGTCATGATCGAGGTGACCAAGACGTCTATGCAGGACGTTTATGTCAGTTGCGAGGTGAGTCGACTCGTGTAGCTTTGAAGCTCCGGTTATTGGTTCTGAGACAAGGTGGTAGAGATTGTTGTGCTCCTTGCCCTCTGCAACAACTTGGTTACTTTTTCGATCATGTATCTGGCACAAGGGTCCATCGAATGTTACACGGTTGTGGTGCGCGAGCTGTTTTACCGACAGGAGTGTGACCGCGAGGTCAGGTGCGTATAGGACATCATCAATGATGAGATGACGTCGCTCTCCATTCAGATGTTGCACACATTGTATTGACCCAAGACCTGTTGCATTGATAGTTGAGTCGTCGCCAAGGTGGATTGCAATTGGCTTTCGCAATTTTCGGAATGTGGATTCGACGAACCATGACCTGCGTGGTGTCATATGACGCGAGCAACCAGAGTCAATGAGGATGTCCTTTGATCGTCGAGTGGTGTTGGTAGCTGCAGCAGTCGTCAACGTATACAATTGAACACGGTTCATTAAAGCCTTCGTGACATATACACGTTGTGAATTATTACGGCGGTGCTTTGTATGCGCATGCTGTGCTTTCTCGCTCCTACTCCGAGTTTCAACCGTATCCGAGTCTGTTCCATCCGAGTCCGAGTCTGAATCTGTATCTGCTTTATTTGCCTTAGTCTTTGATCCAGACTTCTCTCGTTCTCGGGGTTTTCGCTTCCGCTTTTTGCGCTCTTTCTTCATCTCCTTGAGATCCCGACAGTCCTTCGTGGCATGGCCCTGTGACTCGTGATATTCACAATATTGGCCTTGGTTGCTTGCACCACTGGTGCGTGCATCAGTCACGAGTGCAGACGAGGGTTCTGATGAGTTGGCATTGATAAGCAACGACTGCGAGAGAAGTCGAGTGGATATGGTCTCGAAAGTGAGTGATGAGTTGGCAGGCAATGACTGCAGTAAGGAAGTCGTGAACGTGTCCCAGATTGGTGTAGATGGCAACGACGTCAACACGAGGAAAGCTTGCATTTCGTCGCTGATTGCCTTCCCCATTGCTGTGAGCTTGCGGTTGTCAGCCGAGAAGGTAGCAATGTGCTCTTCCATCGATGAGGAGTCATTGAACTTCCGTTTCATCATATTCTTGAGCGTGAAGAACGCATTTAGCCCCTCATTAGTGCCTTGATGCACTTTCTCGAGTTTCTCCCATGCATCCTTGGCGGAAGTCTGGTCTGCGATGAGGTCCAGTTTCTCGTTGCTAACATATTCAATGATGATGCCGAGAGCCTTGTCGTTCCGAATCTTCCAAGTGTCAGAGGGGACAGATGTGGCTGAAGAGGTGGTAGATGGAGTTGTGGTACTCGTCGACGCAGACGCAGTGGGGGCAGCAGGTGATGTCGTGCTGGCCTGTGGTGCTGACGGGTCAGGGTCTTCGCCGGAGACGGTGCCCCAGACCTTTTCCCGCTGCAACTTTCCTCGGATCCGGATCTTCCAGGTTGGGTAGTTATGTTCGGAGAGGATGGGGACATTGGTCGTTACTGACTCAACGCCCATCGCAGGTTCGTGGAGGATCGTTCGGTGTCGATTACCTACTAGACTTGAGCGGCCTCAGGGCTCATAACCTAAGAACGCGAGAACTCAGCCGTTGAATGAAACGACTGTATTCATGTACTGTACCTAAGAACGCGAGAACTATGTGCGTGTCAGCGACGTCCTACTCAAGTAAATACAGTACTCACCTCAGCCGTTGAATGAAACGACTGAGGGAGAAAATAAGAGGCGAGTAACGCTAAGTATCTGATATCCAAAACATTGACAAACAAATCTACCGAGGTCGCAATCATATCAACTATCGACATAAATTGTGTTACGTGTGTGTCCTGAATGATGTGGTCTACCGTGAATCAATCTCGTATGGCATGAAACGCTTATTGGTCTTTACACACCTGCTCGAGCATGCATGAGAAGTTCTTTGAGTTCCACGACAATATCTTCCGGAAGGAAGCGTTTGTTTGGGAATAGTGTGATATGAAGCCTGTCGATATCAGATGTCTAAATTATGTGAGGTAGAAAAAGGCTGTTGCAAAGTGTGAGCTCATTTACTTCGGTCAAGTGGGGGAAACATTCGTACTTCAAGAGGTCATACGAACCAGTACTGTGCTTCTAGTGCATACTCTAGGAACAGCGCGATTACAGGAGCTCAAAAGGAAAGCATTCCACGGAAAGAACTTACTGATGTGGCTCTGGCTCTTGCGCTTTACACCTCGAACGTGACGCATAAGGGAATGAGATTTGTGGTCTTTGAACCAGAAAATGACACGTCTTTCGTGGTCGGCAAAGTAATAGCCCCACGATTCTCCGCCATCCTTCACTATGAGCTCCAATGCGAGCTCAACGGATGGATGCAGGGAGATGTCTGCATTGCGCGCTTCCTCGTACGCCTTCTCAACGGCTTTGCCTAATTTGACAGCAATTTCAGAATCTCGAACATTGGCATCAGTGAAAACTCTCTGGTGAGCAATTTAAGTAAAGTCATGTTCAAGGAGCAGGCGGTAGACACACTTTATCTGGGTGATAGAAGAACAAAGCCCCTTCTGGGTGCGTGAGCGGCTCCCATCCTTCTACTGCAGCAAGCTCCCTACGGGAGCATTTTAATCTCGTTGCTGGCTCTCTCACCAATATGCTTACTTTGAACAGTCCAAAGGACCTTTCATAACCTTAAACGCCTTAAACACATCTTTACTGTAAGTATGGGTTAGAAGTCAGAACGGCAAATCACTCAAAATACAATTTGCGTACATTCGCACATTCCTCCCGTATCGATCGACCTGCCTCGGTACAATGGGAGTTAAAGTGATATCAAAGGCCTGGGCTGGCGCCGCAAGAAGCAGTGGCGTGGTGATGTCCACTTCAGTGATACTGAGATCGAGGAAAGAGCTCGACATCAATGGTGCAGAAGAGTTCGGGGGAGAGTTTGTATTCAAAGCTGCGTCGTTCGACCCTCCATGAAGCTCGGGAGTTGCGATCTGAAGATTCTGAAGGCTCATTTCAGGTTGGGACCCTTGGCTGTGTAGACTCTGTAGAGGTGCCTCAAGCAACGGCACTGCGAGGCTCACAGGAGGCGTCGGCTCGGATTGGTTGGCCGCTGGCTGAGAGCTCAATGCTAAACCGGGCGCTTCTCGAAAATTCCCCTCCTTTCCATTGACGACAGATTGACAGTGTTGAATCAGTCGTAGGATGACAGAGAGGAGATTCTTGTACGACCGAAGTGTGATTGTCTTGACAATGTGCCTCAGCCAGGATATGAACATGCGAATGTATTTTCCGTGGATGATCATCATGGGCCGAGCACAAAACTATGGAACTTTTTTTTGCTGGTGGGTGAGAAGAACGATAAGAAGGAATGAACGGAATGTCACAGGGTTGATTGGACGGTAACAGAATCGCTTTGAGCGTCAAGATTGTCTTGACATGATTCCCATAGCTGCCAATTGTTATGTTGGGATCAACTAAAGAGGTGTTTTGCCACCGACTCTAGCGGTAGGCCTCGAATTGAACGTGTTTGTCACTGCGATCGTGAATATTGTTATTGTGGAGCAAAAAGTAAGTGAAGTAAGAGTGGATTGAATGCCAGAACATACTTGAGTGCAGAGCTGTTAGCATTCCGAAATAGATCGGCTCTCTATCAGAAAGTGTGTTACTGACGTTATTCAGTGAAGGTTGCAACATTGGACCCCGAAAACTGTGTTGGAGAAAAGGTACCAGTCTTATTGCTTCAAGGGAGATCATCCGGTCCTCAGCAAAATAACGCTGTCATCGACATCCATAGTTCAAAAACATTCCAAGTATTTCCTAAGGCGGTCACGGTGGCCCCCGGACATACACCTCCCGTGACCCGGGATGAGCTTCGTAATTTTAGCTTTACACGGCTTCAGTCGTGCTTCTTAGTACCACCACGAGACCCGGCAACATAGCATCAAGAAAGAAACGGAGCTGGAACTGCTACTTGTTTCTTGTGTATGAATATCCAGGAAGAAATGGGTTTCATATATATAATTAATCAACCAAAACGCCAGACATTAACTGTACATGCTATACCATAGACAAGTTTGAACCAAAGGCTTCGTCCGGTCAGAGAGTCCCTGGAATCGTGGACTACACAACATGGGAGGGGGTGGTGACTGTACGTGACACTTGTTCTTTGATCCTGTGCCACAGGCGAGAGATTTGACGTTCTGTGTTACAGTACCACGTGTAAACAGATAGGCCCAGCATGGGCGACTGCACTACGCTGAGTATGAAGATCACAGGTGACAGCGAATAGATGATGAGGATGCCGCCAGAATTGGATCCGATTGCTACCATTATGCACAACGCCAGAGTAAACAATATCATTCTGTCAAACAATGAGCCACTGAGCCATGGATGCAGCCGTAAACGCACCCCCAATGCAAAAGTCCTGACGGCAGACTGAGCATAACGGCGAGGCCTCGGAGGCCTAGAAAAGAATATGACATTTGACGTATGTAATTGGCCTGTGGACGTAAAGAATACAGTAAAACAATGCAAAAAGAAACTTACCACTTCTCCAGTTGTGCCTCGTAGACTGTCATTGACTTGTCCAACCAAGAATAGTGTGGATGTTAATGAACCAAGGATACAGAGGACAGACAAGTATATTATAATGAACACGATCGTCCGACCCGCGTCAGCAATTGGAACTGCGAGAAAGCTGATATCAACAGCAAGCATCACAGTAGACTGGAACGTCATTGGTTGTATGACAATATACGGCAAAAGTACGACTCACAAATATCGCATATCCATTCCATTCAGTGGTGAGCCTATCACGAAATTTAGTCCACCGTGGCCAGATGATGGTTTCATCGACCCATATCTTCTGAATACTCTTCATTTGAGCATTAGGGCCTCTAAACAGAATCACATTCAAGATGCGAAGAAAGATCCTTGTTAAGCGTGGGAGGTCATAAGATGTTCCGTATAATGATTGGTCTACGTCAAGTCGGGCGCCTGGTTGTCCACAGAAATTCTTAAACTTGGCGTCGCCTAGCAACACAATCAGGGAATGGTGTTGCAGATGACAAGCTGGAGCTCACAGCAAAGTCTCATCAATCTAGCTGCAATCGACAAGCATATCAGAATCAAACAATTGACCTTCCGTGATTGGATTTACCTGTGATACAAACGGAGTGCTCACGCTCCTTGTTAGTACTGTCTGAAAAAAAAAATCAACAACAACAACCCACATCAGGGTATGATTCACCCATGAGAAAATCCATAAGCCCGAGCAAGCTAGCAACCTCGTCCGCAGTAAAATGTGTTAGGTATGTGTCCCGAATGATGTAGTCTACCGTGAGTCAATCTCGTATGGCGTGAAACGCGTATTCGTCTTTACACACCTGCTTGAGCATACATGAGAAGTTCTTTGAGTTCCACGACAACATCTTCCGGAAGGAAACGTTTGTTTGGGAACTGTTTGATATGATGCCTGTCGATATCAGATGTCTAAATTATGTGAGGTAGATAAAGGCTGTTGCAAAGTGTGAGCTCATTTACTTCTGTCAAGTGGGGGAAACATTCGTACTTCGAGAGGTCGCACGAACCAGTACTGTGATTCTAGTGCATACTCTAGGAGCGACCGATTACAGGAGCTCAAAAGGAAAGTATTCCACGGAAAGAACTTACTGATGTGGCTCTTGCATTCTACACCTCGGACGGCATTCATGAGGGAATGAGATTCGTGGTCTTCGAACCAGAAAATGACACGTCTTTCGTGGTCGGCAAAGTAATAGCCCCACGATTCGCTGCCATCCTTCACTATGAGCTCCAACGCGAGCTCGACAGATGGATGCAAGAAGATATCTGCACTGTGCGCTTCTTCGTACACCTTCTCGACGGCTTTGGCTAATTTGACAGCAGTTTCAGGATCCCGAAGGTTGGCATCAGTGAAAACTCTCTGGTAAGCAATTTGAGTAAAGCTATGTTCAAGGAGCAGGCGGTAGACGCACTTGATACGGGTGATAGAAGAATAAAGACCCTTCTGGGTGCGTGAGCGGCTCCCATCCTTCTACTGCGGCAAGCTCCCTACGGGCTCATTTTAATCTCGTGGTTGGCTCTCTCACCAACATGCTTACTCTAAGCAGTCCAAAGGACCTTTCTGAATCAAGAACACTTCAAACTCATCTTTACTGTAAGTATGGGTTAGAACGGCAAATCACTCGAAATACAAAAAATTGGCGTACACTCGCACATTCCTCTTGTATCGGTTGGACTGGTCGGGTACAATGGGTGTTAGAGTGATAGTCTGTCCTGGCACCGCAAGAGGTGGTGGCGTGGCGACACCAACTTCGAGGGTGCTGGGTTCGGGCATAGAACTTGGCATCAACGGCGCATAAGAGTTCGGGAGAGTGTCTGTATTAAAAGCAGCATCATTCGACCCTCCATGAAGCTCGGGAATTGGCATCTGCATATTCTGAATGCTCATTCCGGGTTGGGACCCTTGGCCGTGTAGACCCTGTAGAGGTACCTCAAGCAACGGCACCGCGAGGCTCACAGGAGGCGTCGGCTCAGATCGGTCGGTCGCTGGCTGAGAGCTCAATGCTAAACCGGGCGCTTCTCGAAAATCCCCCTCCTTTCCATTGACGACAGATTGACAGTGTCGAATCAGTCGTAGGATGACAGATAGGAGATTCCTGTACGACCGAAATGCGATTGTCTTGACAATGTGCCTCAGCCAGGAGATGAACATGCGAATGTGTTTTCCGTGGATGATCATCATGGGCCGACCACAAAAACTAAAGAACTTTTTTTGCTGGTGGGTGAGAAGAACGATAAGAAGATGTCCAATGAACGGCATGACACACGTGTTGATTGGGCGGTAACGGAATCGCTCTGAGCGTCAAGATTTTTTTGACATGAATCGTATAGTCAACGGTTCCTCACATCATGCTGGAATCAAAAAGAGGTGTTTTTCCACCGACTCTAGCGGTAGGCCTACAGTATAGGTGACCAGAGTTGGACTCGTTTGTCACTGCGAACATGATTAATACTGTGGAGCGAAAAGTGAATCAATTAAGAGTGAATGCTAGTACTTGCAATTGCGTCGATACTAGACGTGTCTATGTATGCCGCGGTATGCGTCGAACTCTTGTGCTGAAAGTGCTAGTGAATCATGCGCATGATTCATCATGATGAAGGAAGAAAATATGCGTCTTCGATCAAACGTGGGAAGTTGAAAACAACGCGCGGTTCAGAATGTTCCTCTCATGCTGCGATCCACTACGGAGGTGTTTTTGCCACCAAGATCCAACTCCCGTACGTAGGCCAGAGTTGGACGCGTGTGTTACTGTCGCAACATTGATTGTGAAGCCAAATGTGAGTGCCGAACTCTCGTACTAGTAAACAGTCGGGAAAGAGTTGATACGCAAGACCGTTTTTGCTCGTTTAGTCCCAACACGAAGAAACGACTATCGACAAGGTCTGACTAGAAGAGACTATCGTTTAGTGGTATCATTAAGAATGTCTTCCTTCTAATGGTATAGCCACTAGTTGAGTAGGCACCAACTCCGACGAAGCTTCACGCCTTTACAATATCATCACAGAACTTAATGTAGTAGTACTTACAAAAGGCGGAGAGGCTGTTGTAACGTATGATATCTGAGAGACAACGACAAGCCTCGCACGCTAGGAATGTCGATCCCAGATCTAGAGCTGCAAAGTCCTGTGTGAGTATCCAGGAGGAAACGGGTATCATATAAATCAACCAAAGCACCAGACACCAGCTCTACGCGCGGCGGGCTACATAAAGTCCCTATAATCAGACTACACAGATTAGACATGAGATATGATATTGTCCGTCACAGCCTGAGGTAAAACTTGTGCTATGATCCAGGTCCTCAGTTGAGAAACGTGAATATTATTAGCAGCCATTACGGGCCACGTCGTTAGGACGAATATGGCGATCCAAATTGGAGATGTGATCGAGACGGCGACAACGCCGGAAGTACGGAAAATGAGGGTGGACAATGCTCCAGCGAAGAACGCCATTCTGTCAAAGGATGAGCTATCGGTCCATGGAATGTAACCCTGATACTGACCCCCAAATAAGAAGTGCAAACGGCAGGCTGAGCATCAGGGCAAGGCTCTCGAGGCCGAGCATAGAACGTGACATTCCTATCATGAAAGAGGCCTATGGACATAAATAATGCAGGTTGTACAATCGAAAAAAAGAAACTTACCACGTCAGCAGCAGAGCCTCGCCGGCTGTCATTAACTTGTCCAGCCAAGATCAGTGAGACCACTAACGAGCCCATGGCGCAGAGGGAAGACAAATATGCTAGAACAATCGCGGGCGTTTGATTCGCGACAGCTGGGACTGCGAGGAAGCTGATATCAACAGCGAGCATCACAGTAGACTGAGACGGTCGTTGATTACATGACAATATGAAACAAAAGTGCAACTCACAAATATTGTATATCCATTCCATTCGGTGGTGAGCCTATCAATAAAATTCTTCCATCGCGGTTGAACGATGGTTTCATCGACCCATATCCTGTGAATTGCCTTGCTTTGAGCATCAGGGGATCCAAACAGGATAACATTCATGACACGAAGGATAATCTTTTTTGAGCAGGTGTCATATTCTCCGTATAACGATTGATCTACGTCAAGTCGGGCGCCTGGTTGTCCACAGAAATTCACAAACTTTGCGTTGCCTAGCGAAGTTATCAGGAATTGGGGATCGTGGACTACCAACCGAAGCTCACAGAAAAGCCTCATAAATCGAGCTGAAATCAACAAACATATCAGAAGCAATCAACTGGCCCATAATCGGACTTACCAGCAATCCACACGGAGTGTTCACGCTCCTTGTTAATACTGTCTGACAAGACGATCAACGACGACCCTCCCGCATCGGGGAACGATTCACCCTTGAGATAATCCACAAGAGGAAGCATATCTGCAACCTCATTCGGGGCAAAAGGTGCTAGGCACGTATCAGAAGTAATGTTTTCTAATACAAGTCAATCTTGTACGGTGTGAAACGCTTATCGGTCTTTACTCACCTGCATGAGCATGCATGACAATTTCTTTCAGTGTCACAACGATGTCTTCCGGAAGGAAGCGTCTGTTTGGAAAGAGCTCGACGTGTCTCCTGCCAACGTCATGTACGTAAATCATGGAACGAGAAAAAGGGCTGTAACAAAACGTGAATACGTTTACTTTGGTTGAATGAGGGCATATGCGTACTTCTGGAGGTCACACGAACCAGTACTGCGAATCTAATGCATACTCTGGGAGCGACACAATCACAGGAGCTCGAAAGGAAAGAGTTCCACGGAAAGAACTTACTGACGTGGCTCTTGCGCTTTACACCTCGAACGTTATGTATAAGGTCAAAGTGTTCGTAGTCTTCGAACCAGAAAATGACACGTTTTTCGTGATCGGCAAAGTAGTAGCCCCACGATTCCCTACCATCCTCCTCTATGAGTTCCAATGCGAGCTCGACGGACGAATCCGGATGCAAGGATATGTTTGCATTGCGTGCTTCTTCGTGCGCCTTCTCAACAGCTGTGGCTAATTTGACAGCAGTTTCGGGTCGAACATCGGCATCAGTGAACGCTCTCTGGTAAACAATTTGAGTAAAGACATGTTCAAGGAGCAGGCGGCAGACAGACTTTAGATGGGTGATAGAAGAACAAAGCCCCTTCTGGGTGCGTGAGCGGCTCCCATCCTTCTACTGCAGCAAGCTCTCTACGGCTCGTTTTAATCTCGTTACTGGCTCTCTCATCAACATGCTTACTCTGAACAGTCCAAAGAACCTTTCTCAACCTTAAACGGTTTGTACTGACGATCACTGAGAGTATGGATTAGAACGGCAACTCGGGTGAAATACAATTCGCGTACACTCGCACATTCCTCTCGTACCGTTTGACCTGGTCGGGTACAATGGGAATCAGAAAGGTATCAAAAGTCTGTCCTGGGGCAGCAGGTGGTGATGGTATGGCGATGTGGATGCTGGGCTCGGGCATAGAGATTGGCGTGAATGGCGCAATAGAGTGCTGGGGAGAATGTGCATTATAGGTTGGGTCATTAGTATTCGTCCCTGCATAAGGGTCGGGAGTTGGCATCTGGACGTTCATTACAGGTTGGAACCCTTGGGTGTGTAGAGGTGCTTTAAGCAACGGCACTGCGAGGCTCACAACAGGCGTCGACTCTGGTTGGTTGGCCATCGGCTGAGAGCTCAATGCTAAACTGGGCCGTTCTTGAAAATCCGCCTCCTTTCCATTCACGGCAGATTGACAGTGTCGGATCAGTCGCAGGAGGACAGAGAGGAGACTCCTGCACGACCGAAATGCGGTTGTCTTGACAATGAGCCTCAACCAGGAGATGAACATGCGGATGTATCCTTTCCGCATGACGTAGAACTTCGAAGGTAAACGGAACCGAATGCAAGAGCTATATTAAAGAACTTTGTCCGCGGGCGGCGGGCGGGAGAGAGAAGGTAGAGCAATGGTCTGGAAGGGGTAGTAGGCACTAAGTACATAGACAACCCATGTAATTGTGCACGTCAACAATATATTGATCTCGATGTTGTACAGGATTACGTACCGACGGCGCTAATTCACGATTATTGTCAGCTGCATCGTGATGGCGCGCCGTAGAAGACGATGGACATGGCGAAAGGCCATGAATGATAGCACCCCTCCGAAGTTCCGATGGACTGAAATCAGATTCATGTGTTGAAGTACCACATTTGCATCATGATCAAGCAAGCACTGGAGTCTGGCACTGGTCACATTAGCACTGCTCGAGAACAACTGCAGTGTAAAGTAACTATGACATATACAACGCCATGGCGTCAGAATACAAAGAGAGAACAGACTAGTACAAGTAAATATCATATGGAGTGAGATTCGTGTGAGTGTCAAGAAGAAAACCTCCCATCCACAAAATGAATAAAGGAAACTCAATCATTGCCTTCGGATGACGACCATGTGTTTCATCATGGATTTCCAGTACTTGGCGGCCCGCACAGCAATAACCGAAACATGCAAGTTATTGGCTGCTAGGACTGGCCACGTCGTGAGGAGGAGCACGACCGCCCATATGGGAACGACAACGGTCAATGCAACGATATCGGTAGTATAGAAGATGAGAATCGAGAGTCCGATTGCAAAGAAAATCATTCTGAGATATTCTTGGTCAACATCGCGCATATTGCAAACTTCGGGGTAACTTACCCCCAGATAAGGAGAGCAAATGGCAGGCTGAGCATGAAGGCAAGGCTCTCGATACCAAGGAGTGATTGGGACATCGAGTCCATGAAAGTCGCCTATGTCAGTGTTTGCTATGAGATGCATCGAGACTACAGCTAGCGACGCACCACACTACCAGCAGAGCTCCGTCTATTGTCGCTGACTTGACCTGCTAGGACAAGGGAAATCACAAGTGAGCCCATTGCGCAAAGCGTGGACAGGTAAATGACGATCGTTGTAGCTGGTTTTGACTGAATGGAGGGATCATCTACTCCGGGAATCGCGAGGAAGCTGACATCCACAGCGAGCATCACAGTCGACTGCCCATTATGAGCAGGTCTGTATATTGAAAGATCACCGGCATACTTACAAACACAGTGAAGCTGCTCCATTCGCTATTTAATTGGGTGATGAATTTCTTCCACCTAGGTTGGACCACGGTGTTGTCCACCCAGACGTTGTGAATGGATTCGCTGTGGATGGTGGGGGAGTTGAACAGTGCAACGTTCAAAACACGAAATAAGATGGGCTTGGACTTCTCGATATTACTATCGTATAGCGATTGATCAGCATCAAGACGGGCACCAAGCTGTCCACAGAAGTTGACAAATTTTGCTCGGACTATTTCGACGCGGCGTTATTTGGAAGAAGTATGTAGATAGAGGCCACTCGCCGAACATATTCATGTATCGAGCTGTAGGTTGAGGCGGATAAATAAACATTTAATGGACACTCGAGTTGATACTCTTACCCACGATACAGACAGAATGCTCGTTGACTTTGTTAACGTTATCTGATTCTGATCAAGACGGGTCCAGACGATACTACTGAGACGCTGACCTTTTACGTGATCAACAACACTGAGCATGTTTGTGAGCTCATCCAAGTCGAAGGGAGAAAGCGAAGTTTGAGACGTGATTGATTCTACCAGAAAACTCAAAAGGTAACCAAGAGGTTGCATGGAGCATCATACCGGCATGAGCATAAGTAATGATATCTCGGAAGTGGTCCACTACCTGTTCGGGGAGAGCACGCATGTTCGGGAACAGGGTGCAATGTTTCCTGTGACATATAAGTGCAGATGAGTTCAACGAAGTGCCATTTAAACTTGCTCATATAAGTTGGTGGCTATTTTTCGATCGAGGCGTAGGTAATTACTCACCATATATTGATGAACATACCAATATTGCGCCTCCAGTGCATACCCTAGGTTATCAAACTATCAAATCACTAGATCATTTTGATAAGTCAACTACACGCTTACCGACGTGACTCTTCTCAACAACGCCTCGTACATGGTGCATAAGCTCCCTAGATTGGACAGGCTCGGGCCAGAAGATAACCCGTGCATCATGGTCTACAAAATAATACCCAAAGTTATCGTTGGGGAGCTTTTCGACAGCAAGCTCCATTGTCGCGCAAACCATGCCGGCCTCTGCTGCCATTTTATTCGCTTGCTCGGCCGCAGCGAGTATCTCAAGTGCAAGGCCATCCTTCAAAATATTCTGATCGGTGAAGACTCTCTGTGTGGTGTCGCACGATGAGTGGTTTGGGCCTTTTGGTGATTCTTGCGTACCTGAAGGGGGTTGAAGAAGAAGCGCGCGCCCTCAGGATGAGTGAGCTGCAACCAGTTGGCGATGTTCGTCGAGGGTCTGCAGAAATATAATGAGAATGTTGTCATTATCCAAACGCAATTGTCCTCACTCCGTAAAATTGTCCAGCCCCGGGCCAACCTCGAGCACACGGAAACCCTTACTTCTACCGTCAGTGTTGGAGAGACATTCGACAAAACAAAAATACAACGCAGACATACTGAGTAATATTCCTGTGGTACCTAGCAATTTGTGATGCAATGATTGGCTCAAGCCTAATCGCTGCTGATTGACGGACGTTGGGTACTGCTGAAGATGTCTGAACAGGGTAAGGCCGAGGCATTGACACCTGAACTGATGGGAATGCCAAAGGACTCCCAACAAATTGTTGGAAGGGAGTTGCATATCCGCTCTCGGGAGAGCGCACAGCAAGCGTCGTCACTGGAGTCTGCGAGTGGTTCTGGGTGTCCCCAACAGTGGGCTGTATAGCTCCCAGAATTCTATCAACGCGTAGTCTTTGTCCAGGTAAATGACTGTCGGACTCGTGCGACATCTTATGTAGTAGTCGGCGGAGGAGTGTGAGGACATGTCGGTGAATGCACTGAATCACTGATAACTTTAAGAGCTTGAGATGTTTCACGAACGTGACCAGTTTTTGCAACAAAAACTCCTTGAGTGGCATGGAAGTCATAAGTGGACTGACTTTAAATAGTAGCTTAGCGGTCTTTGGAGGCTTTGAGAAAGGGGGCAGAGTACATCAACTTGAGTCAAGTTGCTGCACTACTAGTACCGTACCCGGGTTCCGGAATCCGCACGCTATGTCTACCGTTATGTTATGAGTCACGTGCAACTTGAGTGAGTGCCTGTAGTAAGTCTGAGACTGTAACCGGCAAGGGTAACTTAGTACTACAAGTGCTACTTGCTAACTGATCTCCCATATATTAAACTGCTACTGCTTGTATATATCATTCGCGGTGGGGTTGCAGAAATAAAGCATTTCCGCTTTTGCTGATGGGTAAGATTAACTTCACGGCCGACGAAGCCTCCATCCTCAAGGCCTATAAGTTATCATCCCAGAACCCGACGTACGTGGAGAACCTACTGTCTAAACGTACCATTAACTGTTGCATAGGAAATGGGAGGAGATAGATCACGACTTGGAAGATCCTCTTTCTGACCTCCTCACCTCCCAATCCAACGATGGGGACGGTGACCCCCTGGGACTTGGCGGCGTCATTGAGTATGTGCTGTCATTGAGCCCGCCATTCGGTGCTAACAATGTTCGCAGTCTGACGAGTCTGGATGCAGAATCGAGTGCGTGATTGTGTCTGACTTCAGTTGGAATTTTGGTCGTTCATACGCTTCCAGAAATGTCGGTGCTCATCTCTTCCAAATCATTTGATCCCAAAGCCTTCCTATCTGCCGTACACCCAAATGCAACCTACCAAGATCTCGCAGCAGGCATTACACATCTACAATCATCTATCGATGTCCGTTCAGAGGCTGTCCGTGTCCTCGTGGAGGATAACTTCGATCGGTTCGTTGCCGTCAAGGCTTCCACTGATGGTACGTTACGTGTTATTTGTCTGCGGGTACTCCAAACAACTTGTGCACATTCGCAGCGTTATATGCGGAGATGTGCGAGGGATTACTTAGCGACAAGGCGGAATTTGCTAGCAGACCGCTCGTAGACTACTTAAAACGTCCGTCCCAATTTCATCACTCTTAATCCTGTTTCTGATGCGCTCCGAAACAGGATCAGCCGCGAAGGCTAATCAAGTATTCCTCCCTGTCCTCGAGAACAGCGCCAAAGCCCAAAAGTTGCGCACTACGCTCGGCGTTTTTGAGCGCTCCAAGTTCTTCTTCAGCCTTCCGGGATTTCTCGTGGAATCTATCGAGGCTGGAAGGTATGAAGCTGCAATGCGTCAGTACAACAAGGGCAAGTTTCTCCTCGACTCTCGCCCTGGGCAGCTCCTCCCTGTCGAAGCAGGTGCGAATGCTGGGTCTACAGCGCAACAAAAGAGGATATTAGACAAAGTGTGGGCAAATGTTGAAAAGGTGATGGGAGAGATGAAGGCACTACTTTTGGCACGGTTGCAAGAACCAGGAAGGAGCGTCGAGGAAATGGAGAGAGGGATTGAGTAGGTCTACTCGTCATTGCCCGCGTTTCGTTCTTAACCAGCGCTGACTAGGATTCTCCTGGAACTAAATGTGCCTGAAGATCCGATATGGACTTACTTCGATAGCCAGCACAAGCACATTATGGACCGGATGAGTGCTGCCTACAGGACTGGTGTTTCAAACATCGATGGCGCGTTCCTTTTTGCGTTGTTGAATACTTCCAGACTGACACGCATCACAGCCACGAAGTCTCGCACGGCACCTGATCTGTCGTCTCCGAATGCACTAAGACAGATCCTTGGTGCACAACTCCAGGTATGTATTGTAGCGCTGGAGAGCAAAACGCCGGACGCTGTAATTGGTGCGCTGTCCTATCCCTTTTGTCAAGCTTCATTGTTCATGCATGTCGTACTCAGCGCAAGCAGGCGGTCATGAAGTGTGGCAGGCTATCTGGGACATGGTGAAAAACATTTCCGAGGTTATGGTCTCTTCTCTGCCCAACTTTTGGAAAATCGCAAGGAGTTTCTTGGAGGGGAAATTCAAACGAGTACGTGTCATTCGTGCGGTCTCATGTCTAACGTTCACTCTTTCTTCTAGACTTCGTCGTCGAGGCGCAGTGCCTCCCAATGCAGGCAAATGGCACTTGACATCATCAAGCTCTACATCAGTTTCCTCTCAGAATTCTTTATTCTTTCTGACGTTTTATCAAACTCCTCGACCCCCAACTCTCCCGAACATCTCCCATCTCATTCGAACTCGCTAACGACCGCTCACTGGTTGGTCAAGATCCTTAGCGAGGTCCAAGATTGCGTCACAGAGGTTGGTGCATTGGAACTTGGAGAAGGAGGTCTGGTGAAAGGACTAGTGGAGAGCGTGCGGTGGCGTTTTGAAGATGTATTAGTGAGATCTTGGTTGCGAGGTATGCGCTACTTCTACTTTCCCTTGTGCATCTGTGGACTAACTATCCTAGACGCCAACTACATGTACGCACTCGAATCATTCACGCCCAATCTTTCCATCCCTTCCACAACGCTTTACCTCGCTCATCTCGAATCGTTCATGCGCCACCTCGCAACGTCAGCATTCAAAATCGCGGGTGGTATCTCGACAGACAGCGGATCGGGCGTGTTGCGGGTAACGCAACAGAATGTTGTGCCACCAGCATTCACAGCGAAGATTACCAAGGCATTTTTGGATGCAATATACGCAGTTCTGGATGGGCTCGTAGTGCTTGTCGCGGAGGAAGTGCCACCAGGTGCGGGCAGCATCGTGGCAGCGGGAGCTTCTGAGCGAGAAGGGAAGGAGGAACTGATTGACCTGCGGGACTCGGTACGTAGTATTTCTGCTCCACAATTCTCACTCTGACACAGTCACGCATTAAGAATACGAGGCTGCTCCTCGTGATATCAAATTTCTCACATTTATCAGGGCTGTTGATACCCAGTATGTTATCTCAGCTAGAGAATGCGCTCGGAGTATCAGTTGAGGATGATAGAAAGGTATTTCTTCTTGCTCTCCTACTTATGCTGCCGTGCATGCTCAAGTTACGACGTAGACACTAATGAAAGCAGTGACTGCACTGGACAAGACTCTTTTTGACGGATATGTCAAACCCAAGGCTGCCGCCGTCGCAATCATCTTGCGAGAGGGAATTCTCGACAAAAACATGGATTGGTATGAGACGCCGCAACCTACCGGTGAGCTTCTCTCATTCTACATTTTGCTCCCTGCTCTGACATTCACTAAAGAAGTACGACCATTTATGTACAAGGCCTTGATTGGCCTCGTCGAGATCCATGCACAAATAAGCCGCGTCGCAGAGAATCTTCTCGAACGCGTGATGTACGCGCTTATCGAGAACGTCGCTCAAGATGCATTACTCTCGTTCAAACAAGTCAAGCGGTTCGGCATGGGCGGTATGCTTCGTGTAAGTGCATGTCCTCGTTCCTCACATGTTACTCTTATCAATAACACAACATCTACAGGCTACGCTAGAGATCGAGTTCTTGCACCAAACGCTTGCTCGCTACGTGTCTTCACCGGCCGCGAAGACACTTTCAGAGCTGTACAATAAGATCTCGCAGGCGTATGCACGGCGGCCGGGAGATGAGAATTTGCAGTCGAATCTGGACAGTGTGAAGAGGACGCTGGCGGAGAGTCGGCGTGCAACTGGGATTGAGTTTATGTGCTTTAGAGCGGCCAAGGAGAGGAGTGGGAAGGGGAAGAAGGGGAAGGACGAGGGTAGGGAGCGGAAGGAGAGAGGGAAGGACAGGGAAGGCAGAGGTGATAACAGTACAGCTTCATGATCTCTGGCCCCTTCCCTGAATTGATTTGCGATTGCTGTCATCACTACCTTCTGATGTTGTGAAGCTAGCTAGCTTGAGTCTGGCAGTTCTAATGTGACACGATAAAGCGACAAGTTTGGACTAGTTCATATGCAGCGGGGAACAAAGGACTTGATCATATCATATGCACTAACGATTTACGGATAATGCTACAACAGAATACAACGGCAATGGTATGAATGGAATAACGACGCTCGGTAATACTAAAGACCACCACGAAGACGGAGTACGAGGTGGAGGGTACTCTCCTTCTGGATATTATAATCCGACAACGTGCGACCATCCTCCAACTGCTTTCCAGCAAAGATCAAACGCTGCTGATCTGGTGGGATGCCCTCCTTGTCCTGAATCTTCGCCTTCACATTATCGATGGTGTCGGACGACTCTACCTCCAACGTGATCGTCTTACCCGTAAGGGTCTTGACGAAGATTTGCATACCGCCACGAAGACGGAGAACGAGATGGAGGGTAGACTCTTTCTGGATGTTGTAGTCGGACAGAGTGCGACCATCCTCGAGCTGCTTGCCAGCGAAGATCAAGCGCTGTTGGTCGGGGGGAATGCCCTCTTTGTCTTGAATCTTTGCCTTGACATTGTCAATGGTGTCTGACGACTCCACCTCCAACGTAATGGTCTTGCCCGTGAGGGTCTTAACAAAGATCTGCATACCACCACGAAGACGGAGAACGAGATGGAGGGTGGACTCTTTCTGGATGTTATAGTCGGAAAGGGTGCGACCGTCTTCGAGCTGCTTGCCGGCGAAAATCAGGCGTTGTTGGTCGGGAGGGATACCCTCCTTGTCTTGAATCTTCGCCTTCACGTTGTCGATGGTGTCGGATGACTCCACTTCCAACGTGATGGTCTTGCCCGTGAGGGTCTTGACGAAGATTTGCATGCCTCCACGGAGACGAAGAACAAGGTGGAGGGTAGACTCCTTCTGGATGTTGTAATCAGAGAGCGTCCGACCATCCTCGAGCTGCTTGCCAGCGAAGATGAGACGCTGCTGGTCGGGTGGGATACTGCAGGCACAACCGTCAGCTATAGGTAGCGCGAACTGGGATGCATACATACCCCTCTTTATCTTGGATCTTGGCCTTGACGTTGTCGATGGTATCAGAGGACTCGACCTCAAGAGTGATGGTCTTGCCGGTGAGCGTCTTGACAAAAATCTGCATTCTGTGTCTCGATGTCAGCCTCATATATACAAATAGATGCTCGAGAGCGATCAAAAACTCACGCGAGTAGAGTACGGGAATTTAGAGGGGGTGGTTTGTGAGGAGAGCGATTGTAGGGAAACGCCTAGATAACGGGGCCATATATATTGGGACGTGGCGGAGTTTAAATATCCAGCCGCTCATCGCCACAGCGCCCCGAAGCTCAGTAAGCATTCTTGCTGGATCCTTCTGGAGGCGTGGGGCGGTATCCAAACACATGGCCGCATGCCTGGCGCTGGCCTCGAATGAAAACGCTCATTACAGAACAGGTCTTCAATGTTCATGCCGCATCAGACGTCTAGTCTATGCTTGAGTTGCTCATAAACATAGACAACTTGACTCGACCCTTCGCATCGCCTACTTTACGTTCCCGCAGTTGCATTCGTGTCTGCAGCTGAGTACGGCGCTGCTTCTGGAAAAGGTTACCAGTGCTTCCAGAAACAGTGAACACTAGTGATCTCGTTGACGATGGCTGTTTGAGAGGCACTACAGGTGTATGCAGATAGATATATATGACGTTCGTCGTTGTTGATGTCGAGCGAGTACAAGTTGCGTCACCCACTTCAACCAATCTCATCCTGTGAGTTCCCTTCGTCTGGCAGGCTCTCGAGCTCTGAAACCAATCATTGAATCCCACTAGGAATCTGGCAAACCAAATATTCTTGACGATATATATGCATATTACTGTGATTCCGATGTGCTTGCATGAACAAGAGTTTAACGTACAGACTCTCAGGCTAGCCTGGCAGAGTTCCCTCATACTCCAAGGGTGTAAGTAGATCAGGGCCAATTTTTCTGTTATCCGTGCACTATCTGATAGTGCAGCATAACATAATTTATTTTAGGAACTAAATGCGCTCGTGGCTCTACCCTCTCCCTCCCGGGCCTCTCGCTCCTGTCGTCCCTGCTATCCATTCCCACCTCGAGGGCCAGACCGTCACTTCCATTCCGCAAATAGTCAAGGTGGTTATATTCCCATAAATGTAAGATAGGGTACTTCGCTGATTGCGATCGTCTTCCTCGAAGACAGCGTGACTATGTTTTTCCAAGAGATCACCTTGCCGTCGGACGTCAATATGTTGACATCTGGAGTCGCTTCGCTTAGTTCAAGGTTCGATCTTAGATCATACCCTTGTTATATTGATAGTGGTGGGACTTCATTTGATGTTTTCCAGCATATATTGGGGTAGATAAGCACTTCCCTCAATGCTTGAACAGGACGGTTGAACTGGTAGAATTTAGCCCAAGACGCAACAGCCACCGGTGACCCTTGTCGTGTGACTATCGACATCCTCACGATCTTTCCGTCGGCAGCGAATTATCGAGGACAATGATTTATGACACCAAAAGAAGTGCGCCGCCGCAAGCTTGGCACGATGTCGTACAATTTTCATTAGACCACAGCCCTCACAAGTTAACGTGACTCTGTGCCTTATAAGTATTGTACGTTGGTGATCAGCTGCCCACCGCTCACTCTTTGAATTCGCCATTTGATTTGCACAGTTTCATGTCGCAACTAGAAGACGATGCCTATGCTCTTGAATGGAACAACAACATATCTGGTTCGTCGGCCTTGCTATTAACGAACCATTAAGTGCTGAACTTTGTCGTTTCCAGTTGCAATAATTACCCTGTTATCCTATGAGTGCAGTTAGTAACTTTATCATGAATCTTGCACTGCGGCTGAGCGTAATATTATCTAGTTCTTCAGTTCGAGAAAGAGGTAACGAGGAGCTCGTTTTATTTTCGTCGAGTACTCACGATCATCTTATCGCAGGTCAAGTTTGTTTGGGTTAGAGTTCAACTCCAACGATATCAAGCTCTAGAAACTGACTGAATATCTAGGGAAGACAGTGGTCAGTGATGACATATCTATACCTCGTTGTGAGCCCTACCCTGCCAAAGCGCTTCATGGTTTCCCATTTTTGTTACTATGTCAGGTTCGATACTTTGGGGTTTTCATTGCAATGTATGTCGCGGCGGTTGTGTCCCTCAGATGGTATATTGCATGTTGACACTGAACCATAGTACTTGCGCCTGTTGTACGTGACATGATGTCAACTGAGCCATCACTTACTGACTAGCGCTAGGGGGTGGTCTATTTTATATACCTGAAGCAGTGAGTGTGTCAATTCTTTCTTTTGATTTCTGGGTTAATTCAGATTCAGCCGTACGTCAGAAGTTCGTTTTGCAGCTAAGCCTGATCTGCTGCTTATCTCTTATTTAGTTGTGAGTGTATCGTATTCAGCTAAAACCGCCCTTTGCTCATCATGAAATTGAAATAGGCCATGGTATTTTTCTGTTGATGCAATGGGGCTTTTCTTTTTATTTTTGCTTGGCGGAAGGTCAGTCATACACGTTCCTGCATCTTTGCGCGTACCGATTGTGCGTCCGCAGTCATTCTCATCTGGCGTCTTTACGCTCTATACAACCAATCCAAGCCTATACTTTATGTTCTCCTGGGGTTATTCATACCTGTCATCGCGCTCTACATAGCGATGGATATATTTTTATGGAGTCGACCTTCAGCGATCTCAAGTGAATGTCTACTTCGATCAAATCCTGTGCAAGCTAACGTCTGGTTGCATAGCGGAGGAAGTGATGATAACTCCGAATATCAAGTATTGCACGGCTTCGTTCCACATCGGGCCCATGCCTGCGATATATGCTTCCATCCCCATCATATGCTATGATATTTTCCTAGTTATTCTCGCAATCGCTGTCCTCAAGAAACACCTCAGGGAACGGAAGGAACTCAAAATGAGGCCTAACACCTATGTAATAATGATCGTCCAACATCATATCATATACTTTGTCCTGTAAGTTCCCCTTCCCCTGTCGGGATTTCTAACTGTATTCATTGAATCACGCTAGGAATCTGGCATGCCAAATTTTCATGGCGATACTGTGGGCCAACCTTCCGGTATTATCTCCCATTATTCTAGAGAGATCGGCTCTAACGCAGGCATGTACAGACGGTAGCGAGGAATCTCGTACTGTTGTTCAAGGATACTGCACCATTCATTATCGTGCCTCGTCTTATCATCAGCATTTGGGACACGCATGCCAATGAAAGCTGCGTACATGTCAGTACGACGTTCGAAGATTGCGTATGTTGGACTTCGCCACCAGAATTCGATCAGCACGAAATGGGCTCCTGCGCATGATCGTTCCTAAACGGGGAAGGAGGTAGAGTGAGGTCTTTCAAGCCCTCGGGCTCTAGCAAAACTCTTTGATACTTGTGCATGGGAGCAAGTAGTTCAGGGCCGATTTTTCATGTATCTATGTACTATCATGTCCACAAAATATCAGCATATATCGAGCTTGTACTAGACAGCCAAGCGTAAAAGTGGGGCTTAGCATAATTTATTCTAGAGGACTCGACATGCTCTTGGCTCGTGACTTTAAATTTGGGGACATTCCGCTGTTGACAACGTAGCTGTCTTCCGCGCATGTTGAACAGTAATGTGTGGTGGATGGGCCTCAAGGCCATTCTGGAAGTCAACGTTGAACGCCGTACGCTTTCAAGTTAATGCGTTCGCATTAGGAATGTACTCTGATGGACTCATCGAGATCAAAGAGGACGCCCCGCTACGGAAATCTGGGCTCAAAGGCTACTGGCAAGATAATAGAGAGCCATAAGCCGGTGATGATTACCAGGGGGACAGGTATTCAATGCCACTCGCCACTTCTCTTCGTTTGATGTGTTATTTAGCAACTGCTTCATCTCACTAACAAGAGTCTCGCTTGTGAGTGTACGATATCCAGTGAGGCGAGGCTGAATACGCACAAAAAGAGCAGAGATTACATCATTAAGACAGCTGGGACCTGCGAAGGATATACGTGACCTGTGTCAGCGATGGTTTCTCGACTGATGAGTCGACTCCGCTGGAAGCAAATATATATAAACCGATTGACTGGCCGCGCAGCCAGAATCGCTTGAATTCTGCACGAATGGGCACGAGGGAGGAGATCGTTGAGACTGAAGTACTGTGAACGACGCTGAACAGATATGACAGCAGACTTGCTTGAGACTTGCAAAGAGAAACTCAGATGATCTGATGTATGCGGGAGCAATTGCATAAAGCTAAATAAGGTTCCGAGTCAATGTTAATATTACGCGTGACGCGACGCGTTGCAAGACGTCGTTTACTTCTTTCTTGTGACAACCATTATCAGCTCTAACATGTCTCTAATGTATGGGAAAGAAAAGGACGCGGAACATGAATTGAGTGAGTCTCCAATGCCTCATCGACAGAAAGAATTTTAACTCTGACCTGGAAACCAGCATCTGACCCTGGTTTCGTTGCTTTCTTTTCTAAACTCCCGAAGAAATCTCCTGAAACTGGAACGGTCCGCCTCTTCGATCGCACAGACTACTACTCTGTACACGGGCAAGATGCTCACTACGTCGCAACGCACGTCTTTCGTACCAACTCCGTCCTCAAGTACCTAGGTGCTGGAGGCAAGGCTGGTGGTCTTCCGAGCGTCACGCTCAGCCATACCCTGGCTCACTCTTTTTTGCGGGATGCCCTCACATCTAAACAGCTGCGCGTCGAGATTTGGGTGCCCGCACCAGGCCAGGGAAGGAAAGCTTCCAAATTTGTGTTGGAGAAAGAAGTAAGGAAGCAACGTCTTGTCTTTGTGGGCATGATTTAATCATTCGCAAGGCATCTCCTGGAAATCTGCAAGCCGTTGAAGATCTTCTCTTTGTCAGCTGCGACGTTACCTCGGCACCAATCGTTTTGGCTGTCAAAATGTCGTCATCTTCAGGGACAAGCAAAGCTAAGACCAGGGCAGTTGGCATTGCATTCGCGGACACCAGTGTGAGGGAGTTCGGAGTTGCCGATTTCGTCGACAATGATCTATTCTCGAACCTTGAGGTGGGTTGCTCACTTGCAGACCGTCATTGCCATCTCCTCATACTGGAGTAGTCTCTTGTGATACAACTTTCAGTCAAAGAAGCCATTATTCCCACCGGAACAGTATCTGGAACAACGGACCGTGACCTTGATTTGAGCAAGCTAAAAGCCGTGTTCGAGAGGTGTGGCGTTGTTGTGACCGAACGTAAACCAAGTAAGCCAACCTCTATGCGGTCTCTCAAGCCAACTAATTCCAGACTATTAGGCGAGTTCACTGCGAAAAATGTGGCAGATGACGTCCAAAAACTAACGGTTGATCCTGAAACAAATTCAGATTTTGCTCCGATTCGTGGGTTTTTATATTTGAACTGCATCAACAACATTCACAATATGGTTTTAGCTGAGCTCTCTCTTCCTTCAGCCCCGTCTGCTCTTTCTGCCTTAATCAGTTATCTTTCTCTTCTTTCTGATCCTTCCAATCATGGGGCATACAAGTTACGAACACACGATTTGGCACGATATATGCGCTTGGATGCTAGTGCATTGCGTGCGCTGAATCTGATTGATGCCCCTGGGAGTGCTGTAAGTCATTCGAGATGTAGTTCACACTGATGTCTGACCTGCGAACGGTCACCCTGTAGGGAAGTATCAATAAGAACGCAACTCTCCTTGGTCTGCTGAATAAATGCAAAACTTCTCAAGGAACTAGGCTTCTTGGAACTTGGCTTAAGCAACCCTTGATAAATCTACACGAAATACGTACGCTCGTTTTCTTTTTCCACTTGACGTAATAAAAACCTTGGCCGCGCAGGTAAACGGCAAGACCTCGTGGAAACATTTGTGGATGACGCATCTTCTCGGAGAACCCTGCAGGTCAGTACAATACCATTCGCCAAGGGCATCATTTATTTTCGTTTCACAGGATGACTACTTGAAGCTGATGCCTGACCTCCATCGGCTAAGCAAGCGATTCAAGAAATCTATCGCATCACTTGAAGATGTTGTTCGGGCCTATCAAGTGGTCCTCAAGGTACTTTGGTTCGATTCTCAGCTATCAGCAATGCTTACTTGACCCGGCTAGCTGCCTGGTTTGCTTGCGGCTCTCGAAGGTGTCCAGTACGAACATGAGGAGCACAAGGAGCTTATCGATGAAATTTATATCAAGCCATTCGAGGTGCGCACGACGTGGTTTCGTCGGGTTATGTGCTTTTCCCTCGCTTTCTAACACACGCTGTTACCAGACTGTCAATAATAACCTCGTTAAATATGGGGAGATGGTCGAGTCAACGCTAGATCTCGAAGAACTCGAAAATCACAATTATGCCATCAAACCTGACTATGATGAGCGTCTGCAGGCTCTGGCAGATAAACTTGTGGAGGTATATCATTGTAACTATCCGAATATTAGCGAACCGGCTGACATTTCCTTAGATCCGAGATGGTCTTGATGCCGAACATCGTGCAACCGGCAAGGATCTTGATCTCGATCTTGACAAGAAACTGCACCTTGAAAACTCTCAGAATTACGGGTACTGCTTCAGGTTGACGAAAAATGTACGCTTGCCGTCCTGCGAGATGTCATGAGCTCACGTACCTATCAGGACGCAAAAGCCATTGTCCGGAATAATAAGTATATTGAACTCGGGACTGTCAAGAGCGGAGTCTACTTCACAACCAAGAAACTGAAAGTGCATTCCACGGACCATCAAGAGACTACGCATGAGTATCAGCGGACGCAGAGCGGGCTGGTGAAGGAAGTTGTCAGTATTGCATGTGAGATATTCCTTTCACTGCTACCTCGCCATTCACAGATACCCTTTCCTTCGTGTAGCAACATATACGCCCGTACTAGAGAATCTTGACCACATCATTGCGCACCTAGATGTGATCCTCAGGTGAGTCCACTCACTGGAGCCTGCGCATGTGGTAACGATCATTCAGTTTCGCTCATGTTTCCGTAAACGCTCCTGAACCATACATGAAACCAAAAGTTCTGGAGAAAGGCAAGTCTTAGAGAAAATGCTTGATGCAGGAGTTGATTAATGTATTATTAGGTACCAGCGGCTTGATATTACGCGATGCACGGCACCCTTGCCTCGAAGTTCAGGATGACATCAGTTTCATTCCCAACGATGTGGAGATGGTGAAAGGTAAGATTAACCACGCTATCACCATTACATAACTCATGTGCCGTCTTGTAGGAGAGGGCGAATTCCAAATCATCAGTAGGTTCTGCTATTGTGCCGTTTTAGCAGAACTAACCTACCGAAAGCTGGTCCAAACATGGGCGGAAAGAGCACGTATATTCGTCAGGTACGTCACTTATGTCATTGTTCATGAACACCACCATTCTCAACTTAACTCACAGGTTGGAGTCATTGCCCTCATGGCACAGACCGGGTGTTTCGTTCCTTGCTCGGAGGCAACCCTGCCGATTTTCGATTCCGTGCTTTGTCGAGTGGGTGCAGGTGACAGCCAATTGAAGGGCGTCTCGACTTTCATGGCTGAGATGCTTGAGACTGCGTCGATCCTCCGAGTAAGTGCGCATCTACGTGACTCTTTCTTTAGTCTGATTTCCATTTACTTTTCAGTCTGCTACGCAAGATTCTCTCATTATCATTGACGAGCTCGGCCGTGGTATGTTTTCTGTTAGACTGTGGATCCATGTGAATATTAACTGATCTCCAGGAACGTCAACGTACGACGGGTTCGGCCTTGCATGGTCCATATCCGAGTAAGCGAACTCGTTTTATCACCTGCAATAGTACCTGATGGCACCCGAGGCATATCGCATCCCACATCCGCGCTTTCTGCTTGTTTGCTACTCACTTTCACGAGTTGACTGCCCTTGACCAGCAGCTTTCTCACGTGAAAAATCTCCATGTTGTAGCTCATGTGAACCAAGAAGATGCGTCTGCGCCGCGCGAAAGGGATATCACACTCTTGTACAAGGTCGAACCAGGTGTGTTTGATTGTCCCCGATCGTATATATCTTTCTCTGAGACTTTTAAATGAAGGCGTCTCAGACCAAAGCTTCGGTATCCACGTTGCGCAACTGGCCAACTTCCCTGAAAATGTGGTCAAAGTCAGTGCTGGATCGAACTTTTCTATATTGTTCACTGACCGTGTGTTAGCTTGCAAAACGGAAAGCTGACGAACTAGAAGATTTTGCAACTGGTGATTGTCGACCAGTCTCTTTGTCAGGAATCTGTCACGCTGACTTTGGCTGAGCAGAGCAACAGGCAGAACCCGAGCATTCGGATGAAGTCACCGAGGAGGGCATCCAAGTCATCGAAGATTTACTGAAAAAGTGGGCCTCCGAGTCTTCAGCTGACGATGAAGACGCCATGATGGACGATGTGTCGCATGAGGCTCAGCTTGCTAATTTGCGGCAATGTGTCGAAGAGTTCAGACCACGCATTGAACAAAATGCATGGGTACAATCTCTACTCACGGCTTTCTGATTTCTCGCCGTTTTCTACTCCTTGCTATTATCGCTATTATTGCTGTCTACTGCCGTGCACAATCATACTGCTCTGGATCATTGTCACTAGTGTCTAGAAGTCACAAATTCGTCTGCCCGCTGCCTTTCATGTTATCCGCTGCCTCTCCCTTTGCCCATATCTGCGGGCCGTCAGACTCCCACTCTACAGCTGCCGAGTGGTGCGTATGACGTCCACCGGTTAGCGCTGAAATACTGTACCTAGATTTTACTCAAACGGCCATTTCCTCGATGTCTTCCTCAGCGTCAAAGGTTCGTCTGCCTGCCACATGCCATCTATCTTCTATCCCGCCCGGCGCGACAACGCGGCTGATGCCTTCTGATCACGGTTCTTATTTCTCACTGTCTCGATCACTAGAGTCTTCACTTGAAACGCTTATATATTGGTCCCCGCCTTTCTCCTGGCCCGGCACCTTCACGCTGTCTGATGCTATGGATCATGGATCATGATGGCTGGGATGATGTCAGATGATGGACAAACCGTTGACAAGCTTGGCCCCCGTAAGTATGGAATGAGCATGCCCATGGACCTTCATCAAATGAAAATTAATTTCCGGCTTTGGACTCGATTGATCAAGCGCCAGTGCACTCAATGTGGACTTTACGGTATGCTTACGCTGAATCACGAGTCGCGACAGGGTCTGGGGGTCTGCCAACTTGAAGTACACAGCCAAATGCTCACTGGGCCAACTGCCGCCTGACAATGCCCTTCTCGCATGTCACTGGAACATGTTGAATCCACGCGTCTTGGCTAATTTTACATCTGGCGTCTGGATATATCGACTCCTGGTCTGACACCTCGAAACCCCCGAAAACGCAAGTCAAAACCTTTTGTTTTCTTGTCTCAAGTCGTGTCATCTTTGCAATGTCGCATACTGTAAGTGTTTGTCTATGCCTCAGTATGATGTTAACTCGAAATCAGGTGGCCATCGCACGAGGACCTGCTCGTCCCAACGATACAGAAGCTTCACATCGCACAGACACGTGCAATGTTATCATTTTCGGAGAAGCCGGATCTGGCAAAAGTTCGTTGGTCAATTTGATCGCTAGGACGGACATGGCTGTGGTATCCCCCGATGCTATAGGATGTACAACTGAAACCAAAGCGCACGAGGTTTTGCTTCAGAATGAGACGTTGAAGGTAAAGCTTTTCGACACACCCGGTCGGTCCAGTTAGCCGCTCTTCGTGGTTATCACTGAATGAAATGGCAGGTCTTGACGAATGCCCTCAAGGTGCAGTCCCCGACAAGGAAGCTCGAAGAATTCTGAAGAACCTTATTGGAACTCTGACGGGGCAAGGCGACATTCATCTCATCATGTACTGTGTGCGGGGGAATAAAGCGATTGACATACTCCGCCGGAACTACGAGTTCATCCGCTCCCAAGTCAAGAGGAAAGTTCCAATTGTACTCGTCGTCACATGTTTGGAATTCCAGAAACCAGACATGGAAACGTGGTGGAGGGATAACGAACAAACCATATCAAACATCGGGATGATGTTTGCTGGCCATGCATGTATCACCGCGGATACAATATAAAAATCTGAAGTCATCAAGGAGCGCTGCGACCAGTCATCTGACACTGTCTGCAAGCTCATCGAGCAGTGCCGCTTGTCAAATGATACAGGGGTTCACGCTGAGCCGTTACGAGGTACTATTCAGAACGTCCCTTCTGAAATGACTGCAAGGTACGTAGAATCCAGACAGGATCTTTGTGCCATATTTTTTCAACATCAATAAGTAGGAGCAAGCATACGAATATCGTCCTTTTTGGGCAGGCAGGGGCAGGCAAAAGCTCACTCGTCAACCTCATGGCGGGACAGGATCTAGCAAGCACATCCAATGACACGACAATCAGCACGATGCACTGGAAATCATATCCCGTCGAATTTGATGGCGAGTCTTATAAGGTGTTCGATACCGTTGGACTCGAGGAACCCCAGCTGGGAATCCCACAATTCCTCGATGCTGTCAAGAATGCCTATAAGCTCATCCAGGATTTGGAGAGACAAGGGGGCATTGATCTGCTTCTGCTTTGCATGCGCGCAGGCAGACTCACTTCCACGCTTCAAAGCAATTACCGGCTCTTTCACGAATTTCTCTGTGACAAGAAGGTTCCCACCGTTGTAGTGATCACGTACCTCGAAAATGAGGTCGAAGACATGGATGACTGGTGGAAGAGAAACGAAGAACTTTTCCATGACCAGGAGGTCTATGTCGATGGTCATGTGTGCATCACCGCCATCGAAGGTAATTCTCCACACCGGCATGAAGAATCGCGCACCACGATCCGCAACATTCTCAAGGAGTTCGCTGCTGACGGACAGAAGCAAGCATGGATAGGAGGAGAAAACCTGTTCGTGTCGTTCATGCGTAAGCTGAAGGGGCTCCTTGTTGGGAATGTGAATGTAAAGAAGGACATGGTCTCTCGCCTTACCAAGCGTTGCGGTATGTCTCGGGATGTCGCAAAAAGGTTGGCTGATCGGATCAAGAAAGACTGGTGACTTCCCGTGTTCGATAGCTCGCAATTCGTCGGCTGTTGAGTTTTAATGATGTCATGATCCATATTCTACTTGAATTCTAACCACCCTGCTCACAAACTTGGTTCTGTCCACGCTTAGGGAGAAGTTTATCCGTCACAACAAACTCACCACATTTCTGTCATCACTAATCACCCCCTGCCCAGTTTTGCTCCACCATCATGATGTTGCGCAATCTGATTCACGGCGAGCGAGTCATCTATTTGCAATGGAGCTCCTTGCGTGCTCCGTCGAAGCTTTGTCTTCAATTGAGATGTGCCTAAGCTGGAAGTACATTAAAAATACGTTGAACGACTAGCTCATGAGCGACACATTCAAGTTTGAGCTCTATCCCTCCATTTGGGTTTGCTTTATCAAGGGAGACATCTCGAGAAACATGCTGTCTCGCCACATACTACAGTCACTTACCCTTGATAAAAACAGACAGCTGAGGTTGACAATCCTGTGTTCCAAACAGGCCAGCTGACGTCGGCCCATCAATGTATTGTTATGTTGAATACAGGTGGGCCGACCTCAAGTGATTTTCTGATATAAACAGTGGGCCCATGGTATGTGGTGTAGCAGATAAGTGTAGACTTTTGTATTGATTTTTGTAGATAGTGTATGGCAGATAGGTTATGAAGTATACACCTGATAACAACAGGTGGGCCGACCCTGATTGTGTATCTGATAGCAACAGATGGGCCGGTCGAAGTGTGTATGTGATATGAACAGTGGGCCCATAGTATGTTGTGTAGTAGATAAGTTTAGACTTTGTATTGAATTTTGTAGATAGTGTATGGTAGATAGGCTATGGAGTATACACCTGATAACAACAGGTGGGCCGACCTCGAGTGTGTATCTGATAGCAACAGATGGGCCGGTCGAATGGTGTATGTGATATGAACAGTCGGCCCATGGTGTGTTGTGTAGTAAATAAGTGGACTTTTCTATTGACTTTTGCCGGTAGTGTAAAAATTATGTACCTGATATGTGCAGATGGGCCGAGGGGTGTAGATCTTGCACAGAACACCTCGGTCAAAAGACACCCGGTCAAAAGACATGGTCAAAAGATGTTCGGTCACAAGATACTTGGTAAAAAGATACTCGGTCACATCAAGAATATGGAGGTCGGTCAATGGATTTGTATTGATTGTCTAGCTTCCACAACATGGAAATACCACCTCGGTGAAAAGACAATCGGGGAAATACACTCGGTCAAGATGCAATCGGTAAAATATTCATGTTGAGGTAGTTTCGTTGGCCGGCCTGCCGGAAATACTTTCCACGGCCACGTCGGTCAACACAGTCGGTCAACACAGTCGGTCAACAGACTCGGTAAGATACTATGAATAAGGAATTGTCAGGATAATATGTAGGTAGCCAGATTGGGGTGTAATATAAACAAGTGACAAAATTGTGCAGGTATACCTTTTTGTCACCAAGCATAAATCGGCAAATGCTCATTAGATAAGATGAATTAAAGCATGTGAATGTAAACTGACATGGCGTCATTCGCCAGTTCATGCTTAAAGTCTCAGTTTCAAACCAAGGAAGTCCACACACAATCGAATTATTTGTTCAGTACAAGTCCGTGATATACAGGCACATTGGCCAACCGACACATGGTATTTGATCAAAGTACGTGGTATAAAGGTACAATCGCCGACCGACGCATGATATATGGTTCAACTATGTAATGTAATACAGAGTCAAGGGATGGAGGTGGCTGAAGAAGCAGGCAATGGGACGGCAGAATGAGATGCAACTACTGCAGGGGCCGATGAAGGATTGGCGACTGCCGAGACCGAGGACACAACTTACTGCAGGGGCCGATGAAGGACCGGCAGGCTGCCGAGACCGAGGACAGCTTGTCCAGATCTGAAGGTGGAGCCCACTGTGTCATGCCGACCGAAAGGGCGAGACACCGAGGGTTCACCGGCTGCGGCTGCAACAGGGATGGGTGCGACTGAAGGATCAAACACGCTGTTCAAGAACAACCGGCCAAATGCTGTCACTGTGGGATGTTCGGCCTGGCTGATGGTCGGTGCTGGGAAGGAGGGATTGGCAGCGACTTGTGTCTGCCGAAACATCTCAAGCATGTCAGCGAGGCCATGAACAGCATTGAGGGCCTGATTGACATCAATGTGCAGGGTGAAGAATTCGGCACGCATGGAGGAGATAAGGGTGCGATACTCCCGCTGCATGGTGTTCATCCTACCTAGAACATTCCGGTCGGCGAGTTCCATGGCAGCAACCCGAGCAGTCAGTTGCAGGACGCTATCATGGATGGAGGCCAAAGGGATGGAAGTGATGGGGGCTGCAGGAGTGGGTGGGGGAATGGGGTAGCCAGCGGAGTTGGGTTCCTCCCAATGATCGGCCAGAAAGTCAGCCACAGATGCAAGGGCCACAGGTTGGTCAATTTCGATGTCATCGACGCCCACCATCTCGGTATCGACGTCGGTGGGCGTCTCGACGTTAGCACCTGTCACAGCTTCTAACATCGGTCAAATAATGATATGATGAATTGAATGAAAACTTACTTGTATCCTTGACCGGTTCCTCTTCTTCAGACTCCACAATTGGAGTTGCTTCTTCAGACTCCACAATTCGGAGCTGCTGCACGTGCACGGGATGCTGCTCTCGTTCTCCTCGACGGTCCTCTTTGACTTGGACCTTGAACGTGCGAACCGGGGCATCCCGAGCTGCGGCAGGACCGCCGACCTTGACTTTGACCAGGTGGTCGCACCTCACCTTCATTGAGTGGCAGGTGCCGCAGGACTTGATGGGCCTGCCCCCTCATGCCTAGAACGACAAGACAGCGCTTGTCCATCGCAACACATCTGCCGCAGGGTGGATCGTTCTAGTAAATGGTAAGTAACTTTGAATAGTTGAAGAAAATGACAACTCACCGATTCGGCATCGGCATCGGCATCGGCATCGGCGTCGGCGTCGGCATTGTCATTGTCATTGTCATCGGTATTGACGACCGAGCGCCCTCTAACAGGCTCGGACATTTCCCTGCCCTTTCCCTTTCCGGCTGTGCGACCGATGCTGTTGTCTGCAGGGGTCTGAAAATCATTGAGGAATGAATATTGAGGGAGGGAGGCAAATCTCACCTGCTTAACCGCTTTAGGGACACGCTAGAGGGGTGGGTCGGCATTCATGTCAAGTGCGAGATGACCGCGATACATACCTTAGACTTCAGCGGAGCCGATGGTGCAGGTTGAGCGATGTCGGATGTCTGAGAATAGGTCAATTTGTGCACAAGGTGGAAAGAGGAAAGAAAGGAACTTACCTTTTTGACAACAATGGATGGTAAGGGCTCTCGGTCTTCATCCTCGGTGTCGGTGAGGAGAGCCTTGGACAAGGGCCGGTCAGTCTTGCGCTTTTTGGACGCCTGCCGAGGTTCCGGGCTGTCCTCTCTAGATCGCCGATTTCCTGCGAGAAGGCTGTTTGCCTTTGTTGGCAGGCTGTTTCCCTTTGTCAGCAGGCTGTTTGCCTTTGTCGGTGGGCTGAGGAGGGGGTGGAGGGAGGGTTGCGATTGGGGGGACCGATGCTGTCTTGGGCGGAGGAGCTGGGACGATTGGAGATGGCAGTGCAGGTCCAGCATTTGATTCTTGAACTGGGGAAAAGGTTAAGTCCCACCATTGATGAAAAGACGACCGACTTACCAAAACCAACGGTCTTCGGGAAGAATGGATGGGACTCCATGCGAGGATCTTCATCCTTAACTCGGTCCCAGTCGGGAGCGAGAATGTTCATTCATGGTCGATCTGACCTCGGCTGCCACAGAGAGCAGCAATGGAGGAACGACCGAGGCATTCCTGCCATGCTTCTTAAGAGCATCAGACTGAAAAGGGTCAGTAGTGTCAATATGAATATGAGTAAGTAGAAGAAAAGAGAACATACCACCAGTCGGGCTATGTCATGAGCCTGGTCAACAGAAACTCGGCCATCCAATTGCCATCTTTTGATTCGGCGGAGTGCGGTGCGCAATGCTTCATCGGCGAGTACCAAAGCCTTGTTGGAATCAGTTGACAGAAGACATGATGATGTAATGATTTAGAGTAACAGAAAACAAGGTGAATGTGGGAAAACGAAGAACAGGATTGTTGGATGAGTGTTGACCTAGTTATATAGGGAACTGACTATGTGTGGATGTGGATGTGGATGTGGATTGGTGAATTTCAAAATTTGCGATTCCGCCGGTTATGGCCGAGATGTGGCATTGTGAGACGCCGGTAATGGCCGAAGTGTCGCATCGGATGTCAAACTTTTACATTGTTTTCCAATTCGAAGCCGTCACATCAATTCACTGGGGACTGCCAGCAGGATGTCTTCCCACGAGAAGTCCAATTGACAAAGCTCGAAGAATACAGGACGAGCACATCAAAGCCGATCGGAATTACTTTGTCACGTGGGACAAGTGGGTGCCACCGAAGATGTGGCCTCCTCCATCCGCTCAAAAGGACTTGATTCATGCCGCTCTCCACCCAATAGCACTTTGCACAAGCTACCAACTACATCCCGCACCAGTATGAAAACCAAGACATCCAAGAAGACACGTGCGGAGATACTTGCCAGGACATATTTTGGAGATGAAAGTAAGTGTCCTGTTGAGTAAAACTCGGCTGATAATTGATCACCTATCAGCGTTTGACATGTGCTATGGCACCGAAGGTGATGCATCAATGACGGTGGACACACCGTCCTATACAGCATTGGCCGATGCACAGTACGGCAGACAAAGTAAGTGCATAATTACAGATGCAATTGCTGCGTGCTTATCCCTTGTCAGTATTTGAGATGTGCTTTGACCCCGAGGTTGAACCAGCACCTATCATTACTGCAGAGACATCTGTGCCACCAGCGTCGCCCCGATATGACCTATGCTGGGACGAGGCACCGATTGCCTCGGATGCCGACGTCAACCAAATCGTGGAGCTGGCGACATCTGCGCCACCAATGGCGTCCCAATACTATTTCTGTTGGGATGCTGCGCCGATTGCCTCGGATGCCGATGTCACACCTATCATGGAGCCGGTCAACACACCTGCAACAGAAGAGCGATATGATATGTGTTGGGATGACCAACCGCCGGCATCAACATTTTTCCACAATGGTGAGCCTCGGTCATCTAGGCTGCTGATACATACTGACAATCTTGCAGCTGATTGTGATATGTGCTGCGGCGATGAAGCATCCGGCAATGCCGATGAACCATCTGGCGATGCCGATGACCGAGGAAGTGGTCTGACCTTTGAAGAGATCGTCGACTCGGTCAATGCCAGTTATGATCAACTTCGGCTTGCATCGCCGGCCGCAACACCACCACCGAGATCCACCGGGCTTGCTTCGCCGGCCGCAACACCACCACAGAGGCCAACAACACCAAGTCAAATGTCTGACACTAGTGAGGAGGTTCTCAGCCGAGCCAATATGCGGTTACACAATATTGACACTTTCATGAGTAAGTTCAGTGTTCAACCGATCAGGAGTGTCATGAAATTAACCTTTACCGACAGACAATGACCCAGGAGAAGCATTTGCGGTGATTATAGATGCAAACCGTGGTTTGATCTCGGAGTACAGGGAAGCTCGGGACAGATTCATGGAGGCTGGCAAAGATGTTGCAAAGATCCAACATCTGATGAACTTACAGCGTCAGATAGATGATCCATTGCGTGTATTACTGAAGTCAATGAGGAAAATGGGCCGGGGCGATTCCCCGGTCCGGTAATGTAGAAGACTGCAACCATGTATATACAAAGTCCATTGAAAGCCAAGTACCTAATGTATATATGAAACCTATTGATGACCGACAACTACATGAAGTCATCATATCTCTTGGGCTTTTGCCGGCGCCTCACACCAAGTGAACTGTCAGCCTTGCTCCTAGTGCATCTTGCCGGCGCATCAGCGAGCGAAGGTGCTGTGGCTTTGGCCACCTTCTTTTTTCTCGGCGACGGATCCTGCACTGCTGGTGATACCTGCTTGTTCGCCCTGGTCCTCTTGACCGGACGGTCTTGTACCGCCGGCGATGTATCTCTGGGAGAGCCGGGATGTTCTATCGGCCAGGCTCTGCGATGCTGGACCAGAATGAAGATGTTCCAGACCTCGCCGAGTTGATTGTGGGCCGAAGTTGCGGGCACGCTTAGGACCGGCCGTCACAGTGTCCCTGTGACCACCATGCTCGGTCATTGGTGCAATGGGAATTTCAACAGTGACCCTCTTGGGTGCAATCTGTCAGGCCTTCATGCGCCAAGTCTGTGCGGTTGCCTGTTGCTTGTCCCTGCAGTGGGGAAATATCGGCATTTGTGGTTCCAGGGCCTTCATCATCACGGTCATTGTCAGAAGTGACGTAGGATGTCTTGGCAGACCTCGGCCGATGTGTGGCAAGGCCGGCCGATGCATGCACAGCCGCGGCCGATGACTTCTTTGTTGGTCTTGTGAGAACACTCTCGTTGTCGGCATCACCATCTGAGTATTCAGAGCTCTCGCCGACGGGTAGGCGTATCTTCCCCTTGTCATCAATCCAACCTTTGAACTGGAATGTTGGTCCAACCTGGTTTTCCTGTTGGTCGTACCAATGTTCCAACAATGAGTCAGCATCTCGCCGAATCAATTTTGATGGCTCCATGATCTGAACACCGTCCAGTAAGTATGTGCTGGAGATAAATCTTGACTGTCCCTTTAGAATATCGCTCCAAGGGACTGGAACCTTCGGCTTTCCACAACATTTCCCTGTGGCGGCCGATATCAGATAGACGTGCAGGTTGTATGGGAAGAGGCTTACTATAATAAGTGGTGAGGAATGACCTAATCATTCCCTTCTTGGTCTCAAGTGAGAGGTCGTCCATGTCGGGCAATATCGGCAATCCCTTGCGGTCCTCGTCAAACTCATATTGTGGTTTGGGGACCCGACGCATGCCTCCGATCACCGTCCCATCCTGGTCTTGATCTACATCTTGGTGGAAGGGACACAGATTAGATGGAGAACCGGCGGTCGCATGGTCTTGAAACTCACCGAATGCTTCACCGATATAATCTTCCCATGCCGGTAAGATGACCTGCCAGTCCTTTTCTTTCATGAAGCTGATTCCCCTGCCGAGCTGTTCGTTGAAGTCGAACCTGTCACCTTGTCAACACGCAAAATAACCGACCGACCGACCGGATAAACTCACCCAGATGTAAGGAGGCCACCCTTCTCATCCTTCCAGGTACCCAATACAAATACTCTCATCCCGGCCTGAGTAAACATCTCCTTGGCGAAGTGCTTGACCATCTTTTCACCTTTCTTTTTGGCCGTTTTGGCTTGGACTGTGGCATCGGGCGCTTGATTCGTCCACTCGTCGGCCTTCGCCTGGGCCTGCTCCAACTCATCGTTGTCCAGAGTTTTCATGACCGCTGTCATCATTGGTTGATACCTCTTGAGTACCTCTTTCTGCCCGGCCTTCCGCCCGGTCTCGTCCTCAATTTCGTCTCGGATTTTCTGTAGGATGTCGGCCTTGCGCTCCTCTTCTATAACCCGGCGTGCCGTCTATTTCTTTTGCAACCTCATTGGCGGTTTAGCTTGAGCCTTGCGCTTCTTATGATTGTAGAACCACTCCCTGTATTTCTTTTTGTGTGACCATAAAGCAGCATGAGGGATATCGGAGCCTGAAACACTTACCAACTTTCGTTGCTTCAAGAGCTCTTTGTCCATTTGTGGAGCAAAGAGTTTGGCCTCTCTTGCTGCCGCTTTGAAGATATCTCGTCGCTGCATCCCACTGGCCTTCTGCCACTCTAAGATGAGAATCCAGAGCAGTGGTCTCTCGGTCATTCAACCGAGGCTGATCCCCTGTGGTAATCTTTGTCCGAGGCATTTTTCAGTTCGGAACTTTGAGCAAAGAACCTGCAAATGTGAGTGCAGGGGAGGATTTATACAGGTGGTGGGACAGGAAAAGGAAGGATAGGTCGTCCGAGCAATTATTCGGATGAGTGACATGCACCTATCATTAGCACACGTAAGGGCTAGATTGTACCGAATAGTGTGATCCCAGTGCTACAGGACATATATCTAGTGGTGTTGATGCAAGGGTGGGTATGTCCAGTAAAACTACAGGTCCTGATGTGCTCTCACCATATCATATGCATAATCAATATACACCATTGACATTGCTCCACAAATATCCATGCTGATGATTTGCAAGAGATGAAAGTGACTATTACATATGATAGATTGCATTTGGCAGTCGCATATAAGCATCAAATTGTATCATATCTAAGCATTCGATTTCCAACAACACATCCTCACCATCACAGCACTACTGTTATACATGGTCAAGTCAAAGCCAAAGGCGTGGAGTCCTCCCAAGACATCCTCTTTGGTTCGATGGGTGGACAAAAGAACAACTAGGGGAGATAAAGGTCGATATGTAAAGGCTCGACGTGATAATACAACAAAATCAGTTCATTCATCTCCCATAAAATCACCTGTCAAGCAGGGATCAGCCAGCGGACGTCGTGCCGAGCATGACTATGCACACTACAACCTCGCTGAAGCAAATTTGGAGCATTTTCAGCTTCGAAAGTCAATGGCAAGCTCACAATACAATTGCCATTCCTCTCACCATTTATTGATGCCGAGCATTTATCAAGAGTCAAAATGACTATCTTCGTCAGTGGAAGGACAACACCGATGACTACTTGGACCTGCTCCTTCGGCGGGAGGGTCCACCTTCCATCAGAACGTGCTCGGTCTGTGCAAAGGACGGAGTCTATAGATGTCACAGCTGTGTAGGCCAGCCACTCTTCTGTACTCATTGCTGTCGGACGGTGCACAGCCGGATGCCATTCCATCGGATCAGTCAATGGACAGGGGGATTCTTCGAGGATACCTCCTTGACTAAGATCGGGCTAGAAATACACCTCGGTCATGCCGGCCAGCCTTGCCCGGGGTTGACCGATGAATGGTATGACACAGATGATGAAGGAGACGATTTGACCGAGGGCCCTTGGATACCCTTAGTGAATGATCCTCGTACCACCACAGTGGTGGACAGGACGGGCATTCACTCCTTGATGATCAGGTTCTGTCGGTGCACCGATGCTATGACGGCCGACAAGCAACTATTCGAGACCGGACTCTTCCCTGCGTCTTTCACTTCGCCGAAGACAGCATTCACATTTGAAGTGTTGGACGATTTCCTGTTGGACAACTTGGAATGCGGGACTTCGGCCATGAACTATTACAGTAAGTTGAGGCGTGTCACATCCAGCGTCTTCCCTCATCTGGTGCCAGTGAGTGATGTTGATGCCGGCTTCCATGTCATTACTCACAATGGGCCGAAAGGACCGATACCGGGAGTTGATGAGGGTCGGCAGGCAATGGCGACAGCTCAAACAGCTCAAGTGGCATGGGTTCGGCCATGAGAAGCGAAAGCCGAAGGCAGGGGAGCTTGCTCTCTTCTGTCCTGCATGTCCGCAGCCCGGCGTAAATGTCAATTTGGCAGACAGGAATCGGTCCTGACCCAGCCTGGCTGTATTCCAGATCTTTGGTCATGGATGGTAATTTCAAGGCCGAACATTTGCATCCGACAAATCCAGCCGGCGAGGTGGCTTTGACCTGACGGCTTGGGATTCATGGTCGGCGATGCCCGATACAAAATGCATCTCGCCAAGGCGCAGGATACCAATCAAAGATCTGATTGCAACAATCACCGAGCGGTCAACCAAGCAAATGCATCTCGGCACAAGCTCGAAGCAACCGGCATCGGCGGGTGTGCTTGCGCCAGACATGGATGTTTCGTTCCCCATTCCATGGTGGACTTTCAAAAGGGGGAAAGGTTCGTCTTTCTAAACGCTGCATTGGCCGGGTTGAACTGATGCGTCAGTCGGCCGAAGGCAGATGAACATGGATTATGCGCTGTGCCAAGCCCTGTCCTACAATACCGATGGCATCGAGCGAGCATTCACATTCTACGACATTAATTGTCAATACCACAAGCATCTCCATCAGAGGATTGATGCATCCCCCTATCTCGGCCTTCCATGGGGCATGGACATCATTCCTGGCATCGGCCTCTGGCATGTTCACGGACATCAGGACAAATGCTACGTCCGGTATGCCTCCAACTTCATCACCTGGCGCTGCGAGGATAGACGGCGAAATAATGGAGACCTTGTGGGCGCCTTTGAATATTATATCACCGTCGGCAAGGGGGATGTCCACCCCACACCTGAAAGGAGTGCTTGGACTATCAAATGAACGACTGCAATTTCATGAAGATGATTCGCATGAGTGAGTGATAACGCGTCGCCGAGCTCACAAATCCTGATGCATATAGGCAAATTCCTTTGCCGGAAATTTAAGGAAGCTGTGAAGGGAGTGAAGGACAGCCGATATGCATTTGACCGGTTGAGCGAGACCGCCAGCGAAGAAACCCTTGCAAAATGGGAGGCCGAGGCCGAGGCCGCTCAGAATGACCGACTGGATAATCCCAGCGCCATGGACATATACGAAGTTAAATTAACAAAAGGTCCGTCGGAATGCAACTCCTATCTACAACATGCTCATCGACTTACATCAAGCGCCGACGAAAAAACAGCAAGAGTTGCGCCTGTTGAATCGCCAGGCAAGATGGCCGGCCGGCGAGCTCCACCGCGGTGCTGCGACCTGGCTGGCCGCTGGAATTACGCTTGAGGAGGCCCAAGTAGCCCTCCTAATTGACGTGAAGAAGCTGGGAAGGCGGCCGACCGATACCCAAAAATTGGCCGTGGCTCGGCGGCGCAGATAGACTGCAAAGCCAACTTGATGAATTCATCAGGATCGCGCTCACATTTCTCGGCGATGGATATGAAGGATATGACCGGTTGGATGGCATGAACGTCATGTTGGATGCCGCAGAATTGGAGTCGGTAGGTTCATTGTCTGACAATGCCGATCGGTCGGATGATGAAGAAGATGATGTGCCGGTTGAGTTCAATCCCGAGACCGTGGTTATTCCTTTGCCGTCCAACATTGGCGTTGAAAGGTGTGCCGAGTGGGGCGTTGCCGACCTTGTGCTGCAAGAAATATCTTTAAGAGAAGGCCAGGCAAATGACGCTTTGCATGCCATCAGGGTTAATTTGGCTGACAAAGCCGTTCTCTTTCGGACAACGGTTCGGTCGGCGAAATCCCAAGCTCGGTCGACCAGGGCATGGGCCCAGGTGCATTCGGTCGACAAGGTTCTTCATTTAAATACTCAGATATACTCAAAATGCCGCAGGCAGCTCATCAGTCTCGGAGCCGATGACTTGCTCACGAAATATCGGCCGTTGCAGAAGGAGGACCTCAAGGCTACTACAGTAGTGGCCGACCCGAATGCGCGCGGTCAAAGGAATAGCACGCTGGCATGGTTCTGGTCAATTGATGTTGAGGGGGATTCCACAAGCAATGACTGGATGGATGAATGTGTGCACTTCTCCGACCGACCTTGTGCTGTTCCGAACTAATTTCTTTTCACAGTTTACCCCGTCCATTGGCTTCGGACATTGGCATTGTGGGATCGTTGGGCGGAGGAACTGCTGCTGGTCGGTAGAGAAATGACATGGACAGTTGAATTTTTCATTCATAAATCCGAGCAATGGGTTGGCCGAATGCAAGAGGCCGACGCAAATAACATGATCGGCCACCGGTGCTATGCTGCCCGACAGGCCCAGATTTACCTCCGACTCTCGCAGCATGCACAAGACAGCTTTGAAAGGACAAAGGGGGTCGCTCAAGTGGCAGAGTGACAGGGGTCCACATACGGCCACAACCGCATTTGGACAATGGGAAACGTCACATTAGATCAGTCACAAGTACAATGCCGATTCCTATAAATATCGCCATCCTTCATTGATTTACACTTCAATTACATCTAGCTACACTTACGCAAATCATGTCTGGAACCAGCACCCTTTCAACTCGTGAAATCAGTGACTTCACTGCATGGGATGCTGCCAATGTCTTGGAATATGCAACATCCAGATTCGCCGCAATCTGGCGTGCATTGGACCGGAGCCATGTGAATCGGACAGCGGCATACAAGGCAAGTTTCGTCCGGCACCTGCAATGGGAGGTAGATGTGAGTACCTTATTGGTAGTTCGGTTGTATGACACAATGGCTAATTAATTGATCAGGCATTTGTCTTTCCTTACACAAACATATGCCTTGTGATGAACATTCATCCGACCATTCCTGCCCTCCTCCGCAGCGTCATGTCATGCTTTGCCCGATTACAAACCGGGTCCATCACCGCCGAAAAATTGTTCCAGGAATTTCACACAGAATGTTCTCCCAATGACCAACGACTCTGGTCCAATCACCGAATCGTCAGCACCTACCACCATGATTGGTGGAAGGACCGGTTCGATATTCTGGGGTTTCAACTCCCTATCTTGAATGTCAGCGAAGTCATGGAGATGACCGAAGATCATTTTGAGCGACTGGTAAGTCATTTTCCTGTTCTATTCTGACATTTTACCGATCATACCTCTTAGCCGATGGGTACCATGCTTGTTCCCGGCCCGGTGATCACTAATCAGGTTGAAAGTGATGCACTCTTCAATCAGATTGTGGCAGTCAGGGCCCATCTTCTAGCTCTCGGTCAAGCGATGGAAGATTTACTGGAGGAAAAAACTCAGATCGCCGCAGTGGCCGCTGCCACCATGACACAACTAGAGGCACCGATCGATGAAGTGGAGCAGGCGCTGGTCAATTCCTTTACTCCTTTGGACAATGAGGGATGAGGGATGATATTACATACAAGTCCTTTACATTCGGCCTAATTGCCGATCTGACTTACAATGCTGGAAATGTAAATAGATTTACTACATGTGTCTCGGTTGTTGGTATATATTAGTTTGTAAATCATTCCTTCTCTTCCTCTCCCCCAATAATGATCTCAATTCCAACTGACTGCGCGTTGCATACCACCAACATTGCCTGTGACTTTGTATACCTCCTCTTTATTTCATATGTTGTTGGCCAACAAAACTCGGTATTTCCGCCACTGGAACTGGATGTGCGAACCATGATAGCATGTCGGCAATTAGCCCAGGTTCTTGCTGATGCGTATTGCAATCCCGGTCGGTAATCCCTATCATTTAACCTGGCGCTCATTCACACATTCCAGTGTACCTGAAGTTTGACATGGTTCGCTACAACGAAGCTCTCGACCGACGTTCTACCGGCCGGATTCCAAAGCATGAAGATGTTCTGCTCCAAAAATTCCCCCATGGTCCCCAACAATTATTGGAGAAGCCCTCGGTCCTGGTGGATTCCGGCGGTCGGATTATTGCATGGTATCTTCCGAATGCAATTACCCACTGGATTCAAGTGAGGGTGCTTATCATCCTACATAGTCCGGTGTTGACACCCCCCACCAGGCCGAGATGGAACAAGCCACAGTGAATATGGGGCATCTCCTGAAGAAAAGTATGACCAATGGACAACAGACCAAGTGGAGAACATTCTCCAAATATTTTCACAGCAGCAATGGCAGCCCTCTAACACCAGGATGTATCAATATTGCCCCTTGCTGGTTCCAACAAGGTCATGAGGTGAGACCGACCGGTTTGTATCAGGGGATCCTAGTGCTCACTCGGCAGTTCTAGCCTCAGGGTTTTCCCCCATCTGGTGGTTTCACACCGGAGGTATCAGCTGCACTGAAGGGTGACGGTGGTCCGGCGGTCATATTATCCATGCAGCGCTCGGCATTGCTGACCTCGGCGGCTCTTCGGGTCATGCATCCTGACTTATATTGGGCCTCAGTCACAACCCAGATTAAGCTCGGTCAATGGGCGAAGGAAAATGACCTCATTGACATCTATACGTGTTTGCAACTTTGGGCCTCGGTGTTCAACTGCGCCGCTGTCATCTGCAATAGACAATGTCCCCCTCACCGAGATCCAAGCTCCACACCCGATGGGTTTGATCTCATGACCAGTATCGGCAATTACTCAGAAGGAATCATGACGCTGTCCAACTTAGGTATTCGATTACAATATAACTCCGGCGCCATGGTCAGCTGCTCTGGACACATGGTCAGGCATGGCGTGACATTCACCGGCGATCACATCGTGTGGGCATGGTTCATTCGTGATAGCCTTCACAATTTTGTTGGGACACCTCGGACACAGTATGCAACATACATGGATGTTGGCCAGGATGTCATGGTTCAAGCTTAGAGGGTTGCATCATTATATAGACATTCAAGACCGTCTCATGTATCACATTGATTTGCTGAGATGCATATATTGGCCATTATTAAAGAGCTGAAGTCACCTGACCTTGGCCGACCGATGTGTGCCGGGAGCGACGTTGGCGAGGCGATCCTTACAGATAACACATTGGATTGGCCGACCCGAAAGAATCAAGCCTGCATCGGCCAACCCGATGGCATCGGGACTTCATTTGCATCGGCCCATATGATGGAATCCGGTATTGATTTCCATCAGCTGACCCGATAGAATCAGGCGTGCATCAGCCCATCTGATGCCATCAGCTACGATTTTACATCGGCCTATCTGATTCCATCGGGTGTTCATTTCCATCGGCCGGCCTGATAGAATCGGGCGTGCATCGGCCCATCTGATTTCATCAGCTACTAGTTTTGATCGGCCGATTTGCTTCCATCGGGTGTTCATTTCCATCGGCCGGCCTGATGGTATCAAGCCAGCATCGGCCCACCTGATTACATCAGGACTTCATTTCTATGGGCCGACCTGATAGAATCAACTGTCGATCGGCCGATCTGATTCCATCGGCTATTCGCTTGAATCGGCCGATCTGATTCCATTGGGTGTCCATTTCCATCGGCCGGTGTGATAGAATCGGGTGTGCATCGGCCCATCTGATGACATCAGCTACTAGTTTACATCGGCCCATCTGATTCCATCAGCCATTCGTTAGGATCGGCCCATCTGATAACATCGGCAATTCATTTTCCATCGGCCGGTGTGATAGAATCGGGTGTGCATCGGCCCATCTGATGACATCAGGTACTAGTTTACATCGGCCCATCTGATGACATCAGCTACTAGTTTACATTGGCCCATCTGATTCCATCAGCCATTCGTTTGGATCGGCCCATCTGATAACATCGGCAATTCGTTTGCATCCACCCATTCAATTCCCTGATGCTCAACATTTGTTTACCACATAAACAACATTTTCTTCATCGGCTGACCGATACCAACAGACTGTATTTTGGATGGGCCGACATGATGGCTTCACACCCATCGTCGGCCGACCTGCATCTCGCAGCTACTATATTAATCATGGGCCCACCTGATACCATCATACACCCTCCTCCACTACCATTTTTTGATGTACCACCGGCCGACATGTAAATATCAAACACCACTACCTATGGGCCCAGCTGTTAACATTGTCTTACTGTCAGCCCGTCAGCCGAACGCTAGCCACGGGCAACATTATTCGGTCGGCCGACGTCCGCTGGCCTGTGTGGAACAGGATATTGTCAACCTCGGCTGCCTGTAAAATACAGGGTATGTGACTGAATGGGCTCGTAAGGGGAATTGGTGCCATACGGGGCTGCAGCCAGATCGTCTCCTACAGCGGGTGGGGGGAAAATGGGCGTCGAAACGCCTCCATTTTGTAGCAGGCTCGACCACCAGATGAGATCTTCCTCGATGTCCTTGGTGGGGCGGTGTGGAAGGTGCGGTTTCTTGCCGCATGTACTTAGCATACCTTCTAACGACGTAAGGTAAGCACACCCCTTCCGCACGACTTGGCACGCGTGTAAAAGCTTGCCGTAAAGCTCGCGAACATCTTGAAGGACGTGAACTGCTCTGTGGCGCCACTTGTGGATGGCCAGCAGGTACTTAGATACCTTTTCCGGGCTCAACGACACATTTCTGGTGCCCGCGTCCCACAGGAAACCAATACACACTGTGGAGAGCGCGAACGGTTGATCTTTGTCCCTGTCCCACATGATGCCGAGGTGATCGGAGAGTTTGTTGATGTCCTCGAGGCAGTATCCGAACAGCTTGTTGTGATCTGATCTTGGCGACTGTCCCGATAGGTCTTTGAGGGGCCAGGAACAGTCTTTGTTGAATTCTTCTGTGGAGTTGTCGTCAAAGGTGCGTCCTCCAAACCAGATTCTACTCCCCGATTGATGCATGCCCCACTCACTTAGGTCTACGTGCCACAGTGCGCGTTGTCTGTTGTAGTTAGCTAGGTGTTCTATTCGGATGCGGATAAAAAGGTGGTTGTCGACCCACTTATCAAGTGGGCCAATGCCGTTGTGCCTCATTACTTCGGCGCCTGCGTCTGCGACGTGTCCATATGCTCCTGCCGAAGGAGTGGCACCAAACGACACGCACGTGTCGACGTAAACCTCGTTATGTGATGTGCGGACGACCACTGCTGGCCATTGGGAGGGGTGTAGGGGTAGGGTCCTATATGCTTCCGATACGTCTCTCGTTGCGAGTTCTGATCCTGCGGGGAGTCTCGAGATCAGTAGGTATATGACTGAGAATTTACCCCAGGTGGTGGGGAAGTTATTAGCGTCGATGTGGGAATTAATGGATGGGTTGGGATATGCGGGAGACGTGGTATGTGGGAACGAAAAATTCTGGACAAGTCTGAATTTGCCGGGTTTTCCGGGTTTTGGTATTATGGACAGTGGGGAGGTTTGGAATGGGCCTATAATGAGTTCTAACTTTGAGGGGGTAAATGGACCTATGTATCTCCCTTTATTAACTTCTTTTTGAATGCTGGCATTAAACTCTGTGCGATAATCGTCAACGGAATCTTTGTTTGGTGGGCTTTGTACATGTGTAATTAAGGGGAAATCTAGAAGAAAACCTAATCGGAGACCTTCAGGAACCTTCGCAAAATGTTCTATTGCGTTCGCATTATGAAGCGCTTGCTCCCATGCATCTGCAATGTATGGGGTGATGGGCTTAGACCTTCTGCGCTCTAGCGCAACGCTGGGCTCCGTGATCTGGGGAACCACACCCCGAGCACATATGTTTGTTGCCGTGTGAGGTGTTGGTGCAACCTTCCTCACGTTGCCACGAGGTACACAACTGTCATCCATCCCTGGTCCAGAGCGCTTTGTTAATGCGCTCTGAGAAGGTATCAAAGAGGTTATCCCAGGTTTTGGGGGCGGTGCACTCGACTGTGTGATGGGAGTTGCGACCCAGGCAGACGGTGCAACATGGAAATGGGGAGGATGGGTTGGGAACATCACGAAAGGAGCGTGATTTCTTCCTCTGGTCGTTGTTTTCCGCGTTCGGAGATAGAGTTCTCTTCTGTAGAGCGGGAGGCCTACTGCTGGTGTTGGCGGGCTGTTGGCTCCGCACAACGTTCATGTTGGGGGCGGTAGCTGCCTGTTTGCGTGCGAGTGTGGGGTTGTGTGTCAGTGGGGGGGGAATGACGAGGAGGGCGCATGATGTCCGGATAGCCATGATGTTGGTTAGTAGCCGGTTTGACGCGTGATGGTCGGAGCGGCATCGTTTGTGAGATTGAGCGTGATGTCGAAAAACGAAGTTTTTAGGGAACGTTGGCGAACGTGATGCGCGTGGTTCGTGATGTGAGTGGTTTCGATGATGAGAGAAAATAGTTAGTTTTGTAACGGGGGTTGGGGGTGGGTCCCTACCTGTCTGAGTGCGGCGAGTGCGTTATCGCGGTCTTCGTTGAAGATCTCCTCTCTCGCCTCAAGAATGAGGTCTTGATTGAGCTCAGCTATGCTCCACCCATGTGGTCCACCTGCTGTGAGGTGCCACAGCCGACGTTGTTGACTCTGATAAAGCAGTAGTGCGCGCTGCTTTAGAGTGTCGAAGGCGTGTCTCCAGCGGTGATTTTGAAGTGCTGTCCAAAATAGAATATGCATGGTGACTCTGTCCTCTGGCCATCCATGCTGTTTCATGGCCGTTATCATACGCGGGGCGGCTTCGTTAAAATGTTCCCAAGACAGATTCTCGTCCTTGGTGACGACAGCTTTGGGGTCGCGTGTTTCGTCGGCGTTGACCCAGGTTTGTTGTCCTTCTGCGTTTGTTGTTAACATTAGTCTTGGTGCTTCGGTGGAGAGTAAAGTCTTCTTAGCATCCTTCAAACCCTTGTTAGTGAAATAATATAGTTCACAATATTCTCCCGCTTTCAATTTGCGCACGGCATAGTGAGAAGGAATGACGACCAGGACAGAGGGAACTTTGGAGTTGCCGATGGGGACGAACTTGGACTTGTTTTTCTTTTGTTCTTCCTTGCGAGCTGCTTCCTGTTCTTCCTCTAAGGCTTGATGGTGTTCTTGTTCCTCTTCGGCTGCTAGACGCTGGGCCTCTTCTGCGTCTCTGGCAGCTTCTTCGATTTGTTCAGCCCAACATTCTCTATCTGCGTTATTGTTTATGGTCCATAACATTGCTAGAAGTTCTGCCGCTTGGGCATCGTCAGCGACGCCGTTGGCTATAAGTTGATTTCTGGCTGCTTTGTGCTCAGCAGTCCTGAAGTTCGGTAGTATAGCGGTATTAGGGTCGTTAACCATGAGAGCCATTTATTTCTAATAAAAGGAACAGAAAACGAGAGGGCTAGGGCTTGTGATCATCTACGTCGTTCAGAAGCTGATGTGGGCAAGAAGAAAGAAGCTGCGCCACATTGCTTACTCACGCGTAGACTATATTCTATGATAGCCTCATGCCTCGGCTATCTTAGAATTCGAACCGGCATCGTTCGAGAAGGTCTTCGATTTGGCGCTCAACTTCAATTTGCAGAATGTCGTACCATTGCACCGCATGGCCAAGGCTGCGACGAAAAGGTTCTCGTATTTCGTCGCCCTTTAGAAACGCATCATTAGTATTCGTTTATAGTGTACTAAATTGACTTACCTTGGAATCTGTCAATCGGAAGCCTCTATGCGAGTAATATGTCTTGAGAGCGTATGTAAGCGCATTAATTGCGTCGCAGGAACGCTCAAACAACGCCTGGTAGAAGGATAGTGATTCAAGGGAGACTGCCATTCGAGGCTGCGAAGGTGCTGTTGGGAACAAGCCATGGTGGATAAGGACTTGGGGAAGGGAAGAACAACAGCAACTCAATGCTTCTATAGATTCAAAGCCTAATAAACCGTCAATACGAACATTTTCTCTGGTATGTTTTCCAGCGCTTACGGTCTAAAAACAAACATACAAGACTTGTCCATTTTGATGCGCACCTGAGAGTCCTACACGCTGAGACGACTTTCTGGATTTTCTCTAAGGGTTTGCCATGTGTTCGCGCGGAGTATTGGAGTTGGGCTTCGACGAGAGTGGGAATGAGTGTTGACCATGAGTTGTATGATGTTTGAGTCGACCTGTCAGGCCAAATGCGACGTTTCAAGGCGTTCGATGGCGCTTCCCCTGGGCTGGAGTCCGATTCTGGTTCTGGCACTGACATTTCCACACCATCATCTGCGATGAAATTATCAGCAGGATCAGGAGGCGCATTTGTAACGAGGGGAGGTGGGAGAGGCAACTTCAACACGTGATGATCTGGATTCATCAGTTGTTCCATTGCTGCGAGAATTTGGCGTCGTTTGGCCTCTGCACCAGGTACCTTGACCGATGTTTGAGTCGTCCTCTTGTCTCGGGGCTTGCGCGGACTGACAGAGTGACGTCCAAGCCCAGATAATATAAGCCGATTGTGGTGGTTAGAACGAGATCCAGATGACAGCGATGAAGCCACCATGATACTGTAAAAATCGGACCTTAGGTAGTAGTAATAGTAGTCTGGAGAAAAGTACTTACGCAATTAACGCGAGTTCAACAAAATGTGTAAGGGCCTACATGACGGAGGTAGCCCTAGAACATTTCGCACGAGGCTGAGGTGTGGAGGTGGTGCCAGAGCCACGCAAAAAGAATGTTATATTAAGGGGGCGTGGTATGATGCCATCAGCTGGACTTCTGTTGGAAGATGCATCGAGGCAATGATGTCACAGACGCAATGCAATGTGATGGGAATTTGACGTCAGCATCTGTAGAGTCTAGACACAGAATCTACTTCCACTGCCATCACGGCCTCCGCCTCATCAAAATTATCGCTTGCGTCCGTGGGTGGCAGGGTAGAGCCTGGTGAAGTGTCGATGTCTCTGGTATGTGCCTCGTGTTATATATGTCTGTGTCAACTTTGCTTAATGTCCAACAGTATTACAGTAATGCTACAACCGATGAAAGATGAGTGACATTTGTCGTCGAAGTGCAAGGACAAGTTCCTGATCCAGAGTACGCTCATCACACCCGAGAAGGAGACCAGAGACCTACAGGAATTTGTAAGTTTTTCTTGTGCATAGCGTATTCTCATCATCATGTCGGGCCACAGCGCATGCCAAGCAGGCACTGGAGAGAGTGGAAAGTTTAGCAGCATAAACTTAATTATGAGGGACATGTGGAAGCCCCTTATTCCTCCCGTCCTTCCTGCAGATTACCGCGTGTGGTCCATTCTGTGAGTGTCCTTGACTACTGCGGAGGATTCGAATGGCTGAATATGATCGCACCATCTGCAGAACTATGCAACTCTTAAGAATACAGTCCTCCACCTATGCCAGAATTCACTTTCGACGACGCAATTCAAGCTGCACCGCTTGTGCAACCCCCAGCGCTGCCACACCATCTGCACCAGAACGAGAGGTAAACAGCTCTCATGGCGCCAGAATCCATTGCACCGACATCCATCGCTGCCAGACTTCTGGAGGAGACATATGTCGTCAGATGACGGAGAGACGTACGCGGGATCCGATGTCAGTACCGTGGTGGAAGATGATAGTGTTATCCACCTTGCTTGTTGTCTGTTTAGTGTTATCATTCTGTGCATCGCGATACATAATCTGATTTGAATAACATGACTACGGACACGCCTGATGAGCTAGTCTTCCTGGGGAGTTGACGATGGCGTAGCGACAACCTCGAGGTAGATCTATACATAGGATTGGTTATTGACTTTACCGTCAATGGCCGCTACCCTCGATAACCTACCATAACCGCGAGCATTCTGAGCTTGCCTCACTAATTTACCTCTGTGATAATGAAAACATGTGGATTAAACTTAGACAAGAAACATATAATACTTACCTTTGTGACTGAGAATATGATTCTCTATGTTGTCGTGAGGCAGCTGCTTTCTCATCTAATGTGAGGTATTTTGCTCGCCGGTCCATGATGAATTATGACAGGGGAAAGGATGAATTGTAAAAATGGTACCTAACAAGATCACAAGTTGTTGTGAAGTTCGTACTGCTATATTGCCCTGTCGGTTGGAGAAATACAATACAGCCATTAATTGTAGTGTCCTTGTTCAAAATTTGGTGTTAGCACAATGGGGCGTACTGCTGGAGCCCATGAGGCTGGTTCGGACACCTTGAATGCTAGTGAATGTCCATATGTTTGTCTTTTTAATTCAGTACGAGTTATATGCTCAAGCGCATTGGCTCACAGATGTGATTTTCACCTCGCAGGAGGCCCGCAGTAGCCTCGACAACCCTCTTGAGCGCTTGGTGCCAACACTACGTTATGAATTAAAGTTCTGCGCTCATTTACCAGGTTTGGTAAGTCATAGCTTCTCGGCGCTATCCTCATTCAATGCTTTTTTGAAAATTACCCTGTGACATCCCAAAGATTTCTATGGCTTCTCTTGCGTGTTATTGGTTAACTGCATCTACTCTCGTACCTTGTTTGTACTTTGCAAAATGACTATGACCATATCCAAGCCCTCGCACCTTGTTGATGCCGCCACACAGACAGACTCGCACTCTTTTGTAACTACTCACCTCGTAAGTCCCCAGTCAGTTTCATATCCGTTCTGCTGATCGCTTCTAGCTCATGGATGCGGCGGTGTCGACAGAGGGCCCAGGAGTTAGTGGGGTTACTGCCAGTCTACAAGTTCACGACTGTGGATGGAAGGCCCTTGATGGTATTCCTTGCATTATGGGTGGCATAACGGCGCTTGCTGGTAAGTTTCGTTAGTTCTCTTTTACACTAATCTTGACTTTCTTTCAGCTTCTGTTGGCGGCACGCTGCATGGCCGTTCCCCAAAAGACTTCCCCTGGAAAACCTTGCCCAAAGAACTAGCTCGGCTCAGATGTTGCCTCGTGAACTACCCTGAAGAGACTTTGATGCCCGGCGAGATTCGACCCACGCTCAGGCGGACCAAAGGCATACATGATTTGAGCATCCCTCATCGTGCTAACCTTGTCAACGCTCTCAAGACAGGCACCCTCACTATTCGAGCCATCACGAGCGATGCTGCCCGCTTACACCTCTTGACGTCCAAGGACCCAGTTATCATTGGAGAGGCACCGTCACATCGCTCAATCCACCCTCGCGGGCAACGTGCATTCGCAGATGGCGACATTGACCGAAAAGGGCCTCGCCGTCTCCCCTCACCTCCTGCTACACCAACTACTCGCCCTGCTACACCATCTACTCGTCCTGCAACACCTCCTGCAACACCTCCTGCACCACTTCCTGCACCACCTCAGCCTACAACTTCTGCTATTCGTCGTCATGTCCAAGTTTTTGTAGAAATATCACGCCCGCCACCCCGGCCAGCTTCCAGAGCTGTGCACAACTTATTTCTGCCACCACACCCTACTCACACTGAGGATCTCATCCCACCGATAACTTCTGTCACGCGGTCTTCGTCCACTTCTGAATATGCCGAGGATTCTGATGATGATCAAAGTATCACTATAGACGATGAGTTGTCTGAAAGCGATTATCGGCCTTCTAAACGTCACAGAGGTTGACTGGATGTAGATACCATGTTAGAACCACAATTCTTTTTAAAGTAGATACCATGTTAGTACCACAATTTGCTTGGAAATTCTACATTAAATTCTGATTTGCGGGATCAGATCTCATTTGATTCCAAATCCAGAGAGAGCGACCTCAAGCATGCACTCGAGAAGCTCGGCAGCCTCGGTGCCCTTCGCTCGATATACGGCCACCACGTCGCACGCTGGGAGGACGAGATGGGGCGCATCAGTGACAATTAGGATTCCGTATGACCCCTACTGTCCTATGCTGTACCGTACTTATGTACACTATCCACACTGATTCCAGTAACACCTCTTCGAACACATCTAAATATGTTCCTTGGGTGATATACCCGCTCATCCATGTATGTACATAATGCATTATGCTTGCTATTGCTACTGTACACTTGAGTGCCTACTCTATGTTCCTGGGTCCTTGACTTGTGAATAAGTTATGGGAGTAGACCGCGGATTACAATTCATCCGAGCAGACTCGCTGGGCTGGGGTGAGTGAATGCTCCAAGGTATCAAACCATGCTCCGAGAAGTATGCAAGAGGGCGCGACGGAGGCGGGTGCAAGAGGCTCGTAGGGAGGTGCAAGAGGCGGGTGGAAGAGGCTCGTAGGGAGGTGCAAGGGGCTCGTAGGGAGGTACAAGAGGCAGGTGGAAAAGGCTCGTAGGGAGGTGCCAGAGGCCCGCGAGGGAACGTCAGAACATGACTATAATTAGATGGTGGGAGGGAGGGGTCTCAGAGACTAGTTTCCCATAACATAAAAACCGGGTCTCTTAGACCCCTTATAGGCACCGAGAAGTGATGCCTGAGGTGGGTGAACTGTGGTGGGGCATGCTGTGCTATGATGTGGTCCTGGCGATAAGGCTGTAAAGGTCTAACAGATCAGCCGCATCAGATCCGGCCATTTATTTTGGGGGTTGGGTAAGAGCATCACCAGTCCCCAATATCACATCTTTATCAGTAGGAACGACCGTCTTCCTTCTTCTAAAGCCTGATATCACAGACGGACGAGACAAGCAATAACTTTGAGCACCCGATAACTTCTGACGTTGAAGTGTGTGATCTAAGTTGAGAAGCTCGATAAACCAGGGGATCAGGAAGATATAAAAAGCGCACCCGATGTTCACGGCAAGAAGCCTATACATACACTTTCCGAACGAGCCTCACCTTTTGAACGAAGCGAGTGATCTAAGTTTAGAAACTTTGTTGAGACTGAGGCGTGTGTCAGGAGGTGTCAGGAGGTTATATAGAATTGCAAAGCGTACCAGATGTTCATAGCATAAACCTGGTCAAACAGACTTTCCGAACGAGCCCGGTGACCGTGTGACCGCCAATGCAAAGAACAGAGGGTCCTCCATACTCCGCAGGACCCAGGGGATGATCTGCCTATCATGCAAATCGACGCAACGTGGATAGCACCGTGAGCGACATTGCGAATTGAAATGAGTATAGCCACCGTCCGGTTGACGAAGTGGCCCACCCTGATTGTGACCAAGAGGATGAGCATTGGAAGCACGGGTCGCCTAGCGTTGCTCTGCAACCTTGTAATTTGAATGCAACATTAAGGTATCCCAATCAATAAAGAATGTACGTATACCAGTGGTCCTGCTTCAGTTGTCCTTTTATCTGTGTTCACCAGGCCCTTTAATAATCGCACTTCGTTGGACAGAGGCTCTGTGGCACTGGTGTCCTGGGTATCTTCGGAGGCAAAACCATTCTTCTGCAAATGGATGATCGATCGGGTGAGTTGCAAAACGAGCGGTGTGACCCAGCGTGAAATGGTAGCAGGGAAACGGAACTTTAACAAATCGTAAGCATCCAACATCGACGCTGGACGTTCCCTTTTGATGTCAAGTTGACTCAAGACGTCGGCTGCCAAAGGCGTTGGAGTCCTGGAGCGTACGCCACTTTCGTGGATATCACGTGATCGCGTAACTGTTGAAAATATTACGCGACGACGCGCTTGACAAGCGTGGGCAAATGTAGTCTAACCCCGGGTCATCCACATCTTCAATCAAAGCGAAGATTGTAGAAAAGCAGCGTTCAGATCTTCTTCACCACTTAATCTTCTTGTCTATCTTCTGAAGAATTCATGATGGTCCTCAAACGACCACTAGACGCCTATGAAAACTCTGCATCAGCTTCCCGTGGTCCAAAACGTCGACAGCTATCTTCTTTACCGCCGTCGTCACCGTTCACCTCGACTTCTTCGTTACGTGCAACGCCCAGAACGCCATGCAGCATCAGAAACTGGAAAGTCCCCTCTGACTCTCCTACCAACCCCTTTGGTCGCATTCGGCGGCTGACAACGAGCACCACACTTCCCCGCCCTTCTTCGTATGGGAAGCACTTGCCACTTCGCTTCCAGCTTATCCGCCCAGACGGTGACGGCAGAAGCCACGCAAACAAAGATGGGGTGTATAGGGTCGTTCAAGTCCCTCTGACCTATACACTCGGTCACCTCAGGAAGCTTATCAAGTTTGTCTTCCAGCCAGCGAAGGAAAGCGAGATGGGCGGATCATACCATTTTCGGCGTGCCGCACGGCACGCCAGCATTCCATGGTATGCCAGGCACCCTTCGTCGTACAAGGGTAAAGAACCAGCTCTGGACTTCGATCTTGAGCCAGGACATTTGTTCGAGGTGCAAAAAGACATAGAAATTTCGCGTTCTGGCGAGATAATACGCGGGATGACCACGGTCAAATCGTCTACCTTGAGAGACCCGTACCACTATCCTGGCAACGGCTCGGAGGGCTCCTTGCTTGATGCTGAAGATGGCGAAGACGACGTGTGGCGGTGGGAAGCGGAGGAGGACTTCCAGCTTTCGCAGCTCTGGGCTCCAGGCGGGGACATTAAGAAAGGTATCATATATGTATGTCCCTCTTCTCTTCATGCTCCTGGGCAGATCTGATATTCATGAATAGCATCATGACTCTACGACTCAAATTCACATAACAATGAACACGAAGAAAATCCCAGGTCGCAAGGGGGTCGGCAATAAGCCTTACCTCTTCATGGCATGGGGTTCCATAGACCTATTCGCACCGCCTTCGGCAGCGTCTTCCATCATTCTGACTGGCATCGAATTAACTCGGTGGAATAATATACTTGCGTTTGAGAAGTTTTTGAAGGCTGAGGAAGAGCAGGAGCGCCTAAAACGTGGCGGAGATGAAGAGGAACTTCTGGGTCTTGACGCAGAAGGGGAAGTTGACCCTGATATCGTATGTTCATTTCCGTGCCTTGACATGCAAATATACTGAACCAGCTTTCCTAGTCATCGTTAACTCTTCCCATGTGCTCCTCCATTGACTTTTCATCGCCCTCTTCGCTATCTTCATCGATATTCTCCCTCACCTATTCATCTTCAGCCTCGTCAGCTATTACTCCATTCCCCGCCTCGCCGTCGAGGAAGCGCCGTGTCGACTACGCAAATAAACGCATGTGCGAGTTGACGAAGAAAGTGAGGAAAACTCCGAATCCGGACTATGATGATGAGAAGAAGGAAGAAGAGTTTGATGAGCTTGATGAGCTCGATGACGATGAAGACCCTGCTGCCGCAGAAAAACCCAGCGACTGGGATCCTTTCGGGTCTGACGAATCTGAAATATGAAATTGTGTTCACGTCGGTTTGATTGCATTATTCGTAACGGCTACATATGGACGATATATATAATCTGGCATATTTTGTGTTCGCACTAGTAACATCATGACGGTTCTGACATGGGTCAATATATATATATATACAATGGCATTCTGAACAAGCTCTGGACCTGGGATGCAGGGAACCCGTCCTTTCGGCACCACTCTAGAGGGTCTCGTGTTTTCTCCTGGTCAATTCAGTCGACAGTCAGGCAGGGGTGGAAAAATATCTGTATATGATGAAGGATATAACCGACTGGGACAAGAAGATCCGTGTTATTTAAGCATACACTCCCAGCTACCTGTCTCAGCTCTCCTGAGACCGGTCCTTATACTGTTTTGCCCACTACAAAAAAGTGAACAAGACTACCAGCACACGAGGTAGAAAAGCGTACCATCATAGACGGGATCGGTCGGTCGGGTTGAATGTGTCTGATCTGCTCAAGCAATGCAAAATAAGGACGACGGCAAAACACGATAAATCAAGTTCCGCACCTCACGGTCCGCGCTGACAGTCCAGACTCCGTATGCAATGGCGAATATACCAGCAAAAGTTATGACCGTGTTACTTCGCCAATTCGCAGGACGGGTCCACCAGCCACCTGAGGCACCGTCAGGTTGAGTGGCTCGGAAGCAACCGCTCGGACGTACCAGCGGGGGACCACACATGCTTTGGGTATGGATATCTAGCACCACCTCCCTAGAGACATGTCAGTGTACGGTGACATGCACGTTGGGGTGGCCTCACCATATTTTTGGTTCTGTGAAGGATAAGTGTTGTCGAAGTGCCGAACGAAAACGGCGAAGGGTGAAGATTATGTAAGACGACCCGGCTGATTTGATTCATATCAAATCGTTGTTCCTCCTGGTTCTGCTCTGATTCAAATGATTCATCCTTGTACATCCCTCCTGCATTGTGCTGCACGTACTGCTGGTCATTCCGTGTTTCTGTTTATACGAAAAATATAATTATACTGCATCAGTCGAGCTGGATCTCTTCAATCAATTACCATCTTGTGTGATGATTATCATTTACACTGAACAAAAGTTTTAAAGGTGCGCCACAGTCACGACTCACGATCATGATGTTGTCGGTCCTGTACATTCTTTGTTTGACTTCAACTCACAATCTCACTCACACAGGTTGTCAAGGGAAAGAATGTGCGGGTAAACGAAGGCCGCTAAGGGGGTGATTTCATTTACAGCAACATGAACGGCTCACACAGTCATTCATCGGATTCTGAGGCGAATCCACTCATCGCGCAGCATTCAGCACACAACACCTTGATAGGCGCATACACCCACGCTAAGCATTTTCTATGTCGACAGAAGTAAGTGGAGTTTAGCGTATGCTTTTGCTCACACGACAGATATTTTACATGATACATATGCCGTGGCGCGAAGCACAAGATTCATACTTAGTCGGCCAGGACGGAAACCCTGAGAATATGCACAGCCCATCATTTGGCGATTCCCCTGCCTGGCGTTACCAACCTTCTGACCCTATAATGCGTGCACGACTCGTGCTACTGGGATCTGTTTCTTTACAGTCACCATCTACATAGTATGTCTGGAAGTTTTCCTATCGTCGACAATACCGCTGGCGTAAGTCCTGTCGTCCTTGTATAGGTCGTTCACTGAGATTAGGTTGGAATTAGTACATCCTATGTGAGCCTATACCTCGCTTATCAGGCGCCTGGCAGCTAAAACATAATATAGCGTCGGCACTCACGATTGTGGTCGGTTTCATTTTCCTTCGTATATTTGTGATTCTGAATAATGTCTGTTAAGGTTTACGATGTTATCACCCACCTGGACGAGGAGGTAGGAGAAACACCTGCACCGAGCCCCATGAATCTCAACGCGATAGATCGACTATATCATGAGGTCAAGGTCTATTTTCGTCAAGGCCATATTTATATTGTGTCGCTACCTTCCTTTCGTTATTGGAGCTGTGCGAATCTGTAAGGAATCTAGATTTTTCTGCAACAAAAAGAAAGACAGCTTATTTTACCTGTTAGATGAAGTCGTCGGGGAAGGTTATATCGACGATAATGTATTGAATCGCAATACCGTCTTCTCCCCCGCTAATCGTTGTTCAGTTTTGCCTGGTATTGATGCGCTCAAGCATCTGTAAGTCAAATTTGTGACTGGTGGAGGCCAACTCTCACATGCAGCATAGGGTTATCTTTCCTGCAGATGGCTTGTGTTGAATGTACGTTGGTTCATGCTGGTTTGCCAACAGGCCACTAAACACAAGATTAGTTATTTTCATCTTGCGAACTTATGCTCTGTGGGGCTGCAGTAAACGGGTCCTTATTTGTCTTTTAACTGCTTATCTGGTAAGATTTCAAGCTAACAGGATTGACCGCTGTAACATCGTAGCCAGGCTACTTATGTCACGGGTCTCGTCTCTCTCCAAATGTACACTGGGGCTCTCCCTGCCGGCAGGTTCAACCCTCATTTTAACACCGGTTCGCTCACGGTCATACAGAGGCGTGTTATGGATCAGAAAACCCAGGCGCATTGTGGCTCCTTGTGAGCTTTGTGGCTTTGATTAGCCTAGAAATAGGTCCGTAGCGTTTTCTTGAGCACTATGTCGAGTCAACCGCTTATGCTGCTGTCATGGCATTACAGGATTGTTTGTAATGAGCATGCATCGTGTTCTACGTCAATACCGCGCTGCTTCAGGACAACTGCTCAAATCGTTGGTGCGAAATAATATCGTGTATTTCGGAGCCAGCGTCGGTACGTGGTTTACTCCTTGCCTGATGAAACGAATAACATCCGAAAAGCTCTGAATATCCTCAATATCGTCGGCATCTTGCTTATTCCCGTTGCGACATGGCCTACTGGTATTATGGAAATGTGAGGATGTCGATGATTTGATTGAACCTTAGTTAACGACTACACAGCGCACAGATTCTCTTCCAGGGCTTGCTTGCAACACGCATGCAACTTGACCTTTGGAAAGTTGACCGTCGTAGAACGACATTGACGATGGTCACGATGTCAATGGCAGAATTCGCAGCTGCGAGGGCCGAGTCTACGGTCTATCAAAGTCCTCATCTGACAACTCCTGACTGCTAAAATGACGAGACACCCATTAACTGACTCCATGTACATTAATGCCAAACGCTTACAAAATAGCCATATGATCGGTCGACGCGCTGACGATCATGTATTAAGCGCCATATGAACCATCACTCCGCCCAATGTTGCTTCCACCCACGCCAACACCTCCACTAGTAGCACCTGACGGCAAAAAGGTATAGTTCGAAGAGGAATTCATATTAATAGCCACTGCAATTTTTCCAGGCATGCACTATAGCAGGAAATTGATTCTGGACAAAGCGTGCAGGATTTGGAAGTTTGATTGGTATGTAAGTGCGTTTTCTAAGTTGTAACCTAGGAACTCTCACCTCCGGCACTCAGGTTTCAATAGATGGAATGTGCTATTCAAAAGCAGAGGCAACGTGCGGCCATACATTCCTTTGCAACACTCGGCCGAGCATCAAGTTATTCCACAACGCCGTTACAGTTCACCCCCGCGACCACCGGCCTGGCCACCAGTACGCTTTAGTAGGGTTGGCGAGGTCATGCGGGCGGCGGGGGGCACAGTGACAGGCCTATTGAGTCGCTACATGCACATTGTCGGTGAGTGCCTCAGCCGCATCCCTGAAAATGTGAAAACTGGGTGAATCAATCATCACCATAGATCGAAGTCACCAACCAAGAAAACTCGCGGCGAAATGCGCACGGAACATTATTTGAAGCCTTCATGTAAAATTGTATTGTGTGGCCCATCATGTTTCGTGATGGCGGCGACTTGAAGTACAAGTACACCGAAATCGCTTGGCTGCTCCGTATACATTCGCTACCTGTGTATAAAAGCCAGTATAGCCTGGCTAGTTTTTTTTGCATTCAGAAATCATTATCAAGTCTCCACCATGAAATTCCCTTCACTCACCACCACCATCATCTCTGCCGCAGTGATGGCTGGCGTAGCCATCGCATCTGAAGATCTGAACATAACACCCTTGGGCCTGCCCTGCCGAGGAACCGGTGAGCTTTTTCACTTTTACAGCCTGCCTTGAAACCACACATGCTTATGGGCTTTCAAGTGGGATGCTCAACCCTCAACGGTTTCAATCACGGCAACGGGTTCGGGTTTTACTGCTCCAATCACAGAATCTGGAAGTATACGCCATGCCAGATCGGACAAAGATGCCATGTTACCAGTCCGACTACGGTCGCGTGTTCATGAGCGCTGAGCCTTGAAGCTTGAGCCTCGGTCAATTCGAGTCTATAGTGCTGCCTGAGCCTGAGTGAGTCTTGTCCTTTTCGCCGTCTTCTGAATGTGAGTGCTGATGTGCTTGCTTTCACCAGTGCATGGAACCACGAGCATAATACGTACAGGAGCCTGAGGGCGTACGGGAGTGTGGCGTGAAGCTCTAGAGTTTGAGTTTGTTGAATCCGGTCATGATGATGAGAATAGGATTGAAATTATGTAACGAAAATTGTGTGGTTGAGATGTGCTGAAGTTGGACCCGTTGTCGATGGGTTGGACATGCATGTCCTGCATGGAGTGTAGCCTGGATTGTTGTGCGTTGTATATATATATCGCCATGATGCCATTGTGCTGAAGCTTGGTTGAAGCCCGCTGCATCCATCCATCGAGCGTGACCAGCATATAGAGTTAACGTTGCTAAAGATGCGCAAAATTGCAAGCTCAGCCTGCGAATCACAACGGTAAGAGCTCTCAGGAGACTCCTGAGGAGAGCACCCAAGTTAAACCTACCCTGTAAACGGCCTTGAACAAAAAATTATAATAAAATTCCAAATTCCATTTCTCACAATCTTCTCATATGTACAAAAAAAACAATTCATGTATGTAAGACTACTATTTAGACGGAGGGTAAGTACGTAGCGGTGCGCGAGACAATAAGTGAGCGCAGGATGAGAAAAAGGGGAAGGAACCGTGATCTGACGAGCATCCACGCACAGCAAATATATAAAAATTGAAACAGTCGAGAGATAAACGATTCGTCGAGATGGGGTCGTTGAGAGACACAAACGATTCGTCGAGAGAGAGACGCAAACGATTCGTTGAGAGACAATCGATTCGTTGAGACGAGAGAGTCGAGACGAAACAGCCGTCGAGACGAAGAAGTCACTGACACAAAACGAAAGAGAGCACAGTCAGAGGCGGAGCGGGGGGATTGGACAAATTACGAGGAGAGGAACGAAGAGCGTATCCGGATGCGATGCTGATATTGTGAGGAACGAAAAGGAGATTGATAGCTGGACGGGACGGGGAGGAGCGCGAGGGAATGATCGGAAATCGAGCGCGAGGGAATGATGGAAATCGAGTGCGAGGGAATGATCGGGAATCGAGGAAAGACAACTCCACGCCTACTTCTTCGAAATCGTCAAACTCCTCATACTCTCCTCCAAAATATCGCACACATTCGCCTTGCACACACTCGACGCACTCGGACACGGTTTCTTCTCCAACGACGACTTCGGTTTCGTGTCCACAACCAACGCAGATGGCTTCTTCTCCATTAGTATCGGAGACGGCACACCAAACGCAGACACCCTCTTCTCCAAAACAGGCTCCTCGATATCAACGACTCTGACAACCGCCCGACCCTCGAGCACCTTGCGCACTTTCTCAGCGTCCCATTCTTTCTTCACACCCACACCTGAACTTCCACTTGGACCCATACCGGACCCAGACCCAGAAAACGCCTCCCAAAATGCACTCCCAAGCTTCCCAAGCAGCGTCTGCGACGCAATAGCAGCAAGCGCAGCCTGCTCCCTCGTAGGCACTGGCATCGCTTTGCCCCCATGCGAAGCACTTGCATACGGGCTCTTCCCTCCAAGTGATTGCGGTTGCGGTTGTGATTTCGAAGAAGGCGAAGAAGAAGAAGCGAAATACGCAGGTTTGAGACCCGACGCCAGTCCTTGAGGAGCATACCCCATTCCCATTCCGTTCCCACCAGCATTAGCATGCGCATGCTGCGCCGCCATCTTGCCCCACAGCTGCATCCGATACGCATCGAGCGTCTTGAGCGTAAACGGATTCGTATCCGCAAACGCATCGAATGCACCCAGTCCAGTGCCCATTCCCATACCAAGACCGTTGAGCTGGCTGTTCGTCTTCTCAACAATCGACCCGGGGCGGTGTAACGCCGGATTGATATTTTCCTGGAGGACGCCTTTGACGCCCACAGGGGTATGCGGGATGAGAGTTGTGTGGACGGGCGTGACGCCCATGCCGCCGAAACCGCCCCAGAACGGGCGTGCGCCGAGACGGGGGGATGTGGGGAGGTCTTTTTGGGTGTTGGGGGTGATGAGGGGTGTCGTAGTTGTGGGTGTTGGAACGGAGACTGAGACAGGCGAACCGGGTGGAGAGAGGGGTGCGCCTGTGGGGAGAGCGAGTTCTGCAGGGGGTGGGAGATCGGGGGAATGGCGGGAGTCGAGGAGGCAGCGTTTGAGAGCGGATATTTCTTGGCGGAGGGCAGTGTTTTCTGAGCGGGAGCTGCCGAGTTCTGAGCGGATTGCGTCGATTAGGCGGTCGCGTTCTGCGATGTCGCCTTCGAGTGTTGTGATGTATTCTGTTTGGAGTGGGTTAGGTGGAGAAAAGAAGCGAAGAAAGGGGAATAGTGACCTTTTCGCCTGACTCTGAAGTTTCGTGCGCTGATCTTGTTCCTGAGCTGTCTTTTCTCTCTGCTGCTCATCTTCTTGTATTCTTCGGGACTTGGACGCCAGTCTTCGGGTTCGAGGATCTTGAGCGGGGAAGAGTCCTTTGAGGACTTTGATTTTCCTGTGGTAGAGTTCAAGTCTTTCTCGGAGGGGGGATATGATTTCTTGATGCCACCGGAAGCGACAGCACCGCGGCGAGAACGTTTAGGCGGGGCTTGCTCTTGTTCTGGTTCAGAGTCAGATTCGAGGTCTGAATGGTCGTTTGAAGTAGCAGGAGTTCCGACTAGTTGTGGGTCTATTGCGAACATGGGAGTTGGAGGGTCGATGCTCTCTGGGCTTGAGCCTGTTGCACTGGCGCCACCTTGAGTTGCGCCGAAAAAGTCATAAGAAGGGACTGAGAGTGATGAAAGGGAAGGGCCCTTTGTTAACTCGTCAGTGTCTAGGAATTGGGCGAAGAAGTCATCGTCTGCGCCAGTTGAAGGTGGTGGGGTTGAGAAAGGGAATGGGCTGCGTGGGGATGAAGTTGATGATGAAGCTGTGAAAGCTGAAGGAGCCGAGTTGAGTATGTCGAGATTGAAGAAGTCGTCTACTGAAGGGTCGAATGAGAAAGAGGGTGCTGCTGTTATCGCATCGGTCAACATATTGAATGGGGACACTCGATGGGTGGGTTCGTTGTTGTTATCTGGCAAGAGATCGAGAGTAATGAGCACTGCGCTTGTGAGGCGTGTTGCCAGTACCCACGGAATTACCCGATGCCGAATCGGCACGAACGCGTAATTTATGACTCATCCCGTGCTCGTCGCACTTCTATGCCTTTCCATACAAATCCACTCGGCAATCCATGCACAGCCAACCATCGAGGAGGACTACAAGTACCCACTGCATGCACCAGACATGACATACTTACAAGGACGATTCACTTGTAGACATATATCTTTAGATACAAACACGGCTGGACTCGCAAATTCCTGTTAACCCAGTTCTTGCCTTTCTAGCCGTGTTTGTATCCACATCTACTGAACACCACAAAATACAATCTCGTACCATCGTGCCTGTTCCCCAGCCGCTGCCTATTTCAAAGAAAGCCCATGCTCGTCAAGGTAAACGAACCCAACAACCCCGATGCGGCTGTTGCATAAATACGGGTACCGCTGCTCACTCTACCACACCCAACGTGTCCGTATGGCCCTCTGTGTAAAAATCAAGCCGGACATCCAACCTGAGGCCTAGGCCTGATTCCCACCACAAATCTCGTTATACTGGTCCTTTCAAAATACGCACGCAAAACAGCAACCAGCCTCACTCCTCATTGTTGCACCACCTCCCACCACACCTCCCTTATCCCTAGCCCTCACAGCAATCCTCATCCCGCCCAACACGCATCCACAAGCCCCGCACCACCCGCCATCCCCATAACAAGACTAGCAGCATAATAATACATCCCTCGCTCATCCAGAGTACATGTTGAAGCGGAAGGAGGAGCGCAGCGTGTAGGTGGAGGAGCGTAGTGATAATGGGGTATCGGAGGTCTGGTGCGAGTGAACGTACTTCAGGGAACAGAGATATCATGCTCAAGAACAAATCTGTGTCTGCGAGAGTCAGGTACGCTTTGAACGTCCCCAGGACACCCACGAGGAGGAACGCAGCGTAGAGGGGGTCGTGTCTACATTTGAAGCGCATCACAATAAACACGTACAACCGCTTAACTGGAATTTTACGCAAAGAGGTAATATATATGACAAGGTGAACTTGACCACGTAGTGAGATGGCACATTTTCATTCACGACGAAGAGGACGAAAACGCACAGAGAAGACCATGAGGAAGAATGATCAGAACATCTCAGTGAAGAAGCACCACCAGAGACCCGGATTAGGCGTGAGGTCTGGTAGTGTGAGGCTGGGATGGTGGGTTTTAGGACCATCTGTTAGGTATTGGAAGTTCACTTACCTCGCGCCCCATGATGCACTGACCCTGTCCCAGCCTCCGCCCGCCATCGTACATGCTGCGCCTACAAGGACGAGCCATTATAGCGTGGACTCACCAAAGAGGAACGGTATGCGTTTGAGGCTGCCATGGAACGGGCGCGGCGAAGCGAGGTGAGGAATGCATGAGCCAACTTGGATGGAGGCATTGGGATGTCCCTTCAGATGCGAACATGAGAACAAGGAGGGTGAGGGTATTTTCGAATGTGGATGTTGACAGCGCGAGTGATGGGAGGAGGAGGTAGGGATTCAGCAAGTAGCTGTGCGGTGCGTTAGGTGCGTACTTGAAGTATGATGGTGGGACGCACACGCTTACGATGAGATTCTCTGCGTGCCCTTGTGAGGTGATAGACCCTGGCGTGCACGCCATGTGCGGAGAAGTGCCCATGTTCCCACTGCATCAGATACAGCCCATACTATTGGGAGTAGAGGTACGATGGTCAAAAATAAGGAGAGTAAGCGAGGTGACTATGGTACAGCTGATCGGCCCATGGCATGTGGCCCACTAAAGTGACAAACATGGTGAAAGGCCCCACCCATGTATGGCTCGATATTATTGTCGAGGAGCCACAGACCTTCATTCACTGCGATGGATTCAAAGCGGTGCAATCACTTGGTTTAAATACGTTGGCACATACAACGAAGGTAGGAGAGCTGAGTTGGTGGTCATGTTTAAGGAGATATTGGCCTAGAAGTGGTAGAGTGGCGAGCAGAAGGCGAAGGCATACCAGCACTGGAAATACTGGTGGTGTATCCATCGTGTCTCACTTGAAGAATTTTGCTGTCATAATGACTACAAAAGGAAGGTGTATCAGACCATCAGTTATCGGATCTCCGAGTCTGTGGCAGTTGGCAGGGGAAGACCTACGCTCGCTGGGTTTAACAGGCAGGTTCTTGTCCACATTTATTTGCTGGTCGTGATGATAAGAATTCTTCTCCACAGCTTGGACGGGTCAGTTGATCCCACCGGGCCCTTGGTTCGATTGCACGTCACGTCTAATATCTGCACTCACAATAAAGCGGGCAGCGCTTTGCCACCTATTATTCGATGGTATATAATACCCTCTTCATAGCGATGCATCCACAAGCATCCCAAGTAATCGTACACCAACGCCACCTCCCACATGCCTTTTTTAACTCGTCCATCACGGAAAACCCATGATCCCAGCACCTCCTTGCACAATGCTCGCTACGACGGGTGGACCGGCCCTCCACTACAGCTTCCAAATGTCGCTTCGCCTTCATTCAAGAAGCCTGCTGAACGGCACGCTTCGAATCCATTATGTCCTCCCTCCTATGCCGGTAACGCCACTTATACCCGTAAGCGGTTATTGTTGTTCTACATGTGTCTCACTGTCTCAGCCGTTACAAGACCATCACCCTCTTCATCCCCAATATGACACTTACCCACGCGCAAATTCTGGGGTGCAAGGTATTTACCCTCTCCTTTGTTCTACGCCAAGCTTATTGGTTGTGTAGATATAGCGTGTCCCCTTGAATCCCAACGCCGCGATATCTTTGACTCATGCATGCACAACGGTAGGTTCCTGTCATATAATCTGGTTATCATACAATCTCACTCCACGATAAAGGTGGCACTCGCCAAAACCCATCTCTCCAAGGCGCTTTTGAAACCGCAGTTCGGTTCAATTGCCCACTTTCCACTTTCCTAGATGATCAAGCAGGACGAACAGAGGATTCGATGCCGCTAATCAACAAGGACACACAAATCGGTGAGGCTCAGACGCAAATTTGTATCCCTGATTGATCCTGATGAGCCTCCTCCAAGCATACCCTCTTGCGGCACCATGCTTGGCACTGGTATACGATCTGCGATACAGCTACACCTCTCTCCAGTTTCGTCGATTCCCTCGGAACGCAGGACTGGGATATGGGCATCTTCGATTTATCCCACTCACGCCAGCGCGGCCCAAGCAAATCCGGCTGATCAGCAAAGACTTTCCCTGGGCATTCGACATCGAACCCAGTCCCAAAGAAGAGTACATAACATGTCTTACCGTCATCACCGCGCTCTACAATGCACTACAGCTCCCACTCGAAGATACGGAGTGGGGCGCCGCCGGAGAGGATAAACGCGCAAGAATCATCGAAGCGCGCAATCGGAGGCTTACTATAGCTATGGTTGCTGCGTCGCGCGAGAGCTTGAATTCCGGGGCATCTCCTACTGCTAAGCCTAGAGTGAGATCCGCACCTGATCTGGGTGTGGAGCTTGCGATACAAGGGTCAGAGATAATCCGTGTGGACTGGCTTGGGCCTCGTGTTGCGTTTGCGGGGCTCGAAAAGGATGAGGAGTTTGCGAGGAGGAGACTCATTCCGGGTGCGAGCGAGCCACCTGAGACGTGGGTTGTGAGTTTCAGAGACCCCTATTATAATCTTTAATCATGTTCGGACGAATTAATGTGCACACATTTTATGCGGTTGTTTTATCAAGATTTTGGGACATTAAATATTGGCATCAGCGTCATAGGGGTTATTGCTCTTTATGTGGCAAGGTTTCAAAAATAGGGTCGTAAGTTAGTAACCCTTCCCAACAACACACTTCCTCTTGGGGTAGGGTAATCGTGTGATGGCTAGGACCTGGGTACGAGACTAGGCCGAGGCCAGCCTGAGACTCAAATTGAACATCCGAATTGTGTTCGCCTGCCAGTGATCCGGCCGGCACTTCAAAACCCTACCCTGGAGAAGAGCTTCGCAGCTCATGCCTGCGTACATCCACGATGGTCTAGAAGTACAGATCGAGCCTTAAGCAGGTCTGTTTAACCTTTCAAATTTTACTGATTCGGTTCGAACAGCCACCTGGCAGCCAAGTAGCCGGCCCACTTCTCGCCGCATGTCCCACGTCCTGAATCCTGATCAAGAGCGGCATGGGCGGAGGCAGTATGGCGAACAGTGGGGGATATGATCTCAGTTGATATCAAGTTACGGTAACTCAGAATTCTGTGTTTCAGGATGTTCCTGGGCATGCCAGTGATACAGAGAATACATTGCTCGTGTAAGCGTCCTTTTTCGTTTGACTAACTTTCAAGATATTCAAGTGTATATTTCCCCAGATGATCATTCCACACGATGAGCAATGCCATCAAACGTCAATGACACCTCAAATGGTACGACTCAGACACAACTTGTAATTTGGATTAATCCCACCAGCCTTACCCCATCCGTTTCTCGCGTTACCATCTGTGTCATTGACATACGACCTGCGCTACCCGCCCATCTCTCTTTCTCTTCCATTTCCAGGCTCGGAAGTAGTATGCCGGGGGCAAACGTTAACGTACTTGGCTGGCCACACTCGTTCTCCGACAACGTTGTGAGAGCGCTGGAACGTAGTCTCGGAGGTCCGTCGATCGTTCTCATCGCGCAGTATTCCCCATCCTTTCTGTCATTCTTGCGCAAAGACACATATATTTTTCTTCATTCACTACTTACCATACAAATATTGTTGTGCCAGGACTCTCACTAACGTATAGGACAAGTTTCAAGGGGGCGTGATTATCGCCAATTATAATCACAATGCATCATGATATAGATCCGGGGTATATTATTTTCTGATGTATATGGTTTGCCTGGGGCAGACCATGAGATACAGCCCGAGGCTGCACAGCAGTCGACGATAAGAACAAAAATCTAAATACAAATCCATCACGCATTAAAACGTCGTCGATATATATAAACACTAGCGCTGGTCAAAAGCCTCTGTCCAATTCACCCAACCCGGCGGCGTAGTGACCTCGTAAATCTCCCTATCACCCAAGGGCTCTACATATTCGTCCCAATCAACAGCCCCACCCACTCTCCTGAAACCTTGCACCATTTCAGCGTCTAAATCTAAGCATTTCTCGAGTCGGAGGGCCCGGATGCCGGCACCGCGTCCAGCTCGCATCTTCATGATATCCCGAAGCCTCTCATATTCATCATCCTCATAAATGAAAACGGTCGTATAGACGTCTAGAGCACGGAGGGAGTGATATGGCACATTGCATTCCTGCTCGCCTTCGTCAATCTCGAGCATCTCGACCAAGCCTCCAATCAATGTGCGGTTCAGATGAATAGTTTCGACATCCGGGAGGAAGGCGGACCCAGCGCGCCAGAAATCTGGGTCTGGATCCAAAAAATCTGACCCAAGATAGAACGTTTGAATCCTGTCCTCAGGCTGCGTCACGAGCCGACATATATCGAACAGGATGCTCTTCGCGACGTCAACGTATCCGTGGAAGTTGAAGTGAATGGATAGTCGTATGGCATCGTCATAATCATGAGAATTCCAGGATTCTGGAGGATCCATCGTCGTGGACGTGCTAAGCTGGAAGCAAAAAGATTTGTACGAAAAGTAGATGACGCGCAGGGATCGAATGACAGAACCGGGTGTATCAGGATACCTGTCCATGGCCGAAAACAGATCGGAAAAGTCTTGAAGGCCTAGAATATCTTTGAGCCGCAGAGCGATCTTGGCATCGACGGGAATGGCTAGTTGCGAGAAGAGAGACGTGGCAGTTTGGATTGAGAGAGTACCTAGCGCTATACTTTTCAACCGAGCGAGTGGCACTTTGCCATTGTCAAGGGGCATCGTTATCTCGGAAACTACGGACGCCGTATCAATCGCAAGCTGTTCCAATGCAGTCATACGTCTCAGAGCTGACAGGAGCTCCGGTAGGGTGGTAGGAAAGAATGTTATGCCTCTGACACTCAGAGTTTGAAGCCTGCTGAAAATATGCGCTGTCCAGCTTAAGCTAAAATTCCCAAGTTCAACACTCCGAAGTCGAGGTGCTTGGCCTTGAAAGATGGTGTCTGTGATGAACCAATCTCTGCCCTCCCATGGCTTGCGTAAATCGAAATTTTCAAGCAACGGTGCTGGTTGCGATGATAGCAGGTTGATAATGCGATCGACGTCCGGTGCCGGCGATGGAAATTGGAGCACTTTGACTCGGGGCAGTTGCGCAAGGACTGGCTCCAAGCAACCTTGTAGTGAGACCGGGGATTTGTACGTCACGACCAGGGGAGCGTTCCTCGACCTCTCAAGCATGATGCCTACCAAATATGGAGAGGAAGAACGGATGAATCTCCAAAGAGAGGGGCAATCGAGAGCGACGTTGCGCCAGTATCTGCAGACGTGTGTGATTGCTAGACAAGCAGGGGCATTATTGTTCGCAGATTCGTCGAAACGCTTCTCTTCTTCGACGAATTCGAAGACAATCGCGAGAATCTCGGCTGGAAGGCGAGATATGGAGTCAAGGACGTGCATGGACTCGGCTAATACAGCAAGGTCTTTGTTGATTTCAGTGGTTGTGCTTGTGGACATAGCATCCGAGTCGGCCAGAGGAGAGGATATAATCGCCATGGGTGGATCTGTGGGGCGGAGTCGTCAGTTGAGTGCAGGCGAAACCTCAGTTAGCTGTAAATATTTATTACCTTTCGTGATTCGAGATGCAGGTTTCACAAATCAGCGTTTGCTACGGATTCGAACAAGAATTCAGGTATAAGAACAACGTATTGTCGCGCGGATCTAAATCCAATAGATAGTATCAGTCGTATCACGCGATAACTCACGTCTGGTATACTGACCTATTATCAAACAACTTCGAGAAGTGTAAGCATAGGTAAATGGCAAGGAACAGTTGAATGTCTTACCTCGGTTGTGACACGCGATAACGAAAATGACCGCAGAGGTTAACTGAGAGTTACATCTGAAGAAGTTGCTACTCAAATAGACGAGAACGCTATTGTAACTGAGACCGTAGTGGAACGAAGACCCGGTTGTGGTTCCAAGGTAACAAAAGATTTAGCAATCACAATGGATAAACAATTTAACAAGAGTGACATTGTGGTCCAAGCATGAAAGTGACGAACCAAAGTAAAACAAATAGTGTCCATTGTTCTGTAACACAGCTCGAGATCTGAATCGCATCTCAGCATGGAAGCCCCGCTTGATTTACCTAGATCAAACAAGGTTTGTGCGAGTTGCACGGGGAACGAGAACACAGCACTCCACCAAGAACCAACTCCTAGAACTCTCTTGCAGAGAATACGGTCAGTCTCCCCAGTGTTCTCTTACAGGATGCGTTATATCATAGGTAACTCACCATACTTTCTTCTACACTGCATGTCCCTCGGCCTACCTGCCGCCCTCCATATCCCGGTCGACATCTACTTTCTATTCACGATCGCGACGTCTCCTTTCACTCCGACTCAAACCTACTCGACATACACAAGCCCCAAGGGCGTTTTTGAGTGCCTCGTAAATCATACAAGCAACTTGATGAGGGAATAATGGCATTTATCACAGTTCCCGCCATTATGCACCTGCATGGTTGGCTTATTCGGAATTTAGTCTGTACATGAGTGGACGGTGGTGCAACGCACCTTGCACCCTACCAGCCTGAGGTCGGTGGTCGAGCCTCAGCTGTCTGACGTAGTCGATCCACGTCTCTGTTTTCCGTTATTTTTTCTCGCTTGGCAGCCGACTTGCTACATGCAAACAATATTTTGCTCTCCCTAGTGGTGCAGCCCATTCATGAGACGACCTACACAAGATATCGAGCAGGATGAAATTTCAGCAGATCCAACTTGAGTAAGGCTCCATTGATATATAATGAAGCATAAGTCCAAGGCTAGAGTCACGGGCGGAGGAAAGCAAGATCTGCCGATCACGTGTGAATTGAAAAGGCTTGCGAGAAATCATCAAATGTACATATGCACTCAAGAGCACTCAAGGGTAACTATTTACTGCGTCAGTTGCAAGAAATTGGCATAAATGGGTTCTCTTTGCATTTTCTCTTTGAGGAGACGAACGGGAAAGCTGTCCTCCTTGCGACCTGCAGCCCGAATAACTTCCTTGTCTTTCTCTGTCATCTCAGTCCTTAAACCCAACTGGTTCTGCGTGTCCGCCCGAATGTGCGAGTTGATAAACCTGTGCATATAATCGTGATGGGCTCTATTGCAAAATAAGAACAGAGCACCTACCGTAGGCTCGTTGCAGTACTCATGGGTGCCTTGGTCTGAATGTCCGTCATAGCAGTGAAAAATGTGAAGGGTTCTCCTGTCATCACGCCGGCAAGGGCAATATTGGGGATGTGCAACTCGGCAGTCATTGAGTTCCCTGAGTCTTCAACACTCTTATGACCGGTGAACTCTATGAGTCCAACAGGATCCTTAGCAAAACCTTTTGCATTACACCTTGCTCGAGCCTCGCACCACATGTTTAGTCGCATTGGTGAAAGGGGATTCTGCATTCTTGAGCCTGGCTGCCACGCGGTGATGCCATTGACTTGCACCATCCCTTCAAGCTTCTCCTCAATGTTCGTGGCATTGACATACAATCCACCAAAGTTAAGCACGTTGCTCGGCTCAATAGCAATATGTACAGTCCCCAAGAATGGTTTGTCAAATCCGAGTCGGGGATTGTCAAGCAGGCCACACTCGAAGATGACACCAATCTGGAGACACGCCATGAGCACTGGGTTGACAGTGATCATTTGTACAAGTTTGAGTAGCCCAGATGAGCGTTCATCTTCGTGGCACGTCGGCTTGTGCTTGGACCTATCATCGAGTCCAAGTGAGGTCCTGGTCTGTATCAATTGTAGGCAGCACTCTCACCAATTTTTCTTTTGGCACTACACAGGAAGACACACGATGTCAACTCTTCATATTTTCTGTCCCAGCTGAAAATCTTACCTCCTTTGAGCAATACCAGACGCTCTTACACTAAAGGTGATTTGCGACACTATATGAACGCCTGCAACAGTATGAATCAGATTGACCGTCACCTTTGCGCATTTCAAAGGTCTTTCCATTATCGTGTGGCACTGCGTACACTTGACGATGATACACTTCTTTTTCGCTTTGAGGAATTCGCTGGACACTGCTGAAGCACGGAAAATGTTGTCCCGCTCTGGATGTATTGCATAAGTCATAGCAACACCGTTTGGAGCTGCAGACAGGGAGTCGCTAGAGTTGGTGCTCATGTTCTTGCAAAGGCGGTGGATTTGGGTGGGTTGAGCGCTAGCAGTGGACTTTGTAAGGAAGACCTTGTTTGCAGCATGATGAAAGACACACGAAGAAGGACTGATTACGAAAATACAGGTATGAGCGGCGAGTTCACGTGGTTTAAGGCAACCCTTGTCTGGAATGCGATGGAAAGAGAACGAACCACTGCCTCATTGTGGACGCGTGTTTCAGGTCTACTATGTCTGGTGAGCATTCCAGGAATTCTGATCAGTGTTCATAATAGCAAGGAGTACACACGAGATCTAGATTCATTCTAGGCATCTATCACAATTCATTCCTATCTTTCTCGTATCAATCTCAAATCTTCCTGCTAATCAAGCCAGACATCAATCGGCACTAGACTTGCACTGGACCACATCGTCTAAGAAGGGACACTGCATTGAAATTGCAACGCACCAAGGTCAAAAAGATCCAAGATAGGATTTCTCAAGCACGCTGGGCAAAGATCAGCGTTCACGCGCACGGATCATGCTGCCGTCTGAAATGTACTTATGTCAATAGCGCAAAGCTGTAAGTGTAGTCCGAGTGACATGAAGCGGATAAGCACAGCCCAATTAGTTACCTGTACATAAACACAAATACAATCAAGCGCGTTACGTGTGCACAACGCTTCTTGCATTCAATAGGATGTAATGGATGCTCCACGCTCCACTTTCATCCATCATGGCCTCATGATGGGCGCAGACACCTTGGCTGCGGAAAGAAGTGTTTTTAGTGGTAAGAGGAATAGGTTGTCGTAGGTCGTAATTTGGATGTTTGTTGCTCACTGACTCGAATGGCACGCAGAGAGTAGCACGGTCACATATAACAAGGTTTGTACGAGTTCACACGGGGGACGAGAACACATTGACAGTCAATTTCTGTAGCATGACTTCTATCACCAACGACATCTTGTTCAGTACTGCACCCTCGGCAAGACTGGTCTCAAAGTCCCCGTGAGCTGTGATGCACTTGTTGCAAGCGTGCATTACTCACCATTACTAATTCTTCATAGCTTGGTGCGGAATGTCAAACCCCCCTCGTGCCGAACCGTCGATCCTGATAAGTTATTGTTCATCCACTCATCGTATCACAGAAGAAGCAAATATCCAAGGACCGAGACCAGATTGTGCCGGCGATCCCATGGACTGATCATTGCTGATTACGCCCGTTTACTTAACAGACGTCGTACAGTAACCTATGACTTCAAGCGGAGAGCTACAAGCATCCAAAAAATGTGAAGTTTAGCCTGAGTAAGACCCCATCAATGTGATAACACGTAGTCCAAAAGATCATCAGCTACAAGTACGAGACGCTAAACTTGCAGCAAATCCAACACAAGGTCCCGCCGATGTAATGAAGCATAACCCAAGGCTAACTTGAAGAGTCATGGGCGGAGGAAAGAAAGCCCGCCTTCCTTCTCTTGATCTAAAATTCAGAAAGACGTGCGAGAAATCACCGAAAATGTACACTCACATGCAACTGTTTATTGGGTCAAGTGCACGATATTAGCATACACAAATTCCCTTCGCATCTTCTCTTTGAGGATGCGAGCGGGATATGTGTCCTCATTGCGGCTTGCCGCGCGAATGATTTCTTTGTCTTTCTCTGTCATCTCGGTCCGTAAATACAACTGGTTCCGCAAATCCTCCCGAATATGCACGTTGACATACCTATGCAAGATATTTGTAAGAGGCTCCGCTTCTAAATCCAGGGAATAATTATGGAGACCTACTCTACACACGCCGCAGCACTCATGGGTTGTTTGAACTGGGTGCCCGTGACAGCAGAGACGCGAACGAAGGGTTCGCGTTTCTTTGCCCAGTCTAGGACACCGGTAGGGATGTGCAGCCCAGCGGTCACTGCGTTCTGGCACGAGTCCTTCGCATAGGTAGTATTATCGACAAAATCTATGAGTCCAACGGGATCTTTGGCATAACCGTCTGCATTATATTTTGCTCGTTCCTCACGCCAAATATCTAGTCGGTTCGGCGTAAGGGCAAGCAAGCTTGGGTGGCACGGAGTGGTTGCATTGACTTGCACCATCCCTTGAAGCTTCTCCCCAATGGTCTTGTCATCGAGATATAATCCAATGAAATCAAGGATGTCGCTCGGCTCAATGGCAATGTCAACACGTGCCACGAACGGCACGTCAAATCCGATCCGTGGATTGTCGAGCAGACCACAGTCAAAGATGGTAGCGATTTTGAGGTACCCCATGAGCAGTGGATTTAAGGCTAACATTCGTATAAATTTGACTGTCCCCGAGGAACGTTCAACTTCGCGGCATGCCAGTTTGTGGGTGGACCTATCATGGCGTAAGTCCACGTCTGGAGGTCTCGACCTGTGTGAATCGTAGGCAGCATTCTCACCAGTCTTTCTTTTGGCACTACACACGATGTCAGCATTTCAGATTTCAGATTCATTCCAGTTGCAAATCCTACCTGTTGTGAGCAGTAACAAACGGTTTTACACTAAAAGGAATTTGCGATACTCGATGAATGCTAGCAACAGATGTTTGGCCATTACCTTTGAGCATTTCCGAGGTTTTTCCAATATCATGTGGCATTGTGTACATTGTGTGCGAAGCTGTTTCTTCTGCGTCTTGAGATATTCACTGGAAGCTGCTACAGCTCGGAAATCCTTTTCAGCATCCGGATGAGTCACCCTTATATGGATGGCCTTTGGAGCTGCAGAGGAGTTGTTCGTGTCGGTACTCATGTTCTCGCAAAAGCGGTGGGAGATGAATGTAGAGGTGAGTTAGATTTTGTCTGCAATGTCGAAGGGGCAGGAAGCGCTCCCTCATTACAGACACGTGTTTCAGGCCTGGCCCATGCGCTGAGAATTCCATAATTTCTGATGATGACTTGTTCGTAATAGCAAATAGTACTTACATGTTCTGGGCGTCTTTCCCTTCCCGTCTTGCTCGTACCGATCACCAAGCAAAGTCTCCTGCTAGCTATCAATTCAACCCGAGATCAGCATTAGACTTACAATTGTAGACTGAATCGTCCAGACGGTCTACCTTTGCAATGTATCAAGTTCCACGATTATCAAGCTCGAGAGCGCCAGACGCAGTGTTCGAGCATCCGTATTGCATGTGACATAGGAAAATAGAGCCTCAGGTGCGTTGGTGCCATGCAGCTGGCTCGGTCGACTCACCGAGCGGCGAGGACTAGTTTTGCAAACTCGGTCGGAAGAAAACTCCCGGGGGAGCCCCAAAACCAGGCACGGAGCTATGTCCATTCTGGGATAAACTAAGCGTAGTTACTAGTAAGTCGTCAGCTTCCTTCGAGTTCAACTCCCAAATAGCTAGTAGCAGTAATCAGCGACTCGTGTCCTGAGTTACAATATTCGTGAGTTCAATCGATGATCCCACCCCACCCCAGTCGCCAACTCACTCGCCACCAAATTTGATGTGCAGCACGTACCATGGCTCCTAGGGACCTCGAAGACGCAATCGCTCAATATGTCTTCGATGAAACCCCCATTCACTTGATCCATGTTCCAGAGATGAAGCTCGTTGATCGCGGCGCCGTTTTGCGTCACTTCCTCGTTGCTGTACGAGACATGACAGAAGAAGACATCCAGGTGCAATGCGCAGAGCTCCATCTTTCGAGAGAAGATGTGATCGCCAATGTCGTGCGGAAACGTGTGCGATATGCAATTTTCTCTCACAGGTGGCTTGCAGAAGGGGAAGTGACTTATCAAGAGATGACGGGAGGCGTTGAGTCCCGCGGTCCTGGATTCGAAAAGCTGCAGAGCTTTTGCGTAGCTGCATCGAGATATGAGCTGGCTTTTGCTTGGTCAGATACATGCTGCATCGACAAAACGAGTAGCTCTGAGCTCGACGAATCACTCCGGTCCATGTTTAAGTGGTACCGCAATTCGTCGATCTGCATCGCATATCTTGCCCAAACCATCAGAGTTGCTGATCTGGGAAAGGATCTGTGGTTCACGAGAGGCTGGACGCTACAAGAGCTTCTGGCCCCGAAGCGATTGAAATTCTTTGGAGCTGGATGGTCACCGTTGACCATGCAAGATAACGACAAGGCTGATTACCACGTCATCAAGACGATAGAAAGAGTTACGTCTATCTCCAGCCGCGAGCTCAGCGACTTCATCCCTGGCTCGCATGATGTCGCTAAACGCATGACGTGGGCAGCGAACAGGAAGACTACGAAGGGAGAGGACATGGCGTATTCCCTCATGGGAATTTTTCATGTCGTCCTGCCCATTGCTTATGGAGAAGGGTCAGAACGAGCTTTCTTCAGGCTTGTCGAAGCCATCATCCAGACATCGGATGATCTGCGGATTTTCAACTGGGCAGGTCGTCCCGCCGTCACGAATCATCCTTCCCGAGCTCTTCCCTCCTCGCCAAGATGCTATGTTGGGCAGCCGTACTGCCCGCCGATTCGAAGAGCGTTTTCGCTAACGAACAGTGGGTTACGCATCAAGCTAATGATCCTGCCCGCTGAGCTGACCTGGCCATTCGGCAACAACACATCCTCTCGTCAAGCCAGATTTCACAGCGAAGTTGACGGCATGGACATAACGGATGTTGATGTAACAGGAAATTTCCTGTCTTACGGCGATCATGTGCAGGATGCTACCGCCGATGTTGATAGCATTGTCTCAGACTATGCTCTCGGGGTATGGAACTATCTGGAGACCCCATCTGGAGATGCAGAGCTTCCTCTCAATTGCCTCGCCTTCATACTGATGCGAGCAGTGGAGCCGGTGCCTGTTATGAGCAACAACCACCACTGGTCCAAGAATCCGTGGCGTAAACATTCGACTACAAGCTTCGTCGTGTTTCGAACCCAATTCCCGCCCAAGTCCCCCGAAGCGCCCCTGCGTTTGAAACGATTCGTCGAGCTTGTATCGCTCTGATTACTACTGCTCAGTGAGTCGAAGTCTCATGCTCTAAGGGGCTGTATTTAAATTTCCCTCGTAGGATTATATCGTCTGGCAGCTCGTGGTGAGCTGCCAATGTCTGAAGGATTTAATCGTCGCCTTGTTTCTTTGTCTTGACATGAAAGTAGAGTACATCAGTTGTCGATAATCTCATCACCATAGAGGTATCTGAAAATCATAGACTCGAAGTTGAGTTGCTAGTTGGTATTCATTCAATTTGAAGTTGGGGGTTGGTCACCGCCTGCGCACGCGGCTACGACATCGATCGATCCAAGAATAATTGTACACCTGCACACGCGTTGGATGCATGTACATAGCATCATCATACACATCATTGCACCAAGTCTCATATGATACAGCACGAGTACAGACTGACCTCGACAGAACCTCTGAACAATTGGTTTACGCGTCCCCCGCCAGCTACGCGTAGCTTCCGTTTATTCCTTGGAGGTATAGCGGTATGTCATGAAGCGCATTATCACAAACATTAAACTTCCGGCAAGAGAGATGAGCTAGATCAAATTTTCAGCATCGGGTTTGCGCAAGTGCGAGAATAATGCGATCTACTCACCCCACAGAAGAGCGACGGTATCCACCACCTATATTGAGAAGAAAGTAAAGTGCCTGAGATTGGGCCGCCTGATAATAATTTTGGTTCGACATCAGATAAATCCCCATAAGTAATTAGTACCCACTGATTAATCCACTAAAGGCTGATCGTTCACGCTCTGTCAAAAGTTCTGAAACAGAGCTGAATGATACACACAAATGAAAGTATAACATATTCCTATTCGCATTCTGAAAATGAGAGTCAACACCGCCAGAATGCAAATGTGAGAGAATCTAACCCTAGCTCAGTCAAGTCGGGCGTCAACACAGTCACCAACGGGACCAGTAGCGCCATGTCTTGAAAATTCAGTACCAGGGATTACACAAGCTGCGGTGAGACATACAAACTCCAGAAAAGTAACCATATGCAAGTCCTAACATAACCACACCTGCCACGTTACTCAGAGCTATCATGGATATGATGAGGGCACTGCATGCGAACGCGGATACGATCGTAAAGTTCAACACCCCCGTATACCGTGCAATTACCCCTGCCGTACAGCGTCCGATAAAACAGGCTACATTCATGATCACAAGCTAAATCGGGTTAGAACTCTGCAATGAGGGTAATGATCCTGGGCGTACGGAGTAGAAGGAGAAATTGATGTCGATATCATGTTTGACAGAGTCCAATTGCAAGTAAAATACAGGGAAGAAAGACCTGATCTGAAATAGCGTTGACCTAGGAACGATCCACTGTCAATTTTTTGAGCCCTTTGGGCATACTTGAGACAACATACCCAACGGTCATGAGGATGAAGGGAACCTCGCGGGAGCATTTTCGGGCCACTGCTGTATAGCTGCCAGTCGGTGCCGGCAGTTCTCTTGTACGCATGGATAAACAGGAGATCAATAACAGAGCGCTGACAAATCCCGCACTGAAGCGGACGCCTCTTGCGAAGCCAACAGTGCCATTCAAAAAGTGATTGAGCATGATCGGATGGATTATAGTACCAAGTGATGTACCAGATACGACGAGAGACATCACCATTGTGCGTTTTTTGGAGAAGTGATGAGAGACAATCGCCATAGTGGGAGCGTCCGTCGGGCCCATTCCAAACCCAGCAAGGACGCCCTGAAAAATAAAAGCCTGGTTGCAACATATAAGTAGCCCATCGACGATAAGATTGGTCGGGCTGCTCACAAAGTAAAACTGACCAGGCTTCGTGAAGGATAAAGCGAACAAGGACAGTGATTGGAGCAGCGACCCCACAATCACCAATCGATAGCTATTGGTAATTTGTACATAAAATAAACGTGTGGTCATAAATATATGCCAACTTACAACCACCCTCGGTCATACAGTGGACCTGAGATCAATGCGACAATGATTGCCAAGAACATGGTCATTGCACCAATCCATCTGACACTGACTGAGACCAAGAACTCCCGAATAAAAGGGCATTCACTTATGATATTGCAGACGGCGATTGATTGGTCATATAAATTCGCGTGTAATAATCTTTCGAGGACATTCGTCAACTTTGGATACAATTGACCATACAGCTGCTGCGTACCTTGATAAACTCCAAAAGACGATATGTATCTGTTAAAGTACTATTAACTGACAGATATCTCGAACGAACGGAGCTTGGACCCACCCACAACCACAAAATTGCATGAGGAAACTAGTCATCGTTCTGAATGTGAGACACGCAGCATGCGGGTATCGTTTGAGACATAGCTTACCACCCAAAAACAGTCGCCCATGCCCTAAACCCGCCATCCGGAGGGTCAGACTCTGAATGAGGTGTTGTGGAATTAGATGACTGCGTATGTTTTAGCTCTACCACATCATCCAACTTCTCGTTCGCTGTGAACGTATCATGGATTGTGGGCTTCATTGACATGAAAGTGTACGAAGCTAGACAAGGTCTAGGTTAACGTTAGCAAGAGTAAGTACAAGTGATGTAGTATACATACCTCAGTGGATATGTGATAGACAACGTTGAAACGTTGACGGCGAGCAAAATATTCAATATCGAGTGTTGAGAAGCACAAGACGGAAAAGAAACCACCGGTGATAATTTTACCGGAGGTCAACCCTCCGGGATGGATACCACGCGTACGTATCGTATCGTCCAACAGAATATTCAGCTTGAGTACTAGTGACGTGCAACCTCGACCTCAACGCTAAAGGGGCTACGTGGTAAGGGGTGCATTACATCACTGCAAGGATGTTAGCAAATTCTTGACAGCGATTGAGTGTAAGAACACGTAGGGTCTCGCAGGGTCCATCCTCGTGATGATAGACCTCTGATGGCATGATAACAGGAAGAATACTGAAACAGGGCTATTCGGCTTGTGCGGTTGACAGCGGGCTCGAAGAAGATATCCGCTCTGCTCACAAGGACAATGGTTATGCAATTTCGGGAACAGCTAGGCTTTGATGTTTATCAGCGAGAATTTGGAGGTCTCTCTGTGTCTCTACTCCGCCGCTCTCATCCAGTCCATCGATCCTGATCATGATGGGTTCCAGCCTGAGAGAGCTTTCCTAGCAGCTTGATGACATCCGCCGTCTTTTTCTTCAGCGAACTCGCATTCTGGATCGCATCTGCCAATGCTCGTCTCATCTCCGGAACACAATCAGTCAGGTCTTGCGCTATGGTAGAAGATATCTTTTTCATGGCGACGATCGGCTTCTCCGACTCCTGAGGAGAAGTCTATAATACACTCTATTCGATTCGTTGACTTGCTGGTATGTAAACGGGGCGCGATTGTAACCTCTCGCGAACTGAGAGCTGGAATGATTGAAATCAGAAGTGTTGCATGAATACTATGGGCTTCAACGACAGAAAACTAGCGCAATGGGAGTGAGAAACGTATACGCAGTTGGTGAGGAAAACCATACCATGGTACAAAGCAGGATAAAAAAACGGCACATTTGCTCCTTCCAATATCCGCCTAATTGCACGTCTGTTCGCTCAAGCTGTAGCACACAAGCTAGAATTGACAACAAGACAATTCAGCATGCCAAAGTGCGATCCCAACGATGCCCCGATGATGAGAAGCGGCCCGATGATTAACCACAGTGCTGGGAGCCCGAAGATGATCACCTTGGCGGAGATGAATGAAACTTCCATCTTCATTGCGATAAGACCTATAGCAGATACGTGAGTGCAGAACCGATAAACTAAAAGCGCATTGACATACCAAAGATCAGTGTCAACGCCTCCGCGCTAGGAAGCAGCCACGAAAAGACAACCCAGAAGCGGAGGATACCAGGAAGGAGGCTCATGTGCCAGCCAATGACGAATCCCCTGGCAGCGAAGAGGAATTCTAGTACGACAGCAACGGCCGTCGTCAAATAGACAGCGTGAAGAGGTGCCCACGGGAAGAACGCGCCAAGAGCTGCAATGGACCACATCCCGCGGTTGATAGTGAGCGCTGCGAGTTGTTGCTGCAGTTGGACGCCATAAGCTTGTTGCCTGAGATGCGCATCATCTGCCCAAATAATCGAGACTGTCACGATACCGTAGAGAGAGCCGACAATTTGAATGATGAATGATAAGTATGCAAGGTAGCCAGCGTCGCAGACGGAGTGGTAAAGGTCAAGAAGCTGCGTGCTGAGCCCAGGGTCCATCGACATCACGCCGACGATCTTTCTGGGAGTTGCGGTGGAAGTGTCTGCAAGCCATGCAGCAAGTACCGTGCGTTTTGCTAGACCTGAGTCCAATAGAGTAGTGTCAACGCCTCGAATCTGGGGGAGGCATGGATGTAACCACTCACCTGTATACCTTTGCTCTGCAACATAATTACAAGTTGACTTTTCAGTCGCACCTGGGTCTTCTCTGTCTTCATTATAATATCTCACGAAGGAACTTTGTAATCGTGATTCTTCAATGGCCTCAACAACCTCGTTGGATTTTCCGATGGAAAGAAAAAGAGAGGCGATAACCCAGGTCTGGCACCATCCGATTGCCGCAATGATAGGTGTTGATAGCCAGGAATAATTGAGGATGAACTCTCGAACACTATCTATCCACATATCGTGCACCTGAGGAGGTCTTAGGCCTCGAGGCTTGAGCGTACGAAGTACATTTAGCGCCCGAGTATTGATCGCGCCATCGGTTAAAAAGAAGCTCCGTGAGCGGCAAAATTAAGCTTTACAATCACTAGCCAGGGCTCCCAAACCGCTATGTAGGTGTACTGAAGCTTTCGCAAGCGTCAAATGAGCAATGCGGAGTCGCAGGTGTGTTCGTGGACGGACATGGCACTAGGTCAGGAAAACATATGTAAATGGTTTCGATCGACCCGCGGGGAGCCGCCGCCCGGGCCCGACCGCTGGCAGGACTGCACTAGCAGGCAGCTACATGAGTGTCTCGCTTCCCGTTCCGCCCATGTATTACTCCTTACCGTTGTTCTTGTAGTAGTGGGAGTTCCAACCGAATTGAGCAAAGCACGGCGGACGGAACCAGTGACTCCTGTTTCGTCATTGCATGAGCACACTGAAACATCACTATATTTTGACACGGGGAGGCAATAACGGTAACTTCTGTGAACAGTTATTGTACATGTCGCAAAATCCTACATCCAACGATATCCTGTAATTAATGTCTGCAGCTTGTTCCTTGTCGCTCAGTCGTCTTCGTCGCTGTCTGATGCCCATACATCGCTATCACGTACAAACTCACTCTGGGGATGGTCAATCGAAATTTGATGCTGCTCAGAGACTGCATTTCTCTTATGTTTCGAACTGCGAGTTAACTTTCTTGCGAGATCCTGAGCAAACCCACACATCGTCAAGGTGGGATTCCTGAAAATTCGTGAGTTCTAGCTGAGGGAGGATGAGAGCTACAACATACCACGAGCCAGATGTTGGGAAGATCGCTGATCCAGTGACGTACTTTAGTTCGGGATGAGTTATGAAAGACTGATATTTTGACTCATCAGAGGGACACTTACCACATTTGAAACGCCCTTGACCCTGTAATTTCTGTCGACGCAGCATTCATCGCCATCCCCAAGGGGCAGCAGCGACGCTTCGTGTACAATGCCCTCCATCCTAATCGTCTCTTTGCCAGGAATCTCTCTCTTCCAAGCGCCAGGCTTGTCCCAAGGCTTCGGCTGATGCCACCATTCGACTTGCTGATTCTCATTACCAGCCATCGCCCTGATAGCGTCAACTGTCGCTTCGTCCATCTGGTCCCAGAGCTCATAGTCCTTCTCGTCAAGCACAACTTGTAAAACACAGTTGGATGTTGGGTCCTCGTTCAGGGGCTGGTTCGACAAACGGAAGAAAGAATTTGCGTTGTCCTCACTGAGTTCACCAAGCGTCGCGCACACTAGGAGGGTGATTCAATAACAAATGGACATATGGGAATACTAAATGCTCACCAAAAACAACATAATCTTCCGATCCATGAAGTTGCTCTTCACTGGCTGTGCCAGCAAAATCCTACGTGTGACCATGAGTTACTAAAATGCACGAGAAACCGTAGATGTCATACGGGACAAAAACGGGCAGCATCTTCAGCATCCTGCTTTGGATCAGGCGAAGCGACAGCAGTAATCTGGACGTGATACTGTAGATGGGAAGTTGGGTGGCGCCCAGCCAAGTACTCCGCTCCGATCTCGATGCTCTTTTGGTTAAGGTCGTAGAAAGCGCTTCTCTTCACACGAGCAACGATATGGGTCAAAAAGTGGCCTGTCACTGTTTTTCCTGCCGATCCTGTTATATACTTATTGTTCCGGAAGCTGTTGAGCACGAGCGTCGCGTTGGGAAATGCTCCAGCACAAAGGATGACCTTCGTCCTGTTTGCTATAGGTAGATCCCCACGAGAAGTACGCAGAAATTTGACGGACACCTCATCACCTATACTGGCAGGAGGCGGGAATCCGACATCGACCCCAAGGTATTGCACAGCAGTCTCCGTTGCAAAGAGAAGTGGAGAGCCGGTGCCAGCCTGCACATGCCTCTGCTGATCCTTGTACAGAGAAAGAAGCGGACCAGGCGTAGAGAATTTGGTGAAATGAATAGTTGTTGTCTTCGCAATGGATGCGACTGCCATGGGAGCAGGATACACTTCTTCCGCTGACAATATGTCTCCACCGGCGACTGCCGGTTGCAAACGCTGGTCGATCTGGGATTGAAGCTTCCCATATGGTGGACCAATGTCACTGGCCTTCGTGACTCGTAAAAGTTTACTCGCAATTTGGAAGAACCTTGGATTCTGTGCGGTGGTAACAAGAGAGTCAGGCCAGTTGCGCATTAGCTCAGCAGTCGGGCTTGGAGACCAGGCAGACCAGAAGGTAGAACGACCACCGAAAAAAGGACAAGAGCCGTGGACAAATTTGATGTCGCTCTCATAAGTCTGTTTAGACAAAGTAAAAGGGAATGTTTCACTGGGGCCGCCAAGAGTGTATTTGAATGGGAGTGGCAGGTTTTGGAAGTGATCGGGGAGCCAAAAATCTGCGACGAGCAAAGGGTGTTCAGTGTGTTGAAAATTACAGTAAAAAAGACCGCCCACCTCCTCGTTCAAGACAAAGAATCTTCTTTCGTGGGTCTCTTTTCAATGTTTGTTCGATAAATGCGAGGGCCGTCAGCTGACATAGGGGATATGATTGAATGCAAGTAAGGAGTGCCTTGAACGACAACTTACACCTGAACCTATCACGATGAAGTCGAGGTCGGGAACACCCATCCGGAGATCTTCCCATGTCTCGTTTGAGATGAGGAAATCTTGTGCTACAACTTGGCGAGCGCTTGGAGCCTTTCGAAAGGACGCAGGTCAATTTTCTGGTGAATAATAAGGGTATCTCGCGAGTACCTGGATACCTGGCTCCGGGAAGCCATAGTTATTGAAGGGATGAGTGTCGACTTCCTGAAAACGAGGCTGGAAGGATAGCGGACGCTCGCGCTGAGCGTAGTGGTTCTCCTTGGTTGGTGGAGCAGAATTACGTGGCAAGTAGTGAATAGGGATCGTGGTGGAAGACATGACTGTGATAGTGAGATTACACCATCCAGTGCGTCCTTTTATCGCCCATGGATGCCTTCTGAGGGCGCAACTTTGTGTCCATCAGCTGTACCATATCTGGAATCTAAATCTGAGCGGCCGAATGGTCCTAGGTGCATCATACGAAAAACCTGTGTTCCTCGCGCTATTGGTGAAATGCTTTGCTTAGCATCCAGAGAGCCTGCATTTACTACGCAATGCAGAGGAGCTAGCCCGATTGGTTACCTGTAATTACAATTGGGACATAGCCGTGTTAGCGTGCGCATAGGATCATTATGATCGGTCTACAGACTGGATGCAACAAAGTTCCAGGCTCCATTTTCTTGCATCATGGGCGGTAACACGGAGGTCGATCCGACTGGTGCACTCGAACAAGCAAATCTTGGTGATATTGCGGCAGAGTCCCTTGTTAGATGAAACGGTGTGTGCTAACGCTGACTGGTGCCACAGCACTGTGCTTGGCTGCAGAAAACTCTACAAGCTTGGCGATTGATACGAGCAAGACAGGGAAACGATATATGTCCTATAGAAATGTAAGTATCTGGTCTGGATCATGTGGACTGCGGACCTCTGCGGAAAACCTATCACAATCAGAATTATCATCGCACCTGCCCACTCAGGCTAGTGAGCGCTGAACCAAAATAGTTATAGCTAGGTACGCTTTGGGTACGCCAACTTGAACTTCTACGCTCGTGATCAGTCAGTCCTTCACAGTGAACCTGCTACTAGCGCTCAACTCACCAAGTCCATCTCTCACCACCTTTGCGAGAACATGAGTGCTGACCCGAACAACAACTCCGCGGCTTCAAAGACCGTCTATATCGAACATGTGACTCATCCAGAGAGGGACAATCATTTTCGCGCTATAGCAGCTTCTAGTAAACTCCTTAAGGCAAACCAGAAGAATTTCAGCATACAATGTACGCAGTGTCAAACGAGTTTGGAGAAACCTTTGAAATGCGCCAAGGTGGGTGCTCAAATACCTCAATACTGTTGCAGTTGTTCATCGAGTGTCGCAAACTGCTTTTAGTGCAAGAGCGTCTGGTATTGCTCAAAAGAGGTGGGATTTCCGACCGGGATCAAACCCAAGTCTGAAGCTTAAGGACTGACCGAGTCGTGTGTCTCCTTGTTAGTGTCAAAAGAAAAATTGGTGAGAGTGCATTGAAACAGATTGGAATCCTCACTCCACACTTAATGATACTAGGTCCACCCACAAACCGTCATGTCACGAAGTTGAACGCTCCTCGGGGGCACTCAAATTCATACAAATGTTCAGTGCAAACCCATTGCTCATGGGGTACCTCAAAATCGGTATCCTCTTTGACTGTGGCCTGCTCGACAATCCCCGTATCGGATTTGACGTGCCATTCATGGCACGTGTTGACATTGCAGTGGAGCCGAGTGATATTCTTGACTTCACAAGATTGTATCTCAACGACAAAGCTGTTGGGGAGAAGCTTCAAGGGATGTTGCAAGTCAATTCTATCACTCCGTGGCACTCAAGCATGCAAAGTCCCCTTACGCCGAGGCGGCTACAGAAATGGCGTGAGGCCCGAGCAAGGTGTAACGAAGAAGGTTGCGCCAAAGATCCCGTAGGCCTCGTAGAGTTCATCGGCTGTAGTTGTGCAGAGGACTCGGGGAACTCAGTGACCGCTGAGTTCCACATCCCCGCTGTTCTTCTTGATTTTGCAAAGAAACGCGAGCCCTTCACAGGCGTCTCTGCTGTCACGGGCACGCAGTTCAAGAAACCCATGAGTGCTGTGGCATGTCTAGAGTAGGTTATTCTGCATTATCCCCACATATCAGCAAGCGGAGCCCCTTACAATCATCGCATAGGTTCATCAACTTGCATATTAGGGCGGATAAGCAGAATCAATTGCATTTGCGCTCTGAGATGACAGAGCAAGACAAGGAAGCTATTCGCGCTGCAGGTCGCGATGAGGAGACACTTCCGGCTCGTATTCTCAAAGATAAGATGCAAAGAGAACACCTCTATGCTAATGTCTCGCAATTGAGACACTAAATAGTCGCATGTGAGTGTGTAATTCGACTTCTCCCATTTTTGAGTGTTGTACTAAAACAAGGATGCTCGTAGCTCTCGGTTCGAAGTCGTATGTACAATGCCTCTTGAATGGGCTGCCATGTACGAGCGATAATCAGTCCACTTGGATAATTACTGCTCCTGTAATACAACAACTGGACGAGAAGTCCTGAGGATTGAAGATCCAGCCTGGAACGCTCATACGATGGAACATCGACTATGGACCAAGCCATAGACCAAATCACAAATTCTGAACAAACTTTGAATGCGCGGTTCCAATGAAACGTGCTTAATATCGATAGACTAATTCTTTACTCAACAGTACCGGCCTCACGCCTTGATGTCCAAAACTTGTGATCATTTCATAGGAACCAACATAATAGCAGTCAGTTTGTGTCAGACCAACGAATCTCAACTCGACGTGGTACTATGCTTGCGCAAGATTGATAAAGAAGCCGTCTCCAAGAACCGTTGCATCTCCACATACTGCTCGACATCAGGACTCTCATTGTCAGCCATGCTCAGAAATTCTTCTGCTCGCTTAACAACCGACTCGAGTCTTTCTTTTTCAGAAGCTTTCAGAGTCCCGGGAAGCTTGTCTTCGGAGATCAATGACCGAAGATTTGATGTATACCACTTGAGTGTTTTTTTCGCTTGAGCGCCTGGCACATCTGTGAATATACGTACTAATATGAGCGTTATCACACTCCTTCAAATGGTTATGACATACCCGTGTACCGTTTGTGGGAATAATTTGACTTGAGGTCGTCGGGATCACGAGACGATCCCATGGCACGCTCGCCAACGGTCACCACTTTTATCCTTCCGGTGTTCTGATCGCAGGCAATAACACTGAGAATATTGTTTGCATCAACATCAAATGTGACTTCAATTTGAGGAACCCCGCGAGGAGCTGGCGGGATGTCGGAAAGCTCGAAAACGCCAAGGAGATTGTTGTCTTTTGCCTGCTCTTTATCCCCTTCGAATACACGCAAGACAAGTGTCGACTGGTTATCCGCATAAGTCGTAAATGTCTCCCACTTCTTGATAGGAATCGTGGCAGAGCTGCCAACGATACGCGTCATGACTCCACCAACGGTTTGGATACCCAGAGACAATGACGCGACATCTAGCGCTAAAACATCCTGTAGCCTTGATGAAAGATCTCCGCTAAGGATGGCAGCCATGACAGCAGCCCCAGTTGCAGGAGCCTCGGGGTAAAGGATTTTGACAGGCAATTTGCCGCCAAATATATCCGATATCATGGTTCGGATTCGGGGAATGTGAGTTGATCCACCAACCAAGACGATTTCAGTCACGGGCGTGATATCCTCACTTCGAAGCACCTCCTTAACATGATCAAGCATTCTATCGAAAAGATCGTTGCATAGGGTCTCGAACTGAACACGTGTGATTGATGAATAGAAATCGATTCCGTCATGAAGGTATTCGACCGCGACGTCAGCTCGGGTAGCGGAGCTTAGTGTGCGTTTAGCACGCTCACATTCTGCACGTAAACGCCAAAGAGCACGAGGATCAGAAGATATGTCTGTTATAGGGGGGGAAACTTTAGAGGCCGGAAGGGAGTAGACAAATGATCCCAACCTTTTTTGTGCTGACTCAAAAACTCTTGAATGAAATGAAAGACAAGACGGTCGTCGAAGTCTTCGCCACCCAAGTGACAATCTCCTGCCACAGTGACAACTTCCATAACACCTTCAAGAACCTCGACAAGCGCTACGTCCAGTGCGCCCGCCCCAAGACCAAAAACAAGGATTCTGTACATGTCTTCTTTGGTATCATTGTTGATTACATGGGCAACTACCGCAGCAGTGGAGTCGTTAAGCAGTCGCAGGACCGTGATGCCCGCCCGCCTCGCTGCATCTACCGTGGCTCGCCGTTGTGCATCGGTAAAGTAAGCCGGAACAGTAATGACAGCATCTGTACACGGTGCGCCGAGGTGGGTTTCTCCTAGACCCTTCATTTTGGTGAGGATTATTGATGATATTTCTTCTGCAGACTGGCGAAGGAAGTGGATCATCACAATGACACATGCGCAAACCTGAAGTGATTCCTGTACACTCACAAAATCTTGTTGTCCTTGATGACGTTCGACGCTGACATATGGCCGTCCTTCCTTGTTGATCAAGTCGTACGGGTGGTATTTCATGACGGATTGCACCTCGAGATGGTCGAATTTCCTGCCAATGAAACGCTTGACATTGAAGATACTATTCGCGCACTTTCAACATGATGGAGAGGAAGGCAACTTAGTAGGTACTAGGCTTACGTGTTTGCGAGGTTAGAAGGTGCTTGGCGTTTTGCTTGTTCTCCGATCAAGTAATTGTTGGCCATGAAGGATACATAACATGGGGTGATATAATTCCCGTGTTCGTTCGCTATGATCTCGACATGATCATTGTTCCACACCCCAACACAACTGTAATGCCAGGAGTGAATGTCAATCGCAGAAGCTATGAAAAATGCCCTCACCAACTCGATGTCCCGAGATCAATACCAAGAGCTGTGATCATAATATGCACTACACTCGGTGGGAGATTCACCACTGCACAGTGCAGTAATATCTTGCAAGTACCGTATCACAGCAGTAACTGTATCGGGAGTCGTTAGGAAATGTAAAATTTATTAACAGTACGTACTGGACAGTTAGTCTCCCGTAGTCAGACCTTCAAGTTGATAGAATGAAGATATCGATATTGGACCACTATGATCATCCCGATTCCCGAAGCGTGGTACTTAGAATTAGGACTCAGAAGAGGTCGGTGCGACGATGCTTACGGCCCGGTCGGGTACTCGATGACATGGTTCTTATTAGTGCTCGCTTATAAGTATGTATCTCCATTTCCCTATCGTACGTTGCACGCCTTCGGTGGACAAATCTGAACAGTCGAGGGTTGTCCAGAATGAACGATCTAGCCTTTCTACTGTCTTCATCCATTGCTCGGTTTGTATGGTTCGTCGCAGGTAGAACAATGACAGCTTATGGTGTGAATGGAGAACTATTTGTAAAAATTCCTGATCCGGGATTCCACCTCTTCAGGAGACAGCTTGATATCTATGGGACGCGTTGTCAAAGGAAGCAGATTCGCGCAAAATCACGGGAAGGCTTACACTTTTGAGGATCTGGCGAGGTGTTAGTTCATTGCACACGTCAAAGGCAAGAAGCTCACTCTTGCTGAACTCTCTCTCCTTCTGCTTTTGCATGAACCGCTGCAACGACGGAACAACAAGCTTTACCACCTCCTCCTCAACAGCGCTTCTCTCCTCCGAATCTTCTTCTAATACCTTTGCCATTCGATGTCGTTCTCCAACCTCTTCAAACAAGTCATAAAAGCGCGTAAACTTCTCCTTCGCTGCTGCCTTCCAACCACTGCCACTCGTCTTATCTTGTGCGTCATCGGCGAGCGCCTGCATGAGGGGTGAGAAGTTAACATCAAAGTAACCTGCCTTTGCAGTACGCCACGACGAGCTGAGGAAGTCCGTTGTGGGTTTAGACAGCAGGGAAGGCGTATTAGGGTTCGTGGGGCGCAAAACGAGGTGAGACACAAGATACGATATATTGTTAAGGAGAAACACAGAACCAAAGGGAGGCCGGCGTTGTGTGCGTGACAGCGTTGTGAGACTACCAATCAGAGTGTTCATGACGTCGTCTGCGGATTGAATGAATTATGTTCGGAAATGGGAGAGAAAACGCAACCCACAAACAAAGTGTTGAATCAGCACCTTTTCATTGATCTCTACAGAGTTGGACTTGGTTTTCCCTACTTGCTTCCCGTCACCCATTTTCCAGTTCCCATCGCCGAGCGCAGACAACGCAGCGCCAACAGCATCCTGGACATCGGGTATGCGATTCAGATACTGCACGGTCTATATTTGTTCAGTACGGGTGAACGCAAAGGAAAGACCTGTCATAACATACCGAAACAGTGATGTCCGCTAAGCTGACACTCAGGTCGCCACCCTTGCCAGCAGCGGCAAGCTTCAAATCGGCCAAGAACTCAGGAAAGCTCCTGAGGCATACACCACGGATCGCAATAAGCCCGTCTCGCAACTCATTCCTTTCCCGTCCATGTTTTGCCAATACAGATTCCCAGCGACTCTGAGACATCAATAGAGCAGAAAACGCAGAAAGCGCATGGAATGTGTATTTGTGCAGGGAGCGCTTAATGAGGGATGTCAGAGATGACAGGGTGTCCGTGAAGAGGGTCAGGAGAGGTGTAAGAAGGTTGTCATAAGTCGATGCAATGAGGGAGTTGATGGACAACGGGGCGAGTTCTGTGAGGAGGGTATATTCGGTCTGTGTATCCGTGCTCTGTTGAGAATTTTCAATAGGAATGATGACTATGAAAAATCACCTGAGTGACTTTGAGCAAATTGTCTATCCACGTGCTAAATTCCTTCCCGGCAGCCACGCCATCTAGAGTCTCTGCTCGGTCCACAACTCGCCGCGAATGCATTTCAAGCGCTTTGCGACTCCAGTTCCCGCGCATATCCGCATATCCTCGCTGTGCATCCTTGAGCGTGTTCAAGATAGCTGATGCAGCGGGGTGAGAGGGATGTGTTGATGGAAGGGGAAGAGTACGGAGGAAGGCGACAAGGGGTGTGAGTGAGGACATCAAGGAGGGGGGGAACTCAGTGAGCATGAATGCAAGACCTGAAACTGGTGGAGATCCCGAGGAGCCTTCCGCGACAAGCTCGGTATACAACTGGGTAAGCTTCTTCGCACCGGTCTCGATCAGTCGTGCCTTGGAAAGACGATTAGAGAGCACGTAAAATAGCGACAAATGAATTGGAATTGTACCATATCCCTTGAACCTGCATCAGAAGACTTGAATGCAATGGCAGCATTGAGGCGTTCAAGGATATCGATGTAGGCTTCAAGTTGACCAGGCTGCGGCCTGTTCATAATTCAGTTATGTCCCAAGCCTTGATCGGACTGCGAACGTACCCCCGTAAAACCAGACCTTCCTCTACGGCAATGCCATCTTGACTACTAGCAACCTCGTCGATCTTCAGCAGGGCACGATCAATATCTGCATACAATCCGATGAGTATTGTCTATCAAGCAATGTGAACCACCAACTGTGGGCCAGTAGCTTGAGCTTCTGCGTCGAATTGTATAGCGGCAGAATAGACTTCTCAAGTCTCGCAAGGCGAGTGTCAAAGTTTGTCAGGATGGCTGTATTGTGATGTGCAGTCAACAGTTATGCATAGCTGAAAATTACGCACAAGTCATCCGCTGTGAGATCTGGACCGTTTTGTTGAGGTTCTGCTCTAGCTGCATCACGGCAGAACAATCAACACTCCGTGAATCCGTCTCGAGGAAGAACATACGAGCTCAATCTCAGCACTATCATTGTCCATAATAAATTGCAGGATCCTAAATCCTGTGTCAACGTAACGTGAAGACACTGGATGAAAACTTATGAAAACTCGTTGACTTCAAGTTCAATGGCCAGAGTTGTTGACCGATGTGGATGGTTGTTTGCCGAAAGCTTTAGAAATAAACATCGTCAATTATTTGGTTTCCACCAATCTACATACCAAATTTGCACACGGGTATGTTTGCAATTGGCAACCAAAACATACCCAGTGGCCACCATGTGCTGGACAACGTCGCGGCACTTACCATACTCTCGCTCAGTTGGAAGGATGGCCAGGCTCTGAGTGTTCGATTCCTTTGTTATTCGGCAGCAGAAGACAATGGCTAGGTGCATCCATGTCAGTCAACTGTTATACCCTCGAGGCCTAGTCGCGTCTAATGGACTTATAACTCCCCCTTCCATATAGCTATCGAAATTTTGTATTGCTACTTGACTTACACATTTGCCGCGCCCAACACGCCATCCTTTGTCCCAGGCTCCCAGCAGTCACGAGTAGCTTCCTCAAGAACTCTTATGATCCACAGTTTCAAGACTCAAGCGTGCAGCAAGATGCTCAGAGACAGGACACCTGCCTCTCACTCTGATATAACTTTCCATTTGCCTTATCTATAACATTGACCTCACTGGGAGCCCGGGTGACATCGGTTAGCATTGTCATCCACATACTTCCTGCATTACTAGGCGTAACGTTTTCACTATATTTGCAGGCTTAGATCCTACATTGGACTCCGATAACGACTGGGGCATCGTAGTAGACAGGATGATGTTCATACTGGAAATGGGTTACCTCTCTTGAGGTCGTTGATCTCGCCCGACTCATCACAAACGGTGACAAAACAGGCGAGATGCCAAATATATGTCGCGATTACCACTAAAAACCACTAGCAAAGTAGCTCTAGAGGAGGTGAAGCGCAAGCGCAAGTGAATGAAGTATGTATGCCCTCCAGACTCGGATCCGTGACGGTCGATAAATTGAATATTGATGAAACTCTACTTCTTTCGGGGACAACTGTGGATCCTGACTGGACCGCTTCTATCTCCTGTACAAGTACCGGGCATCTTGCACAGGTTTTATCATCGCACACAGCCCATCATGCATCATGCCTCGTGCACGTACTATTTCCGCACTTCTAGGCGAATATCCTTGATTGAATGAATCCTCATTTGATCATCGGCGGCAACCTTTTGTGGGGTGATTCGAAGATTGCTGCACGTTTGGTTACATTTGCAATAACCTTGTTCCCAAATAACACACATGTACGGAAGGATATATACTTTGGCCATGGCACCAGGTTCCGATATACCATTGTTATCCCACAACCTCAACTATCAAAATATGAGCATATCCCGAATAAAGCACCATCCCCAGTACTACCTGCGTGACGGCAGCGTATCATTTCATGCACGTCTTCCTTTTTTGGTCGTGATGACGGTCCTGATAAGCTTATCGTCAACCAGGTCGCGGGCACCCTCTTTCGCGTACACAAGTATTTTTTTGAAAGAGAGTCCGAATACTTCCGTGAGGGGTTCGAAGAAGCCGGGCCACAGGAAGATGGTCATTCTGACCAGGCAGCGTTTCGACTTGATGACGTCAAGATCAGTGAGTTCGAGCGACTGTTGTGGGTATTCTACAACCCGTGAGTCCTCTTTCCCAACTCATATTTCTTTTACTGAGCGCTTGGAATCGAAGACAATATATGTACGATGAGCAGCCCAAGGACCACTGGACCACTATCCTTGACCTGGCCACACGATGGAGATTTCCAAGCGTTGTAGACCTGGCAGTCCGGCAGCTGCAAAAGCTCGACATGAAACCTGTCGAGCGAATTGTCACCTATGATAAGTACAACCTCGACAAATCGCTCCTCTTGCCCGCCTACATTCTTCTGTGTAAACAATCGAGTCGCTCTGTTGAGGATGGTGAGCAGCTCGGCATGCCCACCGTCCTCAGGATCAACGAGGCTCGTGAGTATGCACAGAGGTTTGCAGCCGAGCAAGGTTGCTCTAGTCCCACAAGCGCCGATGCCGAAGATGAAGAACTTGTCGAGATTCTGAGGGGCGTATTCGGTCTGAGCTCAGACTCACAAGCTACTTGAATGGTGGACACAGGATTAGGGGCTATTAGTGGATACTACGTAGTAATAGTATTGTACTTAGCTATCGGCGATGTTCGATGTCTCGCACAACGTGTAGGTAATTAATAGCGCTGAGTGAGCGCTGATCCTTTGTTTCGCCCACAAAGGCTCGACACGTGTTAGTGCGGCTCATCCAGAAGTTGTTAGATGTCGTTGTAGGCTCTCACGCTGCACAGGCTTGACTCTTTCTCTCTTGCCGCCATGAACGTCGCTGGTCCCTCACGACCACGTCTGGTCCCTGGTCCAAGAGAAAGAGACAACTATGAGGAGGATCTTACCCGTATGATCGCTCAACTCGAGCTTTCTGACGTGGAGAGATTGCAGACTTTATACCATAACAGAGTGCATCGAGGAGAAGGTCTCACTGACCGTGAAGTTGCTTTCGCACTGTTGATGCAGAACGCTCGAGAGCTTGCGGAGTTCAATGCTGATCGGGCACTTGCCCAGCAACTTCAAGAAGGAGATGGAGAGCCTGTTCCTGCACCTATGTAGGAACCCATACTGCGTAATCCACCAAAGCTAACACTGATAAGCAGGCCAGCAACAGTAGCACTACAGCGAGCTGCGGCGCCCCAACCCACCATTAGAAAGTATGCTTGCGAGTGTAATGCTACCCCTGAGAGTCCCTGACGAGAATCTCAGCACTACATCAAAAACACAAACATGGGGCCAATGGTTTGCCGCCATATTTTCGGCGCCCGTATCGAATGGTCAGACCCCACCGAACCCAGCTCAAGCGCCCACCATTGTTAGGCCGGCTCCTCCTCGGTGAGACATATTACCACCCATGATATTGTTACTGAAACTATCGTTACAAGGGCTACCGGTCATGACTGTGTGATCTGTCAGGATCCCATCTTCGGAGCAGAAGTTCGGGCACCATGTGGCCACTTTTATGATATCGGTTGCATCACCGACCTATTCCAGTCAGCAACACGCGACGAGAGCCTGTATCCCCCTCGATGTTGTCGCCAGAACATTACCCTCCCACAAGTTCGGCCTCACTTGACGCAGGCAGTCCTCGCCGAGTTTGAGCTCAAGGCTCAAGAATTTGGGACCATGAAGCGCGTTTATTGTGTTGCACCAACGTGCAGTCGTTTCCTCGGGCCATTATATGAGGGATTTTTCAACAAGGTCTTTACATGCACGTCACCTACCTGCACGACGACGACATGTGGAAAATGTCGCGGTAGATATGAAGGATTCACCCACAGCTGCACTCCTGATGCAGATGCTGAGCAAGTACTCATGCTAAGCCGCGCCTCGGGGTGGGCACGCTGTCCAGGCTGTGCTCAGATGATCGAGCTTAATATGGGGTGTTTCCACATGACCTGCCGATGCAGGACGGAGTTCTGCTATCTGTGTAAAGTACTCTGGAAGAACTGCAGGTGCCCGCAGTGGGATGAGGCCAGGCTGCTTGCTGCTGCAGAGCGTCGCGTGGATGCTCAGATGCCCGCCGCGCCGGTGCATCGCGCGCAGCCTGCTAATCCTCCCCGACAGGTCCCCGCAGTGCGCCAACCAGTGCCAGCTGCTGGTGCTGTTAGGATTCAGCACGCTAATCTACCCAGGCCGGCACCTGTGCCAGCGCTCAGACCAGTGCCAGTTGCCAATATTCGCCCTGCAAATCCTCCTCAACAGGTCCCTGTGCCAGCACCTAGAGCAGCACCAGTTGTCAATACCCGGCCTACGGCTCGCCGTGCTGAGGTACCTGCCCCAACACCTATTCCTGTTCCACCACGCCCCACGACTCTCCGTCCCGAGGCACCAGCACCAGCACCTCTTCCAGCACCCCCTTCCCTGCCAGGAACTCGCCGTGCTGAGGTGAATGCTCACGTTCCCGAATGGCAGGCGACATGGCGCCAGAGAGTGCTACAGGCGCAGCTCGCAGCCGCGCCGGACTCGGATAGGGACGCTGAGGTGAATGTTCACGTTCCCGAATGGCGCGCGACATGGCACCAGAGAGTGCCACAGGCGCAGCCCGCAGCCGCGCCGGACTCGGATAGGAACACTGTCAGACAGCGTATGATAATGGAGACCATGGAGCGTCTCAGAGTGGATCACGATTGTGACCACACAAACTGGAAGTTCCGGAGAGGGGGTGGACGTTGCGAGTCCTGTGAGATACATCTCCCACTATACCTCTTCGTAAGTCGTTTGCGTCGCCTTGCTTACATCGACACACTTTCTGATCTGATATCTGTTAGCGGTGTAAAGGGTGTGACATCCTCGCTTGTAACAGGTGTCGCCGAAATCGTCTGTGAAAAATAACCGAATCAAAACTCTCTCGATGCTTTGCTGATAACTCACAAGTGGCTTTCTGTGTAAATTACACATTGATCTTGGAACAAATTGCTCTCATGCACTGTATAAATCTGTAGGATAGAAAGCATGACCGTCTTCCTTAGCCTGTACCACAGTCTTAGAAAGGGAGATCATGTATTATCGCATATTGGCTGGTAGTCAAATTCAACGTTAGTGCCACGGCCCTGGCCAAATAGCATCATGAGTGGCGGAGCATCGTAGCAACACAGTAGCCATAATAGTAGCCAAAAGTACTGAATGCCGCACCTCGTAAGTAGACATACCCAGCCTGGGATTAGACGCTCAGACTATATGCTCGATAGAGAGAAGGCCCGCTCGTAGCGCAAACGTTATTTGGGTCAGAGGGTGTTGCCAAACAACTGCCCACAACTTTGTTGCCCAGAGTCCCCAGCTGACTCCAGACCACTACCAGTGCTCTAGCTAACGGTTATAACTTATGAACTACCCATTGTTGCTCCCATGAATCCACCAGAATTACAGGACAAGCAGAACTTATGGTCGTTCAATCACCGTACCCGAGTTCATTATACATTCGACTCCTCCGACTCTGAATCCGAGGCCGAAACTCGCTGTAACACCAATCTTCCCTCCGATGACACCAGACTCATTCAAGAGCTCGATATCTCCTCGCGGAACGAGACTGTGGAGTACAAGCCTAACCCATGGAGTATCGCACGTATCAATGCTGCTAGTCGTCCCCCGAATAAGGCACCCCCCAGCCAGGCGATCTCAGAGAACACACGGCAAAAATCACAACCACGGGCGCCACAGGGTCGAATCGTGGATGCATTCAAAGTTCAGGCAGAGCGCAAGCCGCCTCGTGAACCGCTTCCTTTGAAGACACTCAAGGTTCCAAAACCCAAGTCGAAAACGCCCCGGGCCTCTCAGGTGGACCAAGTTTGTTCACACATCCAGGGGATGAGCAGGGCTGAACTAGGGGGCTACTCGCAGCACAACAATGTATCGTTTAGCGCCAGGGATTCCCAAACTAGACCTTCGGACACACCGGTTATCTTGTCGTCAAATGCTCCCCAGGGGGACCTCCATGAACTGCGATTCCAGCCTCATCTGGGTGTCCTGACGCTATCTTGCATCCCAGGTAGTAAGCGCGCTAACATTCAGATGAGTCATGAAGCTCCCTTGCAACGAAGCGTAGCGCATATATCTACCCCCGACACGAGTCGGACGCCGCGATTGCGATACAACGTGCCTTTCGCGTCTATGTCATCCCCACTTACCAAGCACGATTATTCAATGAATGCTTCACACCGTCGACCAGAAGGTTATCAATCCTCCCCGCCAAGACCTTTTTATAGAAACATCGATACTCCTCCGAGATTGCTTCCGTGTAACCAATTCTCTTCGCATTCTCGCCGTGGTGAACGTCTTACTGGTAATCGTGAGTACACTAGCGCGCCTGTATAGCATATGATGCATGTTTTCTGCACTCCGCAGAGCGTTTTCAAGCGTTGTCTGCATTGCCTGTTCCCCAGGTTCCGGCGATGGAGCCATACCGCACAGGATCGCCTGCAATGGTTAAAGCAGAGCCTCCGTCGATGCCGCAGTGGCTAGCTTCCACTATTCATAGCTCCCTCAACTCTCCGCAAACTCAAGCAGAATTTGTTGAAAGAGCTTCAAGCCCGGTGCGATACCATAACGCTCCCGAGTCTAGGAAGCGTCCCTACCAATCGCCAATGTCGTCTCCACTGCCCCAACGCGCCCAAAAGTGTACGCCGAAACGTAATGTTGCGGACTCGTCAATTTCACGCGGTGTTCACCATATTTCTGCATACGCTTTCGATGACGATCCTGACGCTAACTGGAGCACGGTCATGAAACCCGAGAAGAAAAAGAGCAAGAAGTTCAAGCCCGGTAACGATCAGTCATCGAGACCATTCGGCCTCCGTCTCCCTGGTATAACTTTCGGGAATTCAAAGGACCGGGGTACAGGCGTAACACAGCCAGAGAAGAGGCATGACACTCGGACAAAGAGACGTGTTACCACGTACCTCCCACCGCCACCACCGCAGCGCACCGTAGCACCAATTGAAAACCCACAAGAACACTACGCCCCCGACGATGACGCGTTCCCTCCCGGGTTTACGCCGGCTGCTCAGCCACCACAAGAGAGCGGTCGCGTATCTCCTCTACTACAAACTGACTCTGATGATTTGACATTGGTGGATGAGGTGGGCGAGCAAGTGATCACATTTGATGTTGGAGAGGTAAAGGAACGGTATCCCAAAGTTCGCAAACTCATCAAAGAGGTGCGTATCTATCCTTGCTGCCCTTTCAAATGCCCTTGACCTTGCGTGGTAGCCCCTTGTCGCTGTTTTCCCCGCTTAGCTGATTTTGATTATGCACCTTGTAGCAGACTCGAGTTATGCTTCCGGAGCTGCTGGGTCTTCCGAGCTGTGGCATTGTATGGCGGGACGATGGTGTTGTAGGCGCGGACGACACTGAGAATAGAGAAATGAAGATAAGTGTTTGGCCTTTCGTCGGATGATTAGCGCGTGGGGGGCTATGACATTGTGTTGTTAGTGTTTACCATTCGATTGCAGAACAACAGACTCGCCTACAAAGAAGAATGTGACAATGCTACAGTTTATTCTTTGTTGGCATGTCCATGGGAGGACGAGGTGTATTAGCGTCTCTTCATATTACTTCACATGTTCATGTTTCACCTTGTTAGGTCCTGCAACACGAGCACGAATTTCCCACTAAATGTCGTCTTCATCGCTTATTCCTTTGTCCCCAACAATTCCCTTTCATCCTCGCGCATATCTGTACCTACCTTCTGAGCCACTCAGAACGGTATATAGGATGACATGTATCCTCTCAACCATATGTCAATTCACTCTATTTTGATCCAAAGAACTCGGAACGATTCCGGACGACTCCATTGCACATGCTCGTCTACTCAAAATACATCTACCTCTTCTCAATGCTTTTTAACTCGTCGAGTCTCGCTACACTCATCATAGCAGATTTACATCTCCTGGCTCGTCTGGCAATCACACACGTCTGCAGACACTGGCGTAAAGTCGCTCTGGAATGCCCTACTCTTTGGAGATTCATCCGTGCTTCCTCTCCTCGTTGCCAAACTAACATCATGCTTGGGAGGCCGAAGAACGCTCCTTTGGTCGTCACATACAAATCGAGTGCCCCTCTCTTTGGAGATTCATCTGTTCTTCCTCTCCTCGTTTAGTAGGCATCATGCTTGAGAGGTCGAAGAACGCCCCCCTGGTCGTGACATACAAATCCCCGGTCTCACTACAAGGTTGCTTGGAGCCAGTCCTTTCGCAACTGCCCCGAGTCAAAGTCCCCCAATTTCCCTCATTGCCATCGGATGTCGATCGCATCATCTACTTGTTATCATCGCAACCCGCGCCGTTGCTTGAAATTTTCGCAATTCTGCAACTTGAAGCACTGGGCGCACAGCGATCACACAACGAGGCTCATATCAAACACCATCTTTCCAGGAGAAGCACCTTGACTTCGGAGTGTTGAACTTAGGAAGTCTAGCTTACGCTGGACAACGCATATTTTCAGCGGGCTTCAAACTCTGAGTGTCAGAGGCACAACCTTCTTTCCTACTACCCTACCGGAGCTCTTGTCAGCTCTGAAATGTATACCTGTATTGGAACAGCTTGTGCTCGAGAGGCTGTCCATAATTTCCGAGGAACGAAACTCCTTGACAAAGTGTCACTAGCTTAGTTAAAAAGTATATTAGCGCTAGGTTCCACATCAATCCAAACTGCCGCGTTTCTCTTCGCGCAATTGACTAGCCATTCCCGTCGACACCAAGATCACTCTCCAACTCGCCAAAATTATCTAGAGGCCTTCAAGACTTTTCTGATCTGTTTTCGGCCATGGACAGGCATCCCGATTCCATGCGGCCATCAGTAAAGTCCAATTTTCTCACGGAGGTGACAAACTTCGGGGATTGGGCCACAGTTCGCACAGGTTCACAGTACACAGCGATACAGCGACTCCAGTTGAAATCCACACACAGATTTCAATATATATTATGGCCTGCAAAAACTCACAAGTCTCAAACACGCACCTAGTAGTAGTAGCCTGAGTACCAAGTGCACTAGTGTATCAATGTACCGGCACAAAACACATTTCAACATCAACCTTAGTAATAATATTTACCAGACCGGCAATTTGGCAAGTGGCACTGGAGCCTGTGATCGTGCACACTACTCTAGACAAAGATTAAAGTCTGTAAACCAGTACCTATTTCTAGGTCCTGGAATTTCTGTTGATTTAGCCCAGGAGTGTTTTCCTGATGTCCATCAAGATTTTACAGGCATTGCAGCGTTTCAAGAGTCAAGACCGCTAATACACATTTTACTCTTCAATATCACTGGCAATTTGTATCCGTCCCTCAGTCAGCCAGATGTCTCCTCTCTATGATTCCTCTTTGCCCTTGGGTGAGGCCCCAGGACCCAGGGGGAATGCATCTCATGTTCAGCGAAATGCTACAAGTCGTCATCAATAGTATGTGCCATCTATCTTCTTTCAGCATATTGTATTTCATCGTTGCACTGCCGTTTCGTTTCGCGACACGCTCAGCACCGGAATCCACTCGATGATACCCTCCCACCCTTAAATGAGAAGCCAAGCCAGCCAGAACACTCAGGATCCGGGAGATGCACACCTGGTTGGAGCACAATGCGTTGCCATCACTGGTATGTGCGATGTATCTCTATTTAACACGTATTTATGATGTTTCTCAAGCCATTCGTGCAACTGGTGTCATTTTTGGTCCCCGACGGATCCCTGTTGGTTTCCACATGATGGTGCATACCGATATGGCGAACAAGCAATACACCCACACACCTAGACCAGGATGTCGTTGAATGGAATGTACGCATATTTTGTAAGTCGTCCCCGTTTTTCCCGCAGATATCAAAATGCTCCGAGTCGTTTGAACTGGTCTCGTGGTCATGGAGAACTGTTTTGGACATCCGAGATCTCCGTTGGAGAATTACTGGATCGCGGTGAAAATTCACATTGTCAGTATTGTCTGTTGTGAATCGTGCCCGATAGATATTAACAAAATATTCCAGCCATCATCTTATAGCCAGAGGCAGGGGAAGTTGTACTTCGCTGTTCATGACAGTGGAGCAGCAAATGTTCTCATGAAGCTGACGGCAGATTTATTCTGGTTTTGCAGCTGGTCGGACCCGGATCGTACTCGGATAGGGTGTTCAGACGGCGGTGTTACAAGCTACCTCTTTGGACCCTAGTCTCCATAATATGAAGACGAATGAAGACAGACCATGATAACGCTATCCTGTTTTGCAAGAAAATACCGCAGTTCATCATCCATTAATATCGTACTCGGGTCGTGTTCGGATGGCTGTTCGTGAACCGAACTAGCTCAAATTTGGACCTAATCGACTTGGATAGGTACCATCCTGTTTTTAGGGAAGTGATGGCATTGTCAGGCAAGTTTGCAGCCAGTCGGATCCATATCCTTCCCGGATTCGGCCAGGACGATGGTGTTCGTAAAACGAGCAAGGTAGTCTCCCCTATACACAGCAATAGACGAATTAATCTTTATCGTACAACAAGGTGCTATAAATTATGTTTGTCCGCAGTATTTAAGTGCTTACTGATTGATATCCTTAAAGCAAGTTGTTCACGACCATGGGTTTGTTGCACTATGGCAGGGACATTTGGTTTGCCTTTAAGGACTACTGCTTCTTGGCGTCCTTGCCAGGCTCAACAGCGATATGTGTCTCATTTCTGATACTGCTGTCCCTCTATCTCCTACAAGTGTATCGGCAAAGACAACGAACGACACCCTTACGAGGACCTCCGAGCCCAAGTTGGTTGTTTGGCTTCGCCAAGACAGCGAATTCCACCGCTATCATCGCTCCACTGTACGAAAATTGGGCCAGAGAATACGGTCCAGTGTACAAGGTCCCGCACGTTATGGGACAGTCCAGGGTCATATTATGGGACCCGAGCGCGATTGCTCATTTATTCTCAAAAGATACCTGGTTGTATAACCAAACACCGTTTAACAAGATTGGCATTCGAACGACGGTATGTTCCTTTCCCTCTTGGTGCGACTATAAGATGACGGTGCTCTTCTGTGACTGATAGCTTGGAAGAGGAGTGTTGTGGGCCGATGGTGAAAGCCACAAAAGGTCGGAATGATGACCTTACAAGTCGCGCTGATTTAAATCTATGTCATCTTCTCTCATTCATCAGGCAGCGCAAGGTTCTCAACCCTGCATTTAGCGCAGGTGCTATTCGCAGATTGACGTCTATTTTCCAAGATGCCGCTCACAAGGTCGGTCATTCATCGTTCGTCCGTCGCTGTACTTGAAATCGGTGACAGACAATAATCGCTTGGGACGGTGAAATGGCATCGAACCAAGGAACTCATTGCGCTATAATTGATGCTGAACGATGGTATTTGTTTTCTCCTTTAAAGCTTCCTACCCAATTACTCAGACATGCATTATGCAGGATGAATTCGATCTCGTACGTATATGCATTCCTCTCCACCAGGCTGCTGTCTCATCCAGCACCCGCCACGTAGACTCGACAGTGCGGGCATAGGCGTCTTGTCCCATGACTTTGGCGCCCTCGATGGAAATGACTCCGAGGTCGTGAACGTCCTGAATGCATTTAGTTCATCTGCCAGTATTTCCTTCAACTTGGTCGCCCTGGCACAAAAGTTTCCTTCCATCCTGAAGCTCCCATTACCTCGCATGCAGTTCTCTCAGAGACTCAACTTTCTACTTGGCAAAATATGTCAGGAGATGATATCGCGGACCCGCAAGGAAAAAGAGGCTGGCGGCGCCGAGCAAGGTGACAAATCATGTTTGGGTTTGCTCTGTGAGTCCTGCCCTTCGTTTTCAAAATTGCAAACGCTACAATCACTGTGTAGTGAAAGCGGAGAGATCTGGTGAGAGCGCAGGACTGTCTCCACAAGAGGTGCTGGATGAGGTATACGAATCATAGAACTCTCTTGAACGATGTGACACTGATCTCCGTCTCCGCCAGGCAAAGGTTGTACTTGTTGCCGGCTTTGAGACCACTGCAGGTAACGTGCTTTTGTCTAGCAAAGGAACCACATACTCACTGTTCCTTGCATTTTTATCAGTCACCATGACAGTAAGTTTCAAACCGCCTGCTGCTCCAACCGAGTGTCTCAACCTTCACAGTGGGCTTTGATAGAACTTGCGAGGAATCAGGACATCCAGACGAAGCTTCGCAACGAATGTCTAGAATTCGGGTCAACCCCCTCATATGATGACTTCATGAACAAGCTTCCCTACTTAGATGCTGTAGTGAATGAAGTTCTTCGCCTTCACGCGCCAATCAAGGAAATCCCACGATCGGTGCGTATCCGATACAAATCCGATACAAACTACTCGAACTCAGTATCTTTGACAGGTTACGAAAGAAGACGTGATTCCGCTATGCGAACCCTTGTACACGGCTGCCGGTGACTATACTGACAGCGTATGCATTCCGAAAGGGACAGTGATCGTGGTCCCGCTCGCCGCAATCAATTGCTCAGTCAGAATGTGGGGCCCCGACGCAAAGGCGTTCAAGCCTTCCCGGTGGATCGATGAAGACGAGAGCAAGCGTGGTGCTACAGAATTGCTGCATGGCTATCGCCATATGACGACCTTTGGCGATGGTGCGCGGATGTGCCTGGGAAGGCTATTTGCGTTAACAGAGTTTAAGGTATGCGGTTGCACAAAAGTCTTAGTCACGATTTATTTTGACCCGGTTTGGTCTCATCCCAGGCCGTGCTGTTCGACCTTGTGCGAGAAATCGTGTTTGAGATGGTGGAGGGCCCTGAAGTGAAGGTTGTGGAGAGTTTGGGGACTTTTCCAAGACCGAAGGTGGTTGGGAGTGGTGAGGCTGGAGATGTGCCCCTCCGGGTGCGCCGTTATGAGGTTTGATTTCGGTCCGCAGCTACGTAATACTAATGTCAACGTTCTGCACGGAGCGCTAACGTCAAATCGTCGATCTTGGATAACCATATGTAATAGTATCGTACTAGATGCCTGCTAGAGTTCACGCATTTTTTGGGCACCGCTATGAATGCAATTCGGCTGCTTGTATCTTCCGAACACCACACTCTTCTGTTCCTGCTGATATGGCGGCTATCACTCGTTGGGACTGTAATATCCCCAATGTGAGGGTGCGAATCGCTGGAGGGATGTTGTGAATAAGGTCAAGGCCCTTTTCTCCTTTGCCCATGTGAGTGAGTCGGATCACGTTCGTTTTCTCGCTGCTCGTAATTTTGCTCCATGTAATCGCTCACCTACATATCTACAGCGGCTTTGGCGGTGACCTCGATAATAAGGGAACGCGTCAATACTAGTAAGTGGGTATGGCGATACCCCTCTAGCAGAAGTTCATCTATAATATTGGAGGAAACGGAAGCAATAAACGGTTAACAGATGATTCAAATTTCACGAGTAGGTCAGCCGGTGTCTCGTAGTCTTCGACTCACGAGACTGAGTTACATACACTCTTCATAGCACTCGTCTAATCCAAAACTTTTCGCGCCCTCATTCGATACCCGCTCAAAACCTGTTTCTTCACAAAACACCCTTAAATACTACCAGTATAACCTTGAGCCCCTTTACATTGCACCTCGCACAACCAGGCTCAATTTTCCAAACAAGAAGACTCAGAAATTCATAGCCACGAACTTGAAGTAGGATTTGACCTTGTCTTCGGAGTCGTGCGATCAAATCAAATTACGTCCGGGGCGGCCCGGGCCATTGAATCTCAAAGTTTGTCTCGCCCTGCAGCTCTCCAGCCACGCAGTCATCGTTCCTTACCTGTCGCGAATCTAAACAAGTTCGTGCTCGTACATTGATATATCTACATCTAATTGATTCATCGCGTCTCCCACAGTTGAGTCTGGCCATGGTCTACAGCTTCCGCGTCGTCCTCAAATCTCAGTTGTTCCTTGTTACAACTTCCGAAGACGCTTGGATCAGCGAGACCTTCGAGTCCCTCAAAACATTGCCTGTAGCACGTCGTATTTTGGGCACAATCTCATATAATCAATGCGACTACTACCAGCTCAGAAATCCCGTGCCAGTTCCTCGTGACCGAATCGCTGCCAGCATCATCCCAGAGTGCCTGGTTAGGAGCAATTGGCAAAAGGTGTCCCCTGAGGATTCCTTGTGGGTTCTGGCACAATCCGTATCAAGGAGTCATGTCTACATCGTGATTATTCCTGAGGAGGGCGAGTTACGTCAGCATATCCGTTGATCATTGATTAGCTCACGCATTCCCCCAGATGTGGCAACGGACAGAGCTATCTCACGTCTCATTACAATTCATAAAGAGATATTCAGCCGCTTGCAGATCAGGGTATCCATGCTACAAAGATGGACGATGGAGGATGTCACCCATAACATGGCAGGTGGCAGGTTGTACCCTCCCAACAATGAACGTCTAGTCGAACTCTCCGAAATAGAGGCATCATTGACACAGCGCCGTACCTACAACGTGAGAACTCCTTTTGCCGCATCTATAGCCCTTCGCTAATTCTTCCCAAGGTCCCGAGCGCCCCACAGAACAGGGATTATCAGAACGCTTGCCAATACACTGAACATTTTCACAACATCTTTGAGTCGACTCTGAACCAATCGGACGATGTGACCGACCTGGAATTCGTAGCCTTCTTCAATGTCCTTCGGTGCTTTGACGAGGACCCGAAACACATTAGCGCCGACTCATCCTGCCCCCTTAAGTCCAGCAACTTCATCGCGTATCTTATGGTCCCGCCTTTCTTTTCCCGCCACAGCAATCATATCGTATTGAAGCAGTAAGTGGGTTCACCTCATGTCACAGTTCAACTGATTATAATGAAATTTTTCAGGGAGATGCCTTGGAACTTTCCTATATTCATCGATACTCACGATAACCCCAACATTTGGTGCCAGTTTCACCCGAGGAGTGATTTCATGGTTTCGTCACCCTTGTTTGGTTGCCCGTTCCTCATATGCGAAGTGATTTCACAGAAAAAAGAAGATCGATACCGTATGCTGCTTCAAGGCATTACTGTCGTACGGGCCGGGCAGTTCCTGATGGTGGACGATGCACCAAAACCGTTTTTCGTTGTCGCGATTTACCTCTCTTCAAATTTAACTGCGGAAAGATACGTGATCACCCATACTACGGAAGAGAGAGGGGACCAAGAGGTGTGTCATGCTGTTTCGTCGTCCCATTTTTTTCTCGTGGAACGGTCAGGACCGCCAGGTATCCATTGCCCAGAAAGATTTTGACCTCACCACTGCAGATGGTGCGGTCACATTTCTTCGTGAGATGTACAACCTCGCCGCGATGCTTGAGGAATTGGCCAAGTATCTCGACGAACGCAAACAGGGTAGCCTTGTTAAAGTTCACCATGATGCTTCCAAGGTGATCTCCCTCACATCTAAGGTTAAGCAGGACAGGACGGGCGGCTCGACATTGGCCTCCGTAGTTGAGGATGATGCTGACGATGAGCCTCAAGATGATCTCGGCGTCTTTGGTACGGATGCTATCCAAGCTATTTTGAAGAAGATGAATTACAAGATCGACTTCATCCTTGCTGGGGTACGTGCCATCCATAACGTCTAGGAATATGATACTGAGGCTTTGCAAACTTCTTGTAGTATCCACTGATAGCTGCCGTGTCGAACGCTACTAGTACCCACGAGTCCGAGAACGGATACCTGAAGTTCGTGAAAGAAGGGGAGAAGGAAATTGAGATCTTGGAATACCTCACAGGAATCGATTCCCCTGCAAATCATACCATCTCGGGAGTTCGAATCTGGCCTGTGCGCGGTGGCAACGTCATATCGATGCCGGTGGCTGGCGGCTGGCTTACGTCGCTAACAAAACCCAGTGCACATTTGTGGTCTGTGGCTAAACAGCTGTTCGAAGCGGTCGACTTCATGCACCAGCACGGCGTGGCGCACATGGATCTGAAGCCAAATAACATCCTGGTCCCCATCAACGGCGGCCGTCTGACTGTCATCGACTTCAACAGGTCCTTGCGAGTCAAGGGTGTCGAACATAAGTTTCGTGGCATCGCGGGCACTCCTGAATATATCGCCCCTGAGGTAGCCGCTGGTAAAGGCATCTTCAGTGCGATCCGGGCGGACTTGTGGTCCTGTGGAAAGACATTAGAGGAGCTGTGCAACAAGTGTCGCCCATCCACGGACCGCAATACCCTCCTCGAAATTTCGTGGCAACTTATGGATGAAGATCCGAAAAAGCGACCGATGATGACAGAGGTGTTGGACAGGCTGACCCGTTGTACGGTTGATACTGCCACCCAACCAGGTTCTTCAAGGTAATATGAATCTGAATTCTTATTTTGCGGGCATGCATTTACCTGTCGTGAGCAGTTTCTCTGTTGCTCCATAGGAAGTAAAGGTATGAATTCAACCTGAATGTCGCACGCATACCATGTAAACCCAGTCATGTTTCAATGTTGTCATACCATATTGTTGAGAGTGTTGGACGACAACATCGACTTTGTAGCGTAGCCTTGTGTCCGAGTTTACAATTGGCTCTTACGAAATGTGGGACGGACGGCCATATGTTGTCGACCTGCGGAAAGTTCGCGATGGTGGTGGTGGGGAAAACGAGATCGGTTCCGACCCATTCGCGCAGGCAAAACTGCAATACCGCAAGGTTATGCAGGACTCGTGGGCTGAGATCGCGAAGAGTGATCGTACTGGATGTCCTCTAGCGTTCGCGCATTTTGGGCAACACTATGGATACAATTTGGCTCCTCGTACTTTCCACACATCACACCCTTCTGTTGCTCAGGCTGATCTGGCGGCTTTCACTCGTTGGGACTTCAATTTTTTTTTGGATGGGATGGTGCGAATTGCTGGAGAGATGTCGGTCAAGTTCTTTTCCCCTTTGCCCGTGTGCGTGAGTGGGACCACTTTCGTTTTCTCGGTACTTGTAATTTTGCTCTATGTTTTGACAATCTTGGCAAACTCGGCCTTCTGCTTTGACGATGACTTCAATAAGAAGGGGACGCGCCAACAAGTGGGTATGAAGATACTGACCAGCTCTCCCTAGCAGAAGTTCATTCATAATAGGTTGATAGGCGAGTTTGGATTCATCATCATGACGGAGGTGTGTCATCACTGTCATGAACACCGTGATTGAAGACGAGATTGTCAATCTAGCGTTTTGAAATTTTCCAAGAGGCGGAACGTTATTGTGTTTAATGGACGCCTTCAAGAAAATAATGCACGGGAGAGAGTATGATCCCTTCCTGCGAATGATCTGCTTTCGCTTTCAGCGCTGGTCACTTTAAATCACTCACTTTCTAGTCTTATCAACTGTTACAACCTTGGAACGTGTGTTCGGCACGATGCACGCCTTGCATCCTGTCTATTCATCAAACATAATCATTCTTTGCTCATTTCGTTGCGGCGATGGTGGTAATACAAAATGCTACAGATTTTTGCTGACGTGGGCGCTCTACGTTGGCTGCAATCGTTTAAAGGTGGCCACGGACGGTCTTGGGCTCATAACTGAAAGGTATCGTTAATCTCATCTCGAATGACCAAGGAAGCAAAACACGCACGGCTCCTCCAGGGACAAGATCTCCTCCGGTGTGAGCTCGATTCCCTTGATAATACTCTGCTGCAATCTCTCTAGAGAGCTGATACCCACGATAGGGCTCGACACCTTTGTTGCGACCCAGGCCAACGCAATCTGACTCATGCTGCAATTTTTCTTCTTGGCAAGCTCTTCGACGCGGTTGATAATGGCCACGTCCCCATCGGTCAGCGCCCTCTCGAAAGGGGTTCCCTTGGTAGTGCTGAGGCGTGCTGTCTCCGTGCCAACGGGACGTGCGAGAATACCAGCAGCTAGAGGAGCCCAGGGAATGACACCGATACCGTTGTAGTTGCAATAAGCAAGCATCTCGCGTTCCTAAACGTGACGTTAAACTAGAGAGCGAATTTCGTATTTTTTGGGACACACCTCCTCGCGGTAGAGTAGCGAATACTCATCCTGCATGCTGACAAACTTTGTCCAACCGTAACGAGCGGCCGTGTCATTCAACATGGCAAATTGCCAGCAGCGCATGGAGCTAGCACCTATGTAACGGACTTTCCCGCTTTGCACGAGGTCGTGAAGTGCCTTCATGGTCTCCTCAGGGGTGACTGAAGGGTCGAAGCGGTGGATCTGCAGGAGATCGATGTATGGGGTCTCGAGACGAGCGAGGGACGCGTCTACAGCGTTGAAGATTGCAGCGCGAGACAGGCCAGATTGGTTAACGTACTCGGGCAGCTGCTCGAGGCCGGGCCTGTAGGCTATCTGCCTGGAAGGGTCAGTGGAAACAACACCATAGCACTTGGTAGCGATTATGATCTGGGGGCGAGGAATGTTGTACTATGAAGTTCATACCATCAAACTTGAGATATCATCGATTAAGGACATCTGTAAGGCACACCTTTTTGATGAACTTGGCGATGAGAACCTCTGATTTGCCGTTTGAGTAAATATTGGCGGTGTCGATGGTGTTGATGCCAAGGTCCCAAGCAGCCTTCATGAGTTCGATAGCAGGCTCCTCGTCAAGGACCCAAGACTGTAATATGTTTAAGATGCAGTGAATGAAAAAAGATATCATCGCGTACAGCCCATTTGGACGTTCCAAAGCTCATCGCACCAAGCTATGAAGAATTAGCGCCGTGCACTAGCAATTAGTGTTTCGCAACTCACAATTGGCACAGAGACTTTGAGACCGGTCTTGCCAAGGGAGCGGTACTGAGCGGCGTTAGACATGGCGTTGGAGATGTAAGTGATAATGTGGTTGTTGGTCCAACCCCTGTGTATTTAAACAGCTTACCGATCCTGTTTCTCACTGACAAAATGGGCATGGCAAATATGTATACCATATCATATTGAGGAAAATCCCGAAATAGTCACTGATTATCGGTGTCGAGTCATCACTGGCTTCGATTTTTGATGGCATGATGAAAAATGTATGTACGATTCTATGAATTGCAAGTAGTCATCAATTCCGTTAGCGCTTCAAGCTTCAAGTGGAGGCTAGCTTCTCTTGGCCAGCACGACATTTGCGCACCGTCGTGGCAGTCATGTTCCGATGGCATCGTGCACCTGGAACAAAGTGAGACCATCTCATACGTTGAGCATGATATGAATTACAAGGAGCTGGACCTCCTTGCCCGAGAGGATTGAATTCTTTTACAAGCACTGGACGCACATGACGGATGATGAAGATGCCAAAAATATGGAGCCGACGACCGATGTAATGGAGACTCTGGAAAGAGCCACTCGTATTCCTTTTGATGACCTCTCCTTCACACCTGGTCCTGTCAGGGTGTATAAAAGGCACTGGTGCAATACTGGTGAGTCTGAAATATCATTGGGAAAGACCACTTATACTTATTTCAACGCGTGAGCCAAGCGTGAGCAACATCTTGCTTTCAGGCTGACTCAGCTACAAACTCCGCCAAACCTCCTCTCAGCCTCGCCCCTTGCCTAAGGTCCCCTACTCCAGCGTATGTGGTCTGTCTAGGAAGGGCTATGTCTGACGAATGCTCGTGTGATTATGTGCACGGGGTTGTCAATAGGCTGCTCAAACATCGAGGATTTACACATGCAAATTAGCTGGCTTCATCCTAGTGTGCCAGCCGAACTTGCCACAAGTCGACGTTCCCACCGGGTTCAATGCTTGGATCGGAACGATTCCTCTCCCAGAAGAGAGACTCGCGCGAAGTGGACATTGATCAAGGACGGTGATTTTATCGCGTTTGAGGAATGCTCAGATGTAGATATCAGCTACGGAGGAGTGAGTTTCCCAACATACCTCGATTGTCTACATCGATTCTGAACGTCTCTTAGAGTCCATCTACTTACAGGGTCGTCATAGGGTCATCACTGTAGTGGTTGATGGGTTAACTGTCACACAAGGGTGATGTGACAGCTTTGCGTATTTTTATAGACTGAACTCTTTGCCGGAGCAGTGACTCTTCCTCCTCCTTGGTCGCGTTGCCAGCACCGGTTGTCTTAAAGAGACCGGAGTGACATTTCCAACAGGAACGTCACCGACTACATGGCCGCCTGGCGAAATGGCATCGCGTCTGACTACGATAACAACGGGAATCAGGAGATTGCAGGTTCGACCCCTGCGGTGGTCATTTTGGTCCTGACCACAATTGTCCCTTTTTCCACCCTGCATGCCAACCAGTAGTAGGTCCAGTACCTACACCCGAGCTTTGACTCCCGAGGCCCGAGCACCGAGCCCTTATTCGCGGATCAGTCGAATTACGATGACGAAATAGTTCTCAAGTTCTGAACCCCTGAGAATCTTGTCAAGGTGAGCCATGGTGAAACTTAAACACTGCCTCAGTAACCCCTTTCGTCTGCACTACCATCCCCTGACCATCACGCTCGCGACTGGTATGCAAGGATCCACTGCTTCACACATGCAGGTTAATTGTCGTCGACAATCCAGAACTGTCGGCCCAAATCGGGTTGAGCTGTTTCCTATACCTCCTTCAACTACACCATCATTTTCAGAGCACGATGCAGCGTCATATGAAACCTAGCGCCCGAGACGACCCGATGTGGAATTTCAATAGATCGCCTTCGTAGCAAAGAGATAGAGTCAAGAACACCACCACGAAACGTAGTAGGCAGACTGTTAGACATGTTTAGATGACTATCGAATTCGCACTTATATATTTCCTCAGACTATACATGTAACACGCGTTCCGGTTTTTCGAACTGCCATATTGTTCGCTGAACTGGTCTACTGGCCTGGTCGATTGTAGGCTGAAGTTTTCCACCTTTTCACTACTGCGGACTTCGCCCTGTTTTGGGCAAATCGTACAAGGACGGTTTAAAGCAGGCAATCTGGTCATTATGCATGAGGTAGTGCCATCGCTGAGCTGAGCTCAGATGAAAGTGAGTCGACGTGGCAAATGCGCTAGTAGATCTGCCAATCATAAGTATTCATGAGCGCGCTGCTGCATCATATCGATGAGTAATTGTCGAGGCATCCATTGCACGAAAGCAAATGAATTTACAAAATATGCTACATCTGCTGTGAATCGTGTATATATAGAATTCCGGTGGTAGAGATTATCATAAGTGTTTCAAAGAGACTCGACGAGAAGCTCATATGCGGCCATATTGTCCACCCCTCCGTTGATTTGCAGACTGACGCGCAATTTCCGTCGTTCAAACGCAGACTGGTTCCAGACGGTAATGAGTGTCTGAACCTCATCTCTAGGGCTTCTCGTGAACTGAGAGTCGTATACTACTCCAGGCGCTCTTGCCCCAAATATACCACGAACGGGGAGTGCTGCTATGGGAACGCGAGAACCCACTGCGCTGAGTCCCTGACCCGCAAGACGAGCAGATATCTCAAGGTCCTCCAGGAAGCGCGTCCAGTCTGCCTGTTGAATCCCATGTTTCTCAAGTAGACCCGAGGGATAAAGAATGCGGAAACCGTCTGCGAGGTGATTGCCAGCGCAGGGAATTCTGAATGGAGGGAAATCGTTGGATTTTACTCTCAGAGGTGACGGAGTGGAGAAGCAGTCGGGTGGAGGATCCAAGGGCTTGCGAAGAAGAACAGATGGATGTTGAGTGGAGAGATCAATAAAGTGAGGCTCCCATATGGGCGGTGCTGGGAAAGAAGTAGTGCCAGACTGGGTGTATGGCGGGGGAAGATCTTCAGGCTCACTGGCAGTTGACATGATTTGTATTGTATCAAGAGATAACAACGTTGTTTAAAGTTTTACCCTAGCCTTGTTGTGGTGATCACGTGCATGGCGTGGTGTCCTAGCGTGGATTAATTGCGCTGCTTATTACGCGCTTGAACAACCCACTCACTCATGCAAAAATCATTGTCTTCCAGCTTGCAATGCGACCTCTAACTCTTCATGTATCTGCACTCAACGATCTCGAGTACAACTTATACACATCATCTCTCAATGACCTCGCCGTTTCACCTGACTCTACCACCGTCCACGACGATGCCCACTTTGAAGCAATGTCCGTTGGCGTCCGCGAAGTCAGAGCATGGCTGCGAGGCAGATATCCTCATCTACCAGCTGCTGATATTGACAAGGTTCGGCCATTTCTTCGCTTTCTTGATGTCCTAACCGTGCGCGTTCCCTCCCGCAGATCTTGAAACTCTTCTACCCAAACCTGCTCCATACAGATTATCTCACTGGCGGCCAGTTTTTTGCTGCACTAAGGCTTGTCCTTCACGCCGTGTCAGGTAAACGCGTTGATAGAACTCTCGCGTTTGTGCAAGGTGTGTGCTACAGCCTCTCAAGCTCCATCTCATCCTTTGGCCATCACTGACCAGCTTGCCTTGCAGCCCACCCAATCCCAGAAGTTCTTGAACGATCAAGATCAACTTCTCCTTCCAAGCGTCAAGTCCACGCTCCACCTGTTCATCCCGGCCGACCTAAACAATATGCCACATCCTCCAACTCTTCCTCCCCAGACACGAATCCCTTTCGCAAATCACTCGAGTCTGATACGCAGCAGTCTTTATCCTCTGTTCCGGATCAATGCGACACCCCTCCTGTCATTCCCTGTCGTCCGCCACAGAAGATCAGCCATAATCCGTTCTTGATGCGTGACAAAGCAAATGGGACAGACGCTGTCATCACATCACCCGAGCGGCGCAAGGATGGCAAAATTCCACCGCTTCCTCCTCGAAAACCAGCACCCTTGGTTGCTCAAGCACGTCGCACATCATCAGCCCAGCCTCTAGGCGCGCCTGGTCTGGCAGCATTTCATCCTTCTCACAATATTAAACCAAGTCACATCATGAGTCCCCTAATGAAACAATCACTGGAGGCTAGCAAGCACGGTCAGAACATGAAGCGTGTTGAAGAACAGCTAGATCGTGAGCGAGTTCTACAGGTGCTCAAGACGACGTCATCCGGCTCGTCGGCGAGCAGCAGGCCACGCAGCCTAAGTCCCACAAAGCAGCTCCGCAAAGGATTCGGGAGTCGTTCGTCTGGATCTGAAGACACGTGTCCTGCACCTCCACTTCCCCGCCGACGAATACCCAGCTCTCCATCATCAACGTCAAGTTCCCTGCCGTCCATCGACCAAGTGGCAAGCGCTAGCTTAAACACCCAGTCCTCACATACGCCCACCCTATTCCGCCCACCAATTCCCAGCAGAGAATCCACGCTTCCAATTACGACACCAGACAGCTCGTCCCAACTACCCGCGCCACCGACTCACCCAGATCGTAGACCCACAAACGACACAGCAGAGTCCACCACCTCCACCTCCACGCGTCCAACACGGTCCAAGTCATTGCACCACACTGCAACGCCCCCACTTCCCCCTCCTCGGCGCAAGCGTCCCGAGAGCATCCAACTCACTACAGCGTCAAGCACATCGGAGCTCCCCTCGTCCGCATTTCCCTCGCACACACGAACATCCTCATCCTCATACCACGGCCTATCTCGTCATATCTCCCTCACGAGAGACCGCGACGCCACCGACGCCTCGCCGATGTCGCACATCCAGAAGACTATCTCAAATTTCCAACTCAAAGCCCAGCCGAAACTGGATGCGGCGCGGTACAAAGCCGAGGCGGGTCTCAGTCGGCGGGGGTTCGTTCATCATTCGCATGTTGGTGCGCCTGGGAGATGGGTGGAGGAGGGTGAGCAGGGGTTGATGACGGGTACCCATCGGGAGGAGGAGGGCGACGACGGTGCTCATGTTGATCGCGATCCGTATACTGAGCCTCATTCTGACGACGAGCCGAGCTCAGGGGAAGACGCGGAGCAGATGAAGAGCTCTGCAGTACATCGCGACTTTCTGAAGGAAGCAGACAACCTCAAATGGCCAGCAGGCGAGGGGTGGCGACCGCTGTAGCCTGACAGACAAGTTGAGCGTGTGGTCATGTGAGAAGTCCATACTGATTGTATTATGCCCTGGGTCCGTATAGATACCTACGATAGGGTATTCACGAGTCATGATTCAGCAAGCAAGGGGGTAATCGTGCACTCATTACACTTGTCGTATCTATATCGTCAACTTGTCATATCTTCATATCTTCATCGGGTTTCGCATGTGATCTGTTATTACAAATGTTACTGTCACTCCGTGTTCTTCAGAACAAATCCGCATGCTTCAGGTGTCTGCGCAAGATCCCGTCGCGCACTGCCAGGTTGGTCCTTCATTTCAACAAGGTTGCGTTAACCACAGGGGAATACAAAGGCACACACCAGATATTAGCGTCACAGACATCGCCTTCGTGTCCTATCAAGCAAATGAAAGTTAACAGGACTTTCGGCCTGGAACAAGGGAAGAACCAACAGTGACGGACGTCGGGTATATATGACAAACCCGTGGCTCCGGAGAACAGTACCTCACCGTGTCTTTGAACTTTTGTCGTAGGTCTAGAGGCAAGTCGTTTAATCACGCTGAAAAGACCGCGACACAGCAAAGAAATATATTACATTTGACAACATCATTCGGCTCATTCGGCCGGTCGCCATAGCTGGGGAGAAAGCGCTTCACCATTATGCCGTGTCTGATTTTCTGCTCGAGAATGTCCATCTTGTTTAGAAAAAGGATAAGAACTGTCCGCGAGAGAAGCTTGGAGGAGCATATCGCCTTCCAGAGTATGAAGGAATCCTCTAGACGGTTGACACGGGGGTCTTCCAGAAGTCGCTCGTCGAAACAAGATATCGGTGCGAGAAATATGACCGCATTGACTTGATCGAAATACGGTAGCCACGCATGACGCTACATAGCAGACATCATCGGGGGTGAGCATGAATTGGAAAATCGGTGAAACACGGACTTGTGTGCGTGAACCGCCAACGTCAAAAATCTTCCATTTCGGAGCATCGGTCTCTGCATAAAACGGTATGTGTTCAGAGAACAAGGGCGAACTATCTCACGTTTCACACTTACCATCATCAATTATGAGTTCGTGTTCCTGGATGTCAAGCGTTCGTAATCGAGCGCGGAGGACATCTTCATCTGTTGGCTCGTAATCTCGTACCGATAATCGGTCGATTGCGTCCAAAAAGCTACGGGGAGATGGATTAAGAGAATGCGGGAATGGAATATTGAATAGGCTGACAAGCTGGCAGAATCCTCGAGCCGGGTTTTCCGTCTCCATAGCATATCTTGTATGTGGCTATCCCTCCATAGGGCCTTGATGTCATCTTTGCCATTCGCGATCACATCTGTGCTGTCAAGTAAAGTGGGAAGATCCTGCTGGAATGAACGTCTCGGGAACTCGGGACCTTGGGTTGTTTGAAGAAAGTTACGCCAAGTCCGAGAACGAACGAAGAATTCGGGTGATCCGCAGGGGGATAGTGTTGTTGGAGAGATTTGTTGTCGTGGTTGGAGATCTTCGGTGGCGCCGAGTAAGTGTTTTAAATTACTCTCCACCGCCTGCAGTGGACTGAGGCGAACTTTATATTGACGATAGTAATCGTCGAACTTGAATGCATCACCGTCGTCGGGGCGGTCTGGTTCTAGATCATCCATCTCCTGTGATAGGGCATCAAGGATGGTGTTTGCAGACCGAACGAGATTTAAGAGTATGACGGCTCGCCATGATGCTCGTTCCTCTATCCATTTATCTCGGGCAAACCGCATACGGAAATCTGGGACGCTCATTGAATGATGACGGAATCAGAAGGCAACGTAACCTACTCTTCAAGGTTGTTGATTTACCTGTTGTAAAGGCTGAGACCAGGGGAAGTTATGCGTTAGAGCTGAATGGACACACCACTTTCGCTCTGACCCAATAATAGGATCTTGACTAAACCCTCTTCCTTCTTTCTTACCGCTCGTTCAGCGCGAATTTCGTCGTCAATGAGATCACTTATTCTTTGAGCCTCAAGCTCCCGTTCTTCCCTTGCGGCTCGTTCGTGTGAAGATTCGTTCGGGGGTGGAGCGCTGATAACCGCTAACGGATCTGCAGCATCGTGATGGAAGACCACGCTGAAAGCCATGTTCAATGGCCGGGAGGGCCGGTAGAGGACGATTATGGGTATGGACAGCAATGAAGGATTTGTGCGATAACGACCCGCGCTTTATGACCAATCTGTGAGTGGCCCGAATGAGTCTCGTAAAAAAAGTGATCAGGGACGAGTCCTGATGAGCTTTTAGGCAAAATCTACCCAGCGAATTCGTAGCGCGGAAAATCGATCAAACATGAGAGTCCGAGGTATACCCTGTGCTAAATAATGGCGAAATCTGAATGATGGTAAATTCTGATACTATGGTCCAAATTTTGCTAAAACTAGAGCAGAGTCTGCGGTGATGAGACTTTGTTCGTCGGGCCCTATCCAAGCTGGCATATGATCGCGTCCTGAGAATGTCGTCAAAGAAACCAAATGTCTCCACTTGTTGAGAATTAAATCCCTTACAAAGCCAAGTGTGCCACTGTCATCCACGCCAAGATCAATTGTGAGAGAATAAAGATATCAATCATCATAGTACGAAGAGAGCACAAAAAAATATATGCATTAACATCCCTCACAACAGCGAATCTAATTTTGAAAGAACTTCGAGGACTCCAGCAATCAATTGAAACCCAAGGTCCTCCTCCCCGTTCATCTCCCGCTTCACCTCCTGCACAAGACCAAGCACACTCTCCCGTCCACTAGGCGCAGTATTTCCCATCCCAATCTTCACAGCTTCTCTCCTTCTGCCTCCCCCACTCCCTGACCCAGCTGTGGTAGACCCGAACGGCCAACAAGCAAACTCCGCCAGTACCTCGTCACATCTCTGAAAGGCAGCTTCCCTGTCTTCATATGTCAATCTGCCAAATGCATTGTCCAATACGCTGGCTGCATATGCTGCGCACACCAAACAAACAGCCCGTGTGACCCTGCATTGAGTTCCTTCTTTGTCCAAAGCGCTTGGTGGCACTGCAGATGTCGTCGCAGTAAGCAGCGATACCGCCCGTGTGACAATCGAATCCTTCGTCCGTACGTCCGCGACTGGGTGTGTCGCCATATCGAACAACAAGAAATTACGCTTCTCAGTACGCAGAACACCCTTATCCACCAATCCTTTCGCTAAGCGTTCGCGAACCTGCTTAAGTTGGTATCCAATTTTCATCACATTCCACGTCTCGCCTGTCGTGAATTCAGTCAGCTTCGCAATGAGGTAGACATCAATGCGGAAATGATGCCATAAAACACGCATAGAATTTTAGACGCACCGCTCAAAAGATCGACCCAGCCATTTATTGACATTCTGTCCGACTCCTGGCCCTTCATCATCTTCAACGCTTCATCAAGGATAGTTTCGCCCGTCTGTTTGTCGTCGATAACTTCTACCAGCCTGTCTGCGAGCGGACTCCGGCGTTGACCTGAATCCTTCACTAGAGCTATGCGGCGGCGAAGGGCGAGCTCGATGAGAATACACCCTCTAAGTGCATAGGATATACTGTCGTTCCAAAAGGAGAGATAACCCTGCAAAGAGCTGATGTCAGGCCGTGACCCATGGGCATGAATATCGTCCGGCTCAAGCAAAGCAAGGCACCTTCAATTGTGAGGTAATGTAAGCGGCATGTCAGGCCATGCTGCGGAGGCAGGGCAGCCTGGGAGAAAGTGCAGATGGCACACAAACGAAACAGCGCGCAGCAAAGGAAGTTTATGAGGTATAAAAGAGGTTCATGACATACATGTTTGTCTTTCAGACCGAGAAGGAGTACCTCTTCCATGATTGTCAGCCGAGGCATTCTTCCACCATAGCGACTGTCCTCCTCGACTTGATCGAGGTCGCGAGGATCACAGGCTATTTTACTTCCACCTTCAAAAGCTGAGCCTGCATGTGTTGCAACGGTTCCATTGGGGCTGGGACCATTTGGTGTCCAGCCAGGACTTGGGGCGTCATCTGAAGTTGAGGACGATGAAGGTCCACCTACCCGCCTGCGAGAAAGTCCACCTGCCGAGCTCATCGCATACCACGTTCAGTGTGAAAGATATACGGTTCCTGTTAAGGCGGTGTAATAGGGAGAGAGAACGGGGTGGGGAATGGTGAAAGTCAGAGCAGTGACCGTTTGACGTTGAAAGCTGTGTCACATTCCCCCGTTCGGCAATGCTCCTCAATATCATTTGTTCCTCAACCTAAAACTTTATGTTGTTCCAAACTCCTCTGAATTTTGGCGTCACCATCGAGTGATGCAGGTTCACCATGTGCTGCAGCCTGTACGCAATGACGGTATTGATATGTGATTTTCTTCTTGCAGAAATGTTCCGTCTCTGTCTTTAGCTAACTCGTAGTGATATGTTCTCAGGAAACGGCGTAAATTGGTATCTGATACTCTACGCTCAATCCTTGGGCCTGAGCAGCCGCAGCGCGCTTCTCAATGCTCAGCGCACAGCAACAATCTGACCGCTTCCCATACTCACGACTGTCTCTTTCCCGTAGATGACATCGATGATGTGGTCCGTATTGCACAAAATGGAACGCCATTCGCCCGAACGACAAGATACGATACCAGAGAAGGTCGTTTCATAGAGTGATGTTATCTTCAACTCATTGCAGAATCTCGCGTCCTTATCTTTGACAGCGCCTTCTAGATATCCAGGACGCATGATAACGTTTTTGCGATGACTCCAAGTCTCGGTGGCACACCTAGTGGTTCTAGACACTCAAAGCCATATAACATGGTCATCCGACAATTTTTGGCCCTCGAATGCTATATTCTCCTTCACACTGCGGAAACCAGATGGCTATGCGTACATACTACATGCAGTCGCCGATGATAGTCGAGAAGCACTCGAACCGATCCGACTGGAGCACGCCCTTCAATGTCCGAGAATCGCAAGAGCTCTGAGACTTCCGAAGGATCAGGTTTTTTATTCGTGTCTGGCACAAACGTTTGACAGCTCCTTCAGTTAGAAGGAGCATCTGCCTTCCTTCTAATAGTCTGGCTAGGGGGTACCTTGGATTGCAATTGAGTTTCGAAAGTGAATATTGTTTCACCTATCTATAGACTACGCTTATATATATACACATGCATAACCTATAGCGACGGTCCACGTGATTCAGGTCCAGACAAAATGACCTGATTTCTTACCGTCGGGTTCACCCAGTGGATGCTACTATCCGTTACACTCTATTCGTGACGGTCCGCAATTTCGTGATTTTTGTCTGCAGCCCTCATTTTTCAAGTAATTACTTAGCTACTTCACTGAGTATGTATTCTACGTACTATACTACCATATCCCAAGTGAAACAAAACAAATCCGTTGAGAAATGGTGGAGATCGTGTTTTTAGCGTGACAGCAGCAAAAATCACGATTCGATGTCACCTGCCGTGGCTGCCGACGTCGGACATTAAATTTAACAGTGTTTCATTGCAGCTGCAATCCGTGAGCACGTGAGCACGGCTAGTGTGACTGTCCGTTACTATTCGTGACATGAGTGTGACTCACGAAATTGCGGACCGTCACGAATAGAGTGTAACGGATAGTATCCACAGCCGGAGCCTTCATTCGTCTATAAAGGTCTGCCTAGGGGAGGCTGGTCCACCCTCAATTCGCAGAGTTGGCTCCGTTCCCTCATACTTTCATTCTACACCATAGTAAATAGCTTGTAAGTTTTGCATCTCTTCTTGTTTTGTTGTTGTGGAGGTTGAATTTGTTACTTATGCGATTTTGTTTTGCAGATATCATGGTTTCTACTCAGTACACTGACGGACGTCAAGAAAAACGCGTCGAGAACTATACCAAGTTCTGGCAAAAGGACCTTGGCAACGAGGGTGAAGTGGATAATCAAAACCGTGTTGAGAGCTACACCGACGTTGTAAATGGTATACCTCATGATGTTTTGAACGGTTTTTTGTTGTTAACAGAAGACACAGGCTACTACGATGGGGCGACGGAGCTGTATGAGTATGGTTGGGCCCAGTCCTTCCACTTCTCGCGATTCTACAAAGGAGAGGCTTTCGCAGCATCCTTGGCCCGCCATGAACACTACCTCGCAGCCCAAATGTCGCTTCGCCCTGGCATGCGCGTACTAGATGTTGGGTGCGGTGTCGGTGGTCCCGCACGCGAGATTGCTCGGTTTGCGGACGTCTCCATCGTTGGCTTGAACAACAACGACTTTCAGATCCAGCGCGCTCGGAAGTACACCCAGAAGGCTGGTCTTCAGGACCAAGTGAGTTTTGCCAAGGGTGATTTTATGAAGCTGTCGGAACAGTTTGGCGAGAACTCATTTGATGCTGGTGGGTGCTTGTGCAGTCTCGTGAAACATTGTTGAACTCAAACACATGGAGATCAGTGTACGCCATTGAAGCCACTGTTCATGCACCTACGTGGGAGGGGGTGTACGGGGAAATAATGAAGGTTCTGAAGCCTGGAGGAGTGGTATGTCAGTCATTGCCTTCGGGGTTCAATATATTAATCATCGGTTTACAGTTCGGCGTCTACGAGTGGTGCATGACCGACGCGTGGGATCCATCAATCCCGGCACACAAGGAACTCGCACATTCCATCGAGTATGGCAATGGTATCCCAGAGATGCGCCACCTGAAGAAAGCCCGTGAAGCCATGATCAACGTCGGCTTCACGATTGAGCATGAAGAGGATCTTGCTGAACGCCCTGATGAAGTTCCGTGGTATTACCCACTTGAAGGCGATATCTGGAAGGCCCAGACTGCCTGGGATTATTTCACCGTTTGGCGAATGAGCTGGAGCGGCAAGCTCGTTTCACACACCGCAATCAAGCTCATGGAGATGGTTAATCTTATGCCAAAAGGCACTCATGACGTTGGCGAATCCCTCAAGGTGGCTGCTGATGCGCTCGTGAAGGGTGGCCAGACCAAGGTAAGTTGGAGCACCTCTCTGTAGATCCGAACGAGGGCTTATCATCCTTTTAAAGCTCTTCACGCCCATGTACCTCGCAATTTGCCGCAAGCCCGCGCTTTCTGAAGGATGAGCTGCACACTTCACTGGACAATGCCACATATATATTACGTATATACCCGCTGCTAATACTTACCCTACATAGAACCATGCACGAATGTCTTTGACCTTGAGCTTGAACCTAAGGTAATCCGAAACCACAAATGATTAAAGAGTCCGCGCTAGTTCCGCACGGTGATAAGCATAGTCCCATTGGGAACGATCCTTCGGGCGTTGCCGAAGAAGGATGAGAATGAGAGCGAACCTTGTGTCAGCCTCACGATACGATGGCCAGCGATCCCAGGGTGAGCAAACCCAGGTTGCCCAAGGCTTACACCGACGAACAGCTCATCTTTCTGCGAAGTCACATAAGCGGCTTTGAGACACGTACTCGCGGGCATGTGAGAGGTGACGCCAAGAAGTTCGCGCTGGACCGCGCCAATGAGTTCCTTGTCCGTTTTGGCATGCCAGAGGACCTCCAAGGCATCGACGAAGCAGAACCAAGGTTCCGGGAGGTGAGGGCTGCTACCGCCGATGCTTAATTGAGGAAGTGAAAATGTATTGATGGTGGTGTATTGATCCTAGCAAATATACAATTGGTACAAGAATACCGTAGGCCGAGCGAGACGAAAGCTCGAGGGAAGAACGAGATCCAAGAAGCCAGCTGAGAAAGGTTTGGATCTCAAACCAGTACCACTTTCCTGATCCTTAGATCTTCATTATAGCCTCTGGGTCTCCTGGGCATAATAGCTTAACATGGAGCCCGAATCTCGAGACGCCAACGACTGTGTCGTATGCTGCCCAAAATGACATAGCCGCTCAGACTGCCAGCTCGTCGTCGCAACAGCAGCAATCTCAACAACACGTACCTCCGCCTCAGCCTACTGGCCATATACAGTTCAGTTTCCAGACCAACGTATCGGTACCTTCTGCGGCTACACTTGCTCTGAATGCTAGCCCCAACGCTCTGAGAGATGCGTTCCTCACACGAGGAATAGATGTTACGACGCTCTCATCGCTCATTCAGAGCTATGTCCTGTCACATCCCTCGCCGACTCCATTAAATCCCATAATCGACGCTCTTTTTGCAGCTGTCACTTCATCTCTCAACGCTCCAACGGCCTCACGGACCGCTTCAAATCACGACACGATCATAACGATCCTCCGTCGCTTCACTGAAGCATGTGGGTATTTCCCAGCGACCCTCATGCATGCGGGGGTCTCCGGCCCAGTTGCCGGCCCTCGCGCACTGCAGATGGCCATTCGTAAATCATCTGTGTGGTACCCGGTCCTTGCCCCGGCAAGTGGGACTTCTATGAGTGATGAAATGGAGCGTATTGCCGCAGACCGCCAAAAGCGCAAGGACTACATCCAATGGGCACAGATTCATGGCGCGGCGCTAGAGCTTGGTTTGTTGAGTTTCCGTGGCGACTACGCCAGCACGGCTGAATCACTGTCGGAACTGATGGCACGCGATGCGGTTTGGGAGGCAGACGAGGTGGAGTGGGTTGCAGGCATCTTTGTTCTGCAGTCTATCATCAGGACTGGGCCGTTGGCTCGGAAACATGAGTATGAGCAGCTGTTGTCGACTTACGAGGGGAGGTGGAAGGAGATTAAGGACGAGGCGCGACAGGCGCTTGTGACGGTATGTGATGTCCTAGCAACGCTGGAGGTTGACTGATGGAATTCCTAGGAAGTATTGTTAAGTGCTCAGCAGGATCTGGCTCATATGGACGAGGGACGCGTCTAGTGAGCTCATTCTTGCGTTGAGATAATATTTGATTCGAAGGGAATAATACTGAGGTACTTGTTATTAATGCAACGTCCTCGACTGCTGTCATCTAGTCGCGATCCTTTGTCGCTGTCTCACAAATACCATAACATGCCTACCATCGTGCCAGAGCTGGGATAAGGGGTCTCGGACTCGGAAGGGTTGGTTCGCATACGACTTGTCAAGTCCAAGGCACTAAATTTCGAATGAGCAAGTCAGCATAGATTGTTTGAAGCAGCTTCTTTAAGATCCCACCCCATGTCAATGGACTAAAATTGACTTTGTGAATGTTGTAGCTGTTTCCCCAGATTGATGAGAACTTGAATTTTTCGGTCGTTCGCTTGCTTACTCATCGCAGTTCGCGTTCCGTTCCTTGCTCATGTGCGTTCTACACTTTTTCTCAAGGATGACTCGAGACTGAACACGACTCGCTTTAAGAAGCTTCGTCACGGCTCGACTAATACCAGTAATTGCACGTCATGAAACTAGTCGTTATCGTGCCCTTTGCAGTCTCTGAAAGTTTTTCTTTGAGGCGCGTAATCCGGTTTCGCTGGAGGAGATGTAACACGTCGTCTCTAGCCTTATTTTGTCACTATGATCCTCCCATCGGTGCCGGTGACCCTTCGCTTCGCGGCGCCCAGATCTCAACTATGCGACTGAAAACTCAAATACGTATAGATACAGCGCGGTGATCCGAAGCTTATTCGATCTTTAAATGCCACGTTTTCCCGGCAGGATGTAACCTCACACGTGCTTATGTGCGTGGTATCGATGTCCTATCCATAGTAGAAGTTTCCCTGTGGAAGGGTAGTCGCCGATCATAGCAAAGAAGTCCGAATTCCATCCGATCAAAGCACGCCCTTCAATGTCCGCGAATTGCAGCACTTTGTGAATCGCTGTGACGCTTCCGAGGGCTCATGTTATTTTACACGCGTCTGGGGCGCGGATTGCCGGTACGGACATTGATTCGCTTGCCACCCGCATCACTTGACACTTTGCTCCGCTCAAGTTAGGATATCATAGTCGAAAAGGAAGGGGTCGTTGTAGGCAATCAGAAGGCCTGCGAATACTTCCTTACTTCGATTTGGTCTGCCTAAGGGAGAAGGGTTAGCCAAGTAGGTCCAACACCAGTAACCCGAACTGTGCTTACAAGAAATGGGAGGTATCCTTGTATGGATAGTGATACAGCCTCGGTCACGTGCAGCTGCAAATGGGGTCAACTTTCGGATGTAGAACTTCCAGTAGAAGAGGGCCTCGACAAGCTGCACGTTTTTAATATTCTCACAGCAGGCGGGAAGTGACCAGGTATGTCGAGTCTTCTATTGATGCACGGGGCAAAGAGGGCGTCAAGATAATTTTCAGTCGGTCATTTATAAAATATGCGCATGCGTCCCTTGCCTCCGCTCTTCCCATTTCTTCCTCCCGGGCATCGTATCCACGCGTGTGCAGGCATACGACAGTTCAGCCACTGACCTTAGGTGCGTTCGCGTCGTGCCCGAAAGCATGGCAAGAGACTGACTCCCTTTCTAGCACACACTATAAACTAGAACTAGAATTTATTGTGACAACCCCTTTCGCTCAAACCCGCTCTTTACTACTGCCATACAAATTTCAAAAGCAGTTTAAATGGACAACAGTCCCATGGACAGTAGCCCCAACTCAAGTAGTATCCCCAACAAGGTGGGATCTAGTAACCCCTCTAAATCCGCACACAATCGGTCTGACTTTCCTCATTGTCTGGACCACAGTTATCCATCTCGCTCGATTTCAGCAACGTCGACACCACTGCGGCCACCGATGACAACCAATCGTCCAACATTGTCTCCCCAAAGTCAGCATTGACCTTCGCAGCGGTATGGGACCCTGATGACGGGATGGTGACATTTTCCGGAACACGCCTACTCGATTCAAGCGACGACGAATATGAGAGTTCCTCCGGAGCTAGCACCCCTCCTGACGTTTCTGATGATGGTTTTTCTCAAGCCGTCAGCACCGATCACGACGGATATACATCGGAAGAGAACACCACAGCGACGATTGGAAGTTTCCAAGATACGTTCAAAGCCTTCCTCCATCGCGTTCCGCGGAATTCGAAGTTTTACAAGCAGCACAAGCACTCCTCCAATACGGTGGCATCCTCGACGCTGGATGGACTAGACGTGTACTCGCGAGACCCTATCCTACGGCCGTCACGCCAGTACCCATGTTTTGATAAGCTCCATGCAGAACCCTCTTCCTTCGAGGCGCAGCCTGCGTTCGCAGACATCTCTTTGGAGTCAGATCTTGTGTCAGATGAGGGGTTCTTCGAAAACATACCAGTCATAACAAAACGAACAGAACCAGTACGTCTATCGCCTTCCCCTCCTTCCCACATATCTATATCTCACCGCTGACGCAGAAATCACACTGGTCCGTCACGACTACCTCGACGTCTGCCTATGTCGAGGTCCCGCGTGTAGAAGAACAGAAAACGAAGGCGCCCGAGAGTCACGGTCGCGTACCGCCCCCATTATGGATAGCGGACAAGTACCAGCCATCGTTTAATCTCACCACTCCCCCAAATAGTCCACGTCGACGCTTGAAAAAACGTCGCCCGAGTGACTGTCCGTCTCCGGTTTCTCCAATATCGTATATAAGCAGTTCAGGCTCGACAAGTCCAATTTCTGCTAGTCCTGCTTCCACCCCGGCATCGCCTTCGTTCAGCGTGAAGTCCAAAAAATCTCGTCGTTTGACTAGACGGTCGACAGATGGTCGTGTGGCTAGAAGGTCGACAGACGACAGTTGGGTCTCCATTGAGATAACGCCATTCATCACGCAACGAGTCGTCGAGATGTAAAGGGACTCCGGGCTCTTCTCTGGCTTGAGAGTTCGATGTATCACATCCACGTCATCCTTTTGTGGTCTTCCTTTTTAATTATTGTGCTGCGAGCAGTTGCTACACGCTCATTGTGAACGTTTCTTTTCTATTGAATACTTTAGTTCACTTTGCAGACGCGCCTGATCCGCGCTTTTCATTCATATTCTTGTGAGACAGAGTCTCGCATAGGTGTTGACTCACCGCGTTTAGATATATGTATCATATTGTACACGACGGCCTCACCGTCCCGGGCCAATGATTGATGGTATATCATGATGATATTACAGCACAACAATATTCGGGTATGCACCCCGCAGAGATACAAGTTACAAGTCCAAGCGCTAGCGAGCCACTGGTGTGCCTCTTTTTAACCAGAACCTGCCCCACAACACTTCACGACCAGCCCTAGCGCTAACGCCGCGTAGATAACCATACATAGGCAGAATGCAAGGAAAGGCGAATAAGCGTGTAAACCGAGGAGTAACATGTATCGCGTGTATAAACGATAAGGAAAATCACAAACATAACAACATACATAGCCCATTCATCTATATCATGATGGGTAGTAGAGATCGTTATCCCAGTCCTCTGTGACGTGGGTGAGCAAGGTTGAAATAGAGAGGACGGATGAGATTACCTTCTGTGATTCCTCTCCATGCAAAGTAAAGAGCGACTACGCATGCGGTCTCTAGTATTGTGGCAATGAACGAGCCGTCAACTTTCATCGACGAGCCCTGCAGATAGGTACCAAGCGATCAGCAGGATCCGACGCATTAATCGTAATGCATTACGTACTCGACATATGATTTTGTTGAGCAAGAAGTAGTCGAGCTGGCTAAGCACGAAGAGGATGGCTGCGATAACATAGTACCAAACCGGTCGGATTTCGTTGAGAATCCCGAGGACAATGTACAGCATGATTCCGAAATAGATTAAAGCAGCGCTATAAAGATGGCCCAAAACAGTAAGTATAGAGAAAGCGCATGGAAGTCGCGCGACTCACACTCCTGGCCAGATACTGGTGAGGACGAAAAGTGGTATACTGTTGATAGATTGGGGTGGATTTGACGTTCCGATCACATGGGTAATGGTGAGTCCGACGTCCAAGGATATATAGGTTGTAGCCACAAAGAATGCGACGGAAATGATGGAGAAGGGCTGGGTGGTGTTCAGCTTGCTGTAGGTTGGGGAATGGAAAGGGACGCACTACTATTGAGCTCAGGGTGCCATCTTCCACAATTTGGGTGGCTACAATGGCATTGGCCAGCAACGTCCAGAATAATGTAGCGACGAGACCAGCATGTATGGCAGTAAGGACAACCAAGGCAGTTGTGCCCTGAGTAAGCAACGAGCCGGTCGTGATTAACTGGAATGGAAGGGTCAAGAGGTATAAGGCGAAGAATATCCGGAGTTCCACACGGCCTGGAATATAAAAGGATTAGTTAACAGGAACGGTGAACGAACGTCGAAGTGTGGGGATTATGGCGTGAGGATTCGGTTCGGGGAAGCAAGAAGACTGACCAACTGCTGCTTTACGCCTTCCAGTGAAGTAGATCAAAGCTCCGACAATGAAGATACTGAGACCGCAAGCAACGATATTGGCGATGTTGCCCAGAGAGCCGTTGGTGTTTAATTTTGGTATCCCACACTCTGGATTAACACCGACTGGGGCAGAGGCGGCGTTTTGGGATACACCAACCAAGACCGTTGGATCATTGGTTTGCAACTAATTGGGGGGATGAGCTTAGCCAATGTATATGGGATATGAAAGGATACTGACCTGACGATAAAAGAGATTACACCAGGTGTATGACGGTACCTGGGAGCAAAGAGCTTGAAAATCGCCAAATCGAGCCATCGGGGTTGAAGTGAGAAAGGGTGATGGTAGATGGTAGCGCGACAGGGGAGGATAGAGGTATACACGAAGTCTGGGGGAAACTGAATCGTGCAAGTCGTGCAAAGTGTCGTCAAGCAAGGAATTGAACTATCGTAAACAGGTCAATACAACAAGGTTCGGAACTTTACTCACAATGGTGAGAACAAAACACGCGGAAGGAATGGTCGAAACTGCTCCAAGCAAAGAATAAAACAAGGCTGCACGATGTAAGTCAAATCTGTGCAAGATCACTTTGAACAAAACAATTGGGAAACAAATCACAGAATAACTGCCACGACGGACGGGTGCGCTATTGTATTGATTAGGTAATGCATGTTGTGCTGGCTGGCTGCCCTCACCGTTGTCAAGCCAGGTGGATTCATATCACTTTGCCAAGATAAGGCTAGCATCACCACTTAACGCGTTGACGAGAGTGTGACAACTTGCGGTTCATACATCTTTCATTGTATCAAGGCAAGGCGATACAGTGAGTCGTGAACTACTAGTACTATCTCGGGAGTTTGCCGACTCATGTCACATAGTACGTGTTTGCTCGTCATCAGATCAGTACTTGGTCAGGGGATCAGTAAGCTATCAGCAGACGTAAGATATCGGCATAACATCCATGTCATCCAGCACCCGTAAGCATTGTCAACGTACGCGTCACGGAAATCTGAGTCATGGAACGGAAGAATCAGAAGGTTTAAATACAGCTGGGGTTGAATCAACAACTGCATATCATCATCACTTTCATCTCCAACGCCATGTCTAACGTCGTTCAGTACCGCTCCCTTGGCAAGACTGGTCTCAAAGTCTCCGTGCCAATTGTAAGTTGGTGAAATGCTTGTTGCCAATGCACAGCACTTATAATTCTTCTTAGCTTGGTGCGATGAGCTTTGGCACATCTAAATGGGCTGTATGTGATGATCTCCGATGTTTCATTCACTGCATTTTAAACCTCTTACAGTCATGGGTCCTTGACGAGGAACCCGCTATCGAACTCATGAAGGCTGCTTGGGACCTTGGCATCAACACCATCGACACCGCCAATATTTACTCAAACGGCGAATCAGAGGTTGTCATCGCCAAGTTCATCAAAAAGGTGTGCCTTACAGATGTCCTTAATCGATGATATCTCAAGTTTGATGGTATGAACTTCATAGTACAACATTCCTCGTCACAAGATCATAATCGCCACCAAGTGCCACGGTCTTGTCGCCAATGATCCTACCACTATGGCGTATTTCAAACCCGGCATGGAGCAGCTGCCTGAGTACGTCAACCAATCTGGTCTATCTCGCGCTGCAATATTCAACGCTGTCGACGCGTCCCTCGCTCGTCTCGAGACCCCATACATCGATCTCCTGCAGATCCACCGCTTCGACCCTTCAGTCACCCCTGAAGAGACCATGAAGGCACTTCACGACCTCGTGCAAAGCGGGAAAGTCCGTTACATAGGTGCCAGCTCCATGCGCTGTTGGCAGTTTGCCATGTTGAATGACACGGCCGCTCGTAACGGTTGGACAAAGTTCGTCAGCATGCAGGATGAGTATTCGCTACTCTACCGCGAGGAGGTGTGTCTTAAGTTATTTACAATTACGAAATTCGTTCTCCAGTTTAATGTCGCGTTTAGGAACGCGAGATGCTTGCTTATTGCAACTACAATGGTATCGGTGTCATTCCCTGGGCTCCTCTAGCTGCTGGTGTCCTCGCACGTCCCATTGGCACGGAGACGGCACGTCTCAACGCTACCAAGGGAACCCTTTTCGAGAAGAAGCTGACCGGTGGAGACGAGACTATCGTCAATCGCGTCGCAGAGCTCGCCAAGAAGAAAAATTGCAACATGAGCCAGATTGCGTTGGCCTGGGTCGCAACAAAGGTGTCGAGCCCTATCGTGGGTATAAGCTCTCTAGAGAGATTGCAGCAGAGTATCATAAAGGGAATCGAGCTCACCCCGGAGGAGATCTTGTACCTGGAGGAGCCGTTCGTATTCTACTTGCTTGGCCATTCGAGATGAGACTAACGTTTTCTTTCAGGTATGAGCCCAAGGCCGTCCGTGGCCACCTTTAAATGATTGCAGCCAACGTAGAGCGCCTACGTCAGCAAAAATCTGTAGCATTTTGTATTACCACCATCGCCGCGATGAACTGAGCAAAGAATGATTATTTTTGATGAATAGACAGGATGCAAGGCGTGCATCGTGTCGAACACACGTTCCAGGGTTTTAACAGTTGATAAGACTAGAAAGTGAGTGATTTAAAGTGACCAGCGCGGAAAGCGAAAGCAGATCATTCGCAGGAAGGGATCATACTCTTACCTGTGCATTATTTTCTTGACGGCCTCCATGACCATCTGGTAGACAAGAGCATAATAACGACGTCTGCTGCTTGGTAATTTTCCAAACGCTAGATTGACAATATCGGCTTCAATCATGGTGCTCATGACACAACTTCATCACGATCATGAATCCAAACCCATCAAACAAACTTCTGCTAGTATCGCCATACCCACTTATTAGCATGTACCCTTGTTGTCGAGGTCATCGTCAAAGCCAAAGGGAGAGTTTGCCAAGATTGTCAAAGCAGTTGTACATATGTAAGTGAGCGATCATATAGAGCTCATTTACGAGCAGTGAGAAAATGAACGTGGTCCCACTCACGCACATGGGCAAAGGAGCTTGACCAACATCTCTTCAGCGATTCACACCCTCCCATTGGAGAATATTACCGTTCCAACGAGTGATAGCCACTTGTGACTTTCGCATGAAGGTCTGGTTCGAAAGAACCGATCAAGGTCCGACTGATAACAGAGTACCAGAAACTGTTTCAACATTGCTGTAGTTGTCGTTGGGATAGTGCCAGGCTGACTCGCAATGGGGCGCCTTAGACGTGAGGTGAAAAAGACAGGTGGGGTATGCACTTTCAAACTTGCACTTAAAAAATTAATGCACAAAACTCCACATGATTGCGAGACACTAAGTAATCAATGAATCGTGTATGAACAAGGCAGACATCATTGAAGATAGTTGATGCACCGGATCTCCATTGCTTTTCAAATTTCCGACATTGCCTCCTGCTGCCCCATCATATTTGTCCAAGATCTGTGCGAATACCTCGGATGCGCCGCTCATATGCAAAATTCGGGAGATGCCTGCATGTAGTGCGATGAAATGAGGGTTAGGTAATGGCAAGTTTCGTGTGGGGGCATCGTGATTCCGGAAGGTGATAGTTTTACCGAGGAGCTCACGGTGTAACCACGCCCTGCTCCCAACCTCCTTGACTACATACTCGTTTTCTTGCTGGAGCGCTGATCAATACATTGTGAGGATGCAAGACTGCGGGCTCACCTCCGTCTGCTCCAGGTATATTTTCAGCTTATCAAAAATATCGTGGATATCGTGTTGGAGCATCATGCCATTGGAAGGGTCGTCTACAAGCCTTTCCATATTTTGAATAGTTTCTTCGGACATTCCTGAGTAATGCCGAATGATATTCCACGTTGCAGCTGCAGTATGTGCCTATATAATCTAAGGGTCAGAATTAATGATAACCCACTAGAGAAATCCTTACCCGGTCCATGGTGAAAACCCCGACAGCCCGTTTCATGATGTGCGCTCCATTCAAGGTTACATAACCCTGATCAAGACCAGCGGGCACGTGTGGTCCATCCCAGAGACCTGAAACAACACATCTATAGCCGTCCCGTCGATTAACCTGTTGGAAGTTAACACCAAAGCCGCTGTTCAACTGGTAGGACGTACATCTGTCCTGAATCTGCTTCTCCGTTCTGTACTGGCACTTACAAGGCTGTCATAGGTGTCGTCAATAGTCGGCGTGGCCTGTTCAGAATTCAGGTCCGATGATCGGTGGGTTCCGGCTGTGACTACCAGTGAAAAATCGTGTTAGTGTCCGCGGCAGATATTTCAATTTTTTAACGGACATGGCCATAGCAGATACATGAACCAAGTCCTCGCGAGGTTGACTTGGTCGTGGATCTCCGGACATGCGCAAATAGCACAGGCAGTGTAACGCTCAGAGGTTTCGCCACCGGTCCCGCGAGCGTTCCTCAGCATCGCGTCTAGAACCCTGGATGCGTCCACGTCGTGCACGCTTGGTGGAGTTGTGATCCATCTATTTTCATTCGTCGCTAGTTGCTCTATTGTTTGTCGAGCCTGTCCCACGTATGTCGCAGTGAACACGGTAGCGTTTTGCATGTTGAAATACACGTTCTCGTTGAAACTGATGACGGATTCAGGTTCGCTGATGGTCTCGCTCAAGTCGCTGGCGTCACTCGCGTTTCGTGAATGAGACATATTAGAGAAGTTAAAACAATATTGGTAGGATGGGTGGTTGTTTTGTGGTTTTCGAAGGGGTAGAGTCCATATTGAATATTGAATCGTCGAAGTCACAATTCGGCAAAGGCGCGGTTACTGGAATGGGTGGCTGTGCTTCTTTTTCTTTCTTTCCGTGGAATGGACTTGGGCGACACTTTTCAATTTTGCTGGTACTTGATTCTCCCGTTGCTCAGGAAAATACGCCAGCTCGTTTAACAGCAGGGAAACTCCCCAGGTATTGTTTAGACATGCTCGTCCCTTCTGACTCTTGTTCTAGGTCACATTCACACTCTTCATCACCCGTTGTACTCTCAATCATCATTCCCCCCCATGGCACTGTCAGCTCAATCGTACCCATTTATAATCGTTCGGCTTTTTTGTTTTGTTTTCGCCGGTTTGCATTACCTTGCGAATAAACCCGATTCTATATTTTACCTTCGTGTGCCAAATGAGTCGTGCCGTCCAGGAGTAGCAAACACCACAGGACGCTCATAATCTCGCATAATATTTGCGTGTCACTTTCACTGATGTGTTTGAAGTTCTCCCGCTAATCCTACTCAGTCATCTTTTGGTCACAGCGCTTAGTCTAATCGTACCAGCATCTATTGTGCTGAACAGCCCTCAACAACATGATTCAAATACACGTGCAGCCATCACCCGGCCCCCGAACCTCTTCTCCTCTCGGCTGAACTCCGTCCACGGTCCACATATCCCTACCCAGTCTTCTCCTACCACTCAATCTACCCACCACTAAGCCCATCCTCGATCCTCATCCTTTGGCTTCATAGTACCATCATGCCCGGCAGCGCAGAAAGCCAATCTATCAGACTTGAATGTATGTGGCTCCGTATCACCTTAGTATCTCTTTTGCGATCCTGACCCTCTATATATAGTTATCAGTGGACAGAATCTTCGAGTCCCTTCCTGGCGCATACCCGCAGGCATTTACATAGTATCTATCAATGTCGACTCGGGGAGACACTGGAAATCAGCCATCAGAGTCTTATCATCCAACAACTCTGTAGTATGGGGAGATACCGTGACTCTGTGAACTCCCTCGAATATTTCGGATACGATTCGAGAACTCATCTTCGGTTTACAGATCATCTCACGAGTCACCTGCACTATCAGTGGAGATCAGAGCGTCTTACGAGGTCAACCAAATGCTTGGCAATGGCGAAGTCATTGGGACACTTCAAACATCGTTGGATGAGCTGCTCGATCATGGAGATGAGACATTCGGTGAGCAACCCACTGCTCATTCCTGCACATCTACTCACATCCCGTAGAATTGTCCTTCCCACTTGTTCATGGTGTCAATCCTTCGCTCACGCTGAAGGCCGCTGTTGTACACGCTTGCGATAACCAGGACGGCGCACTATTTGACGTGAGTGATACTTACCTCTGATGGTAGCTCCTGCTGACGGAACACCAACTGTAGTCCCTCGTAGGCTGCGAGATTGCTCAGGAAACAGATGCGGGCCACGCACAATATGCCGAGTACAGCACCAGCAAGACGGTCTCTCACCTGAACGGTGCTGTAGAGCGTTTTCAGTTGGTTCTGGACCGCTGTCCGGTCGACCATCCTGACCACGCAGCAGCTCTCACCAACCTCGCGTGGGCCCGCCTTCACGGCTACATTCGAAACGATCTCCAAGACATTGATACCACCACTTCCCTCTTCCACGAAGCCCTTGCATTGCGTCCGCAGGGCCATCCCAACCACACATTATCTCTCTTACATCTCATTCTCGCATTGAACTGGCGCTACAGCAAGGAGCGCACCCCCGTCTTCATTCACAAATCCGTGCAATTGTGCTGCAAGTTACTGCCCCTCTGTCTAGAGGGCACCTACCTTCGTAGCATCGGCGTAGACAGTGCGGTCGATTATGTGATTACCGAATGCAACAAACTTCCGATTGATGCATCTGGCGAAGGCATCCACCTTCGACGAGTCGTGCTCGAGCTCTGTCCTCTGGGCCAGAAATACCGTCCAAGCGCACTTGACAAACTTTCATGGGCTCTCGGAACACGCTCTAAACAGCGCGGCAGCATTGATGATATAGATGAGAGCATACAACTTCTTCGTGAAGCCGTTTCTCTGTGCCCCGAGGGACATTCTGACCGCGGTGGTTACCTGAATAACTTGGCCCTCTCACTCCAATCCCGCTTTAATCACCAAGGCAAATCTCATGACCTCGACGAGGCCATCTCCATGCACGAAGAAGCGCTGCGCCTGCGCCCTGTTGAGCACAAAAACCTTGATTTCTCATTGGGCAACCTAGGGAGCGCCCTCCGCACCCGTTTCAACAAACGCGGTGACGTTGATGACACCAACCGAGCTGTCAGCCTCTTTCGCGAGGCACTGATGTTGCGCCCACCTGGGCATCCACGTCGTGACACCATGCTTAACAACCTTGCCCTCACGCTTAAAGAGAGATATGACACATTGCATGTCATTGAGGATCTTAACGAGGCCATTGATCTATATCGTGAATCCCTTCGGGTAAGGCCGCTTGACCATCCAGAGCGCCATCTAGTTCTTTCCAATTTGAGCTCAGCGCTCTGGTCTCGTTTCACGCAAGCTGGGAAGAATGAAGATATCGAGGAGGCCATTCGGCTCTGCCAAGAATCATTGGAGGCCTTACATTCACTACACCCGGACAGGTATTTCAGCTACATACACCTGAAGGATGCCTATGTGTCTCGTTATGAGATGGAGCACAACATCGCTGATTTGTCGCTCGCTGTGGAGAACTTCAGACTGGCGTCGAGACATCCTACTCAGGGCTTTCCAAATCGTATTGCAACAGCCCGGAAATGGGTCACCACAGCAGAGCAGCACAGTCATACATCTGCGCTGGAGGCCTACAAGACGTGTTTTGACCTTCTTAGCAGTCATTTGTCAACACGATCATCATCAATTTCACGGCGTGAAGCTGCCACTGCCTTCAACAATACCAGATCACTGCCTGTAGATGCAGCATCGTGTGCCATCCGTCATGACAATCTACGACGTGCAGTTGAACTCGTGGAGCAGGGTCGTGGGCAACAGTGGTCATTGGCCTCTCGCCTGAGGAGTCCGCTTGAAGACCTCGAGTCCACGAATCCAATCCTAGCTCACAAGTTCTCGGAGCTCAGCAATTGTCTCTCTGATGCTCAAGGTTCCACAGGCAGCACAGACAGAGCCGCTGCTGATCGGGCAGCAAGTGAGTATAGGAGACTTACAAGGCAATGGGAAGCTGTGGTAGCTGAGATACGTAATCTTAAAACTTTCTCGCGATTCCTGCTCCCGCCATCGTACACAGAGTTGCAAGCAGCAGCTCGCTATGGACCAATCATCATCCTCATCGCGAGCCAACACTCGTGCAGCGCCATCATTGTCCCGACGTCAGGAGAGCCCCATAATGTTCCCTTTCCATCTATCACTCTCGCAGATCTCGAGGATCTCAAGGATCGGTTCGCCAGGGTGATACCGCATGCATCAAAGATGGACCTAAAACAGCCGCGCAATGATCTGATTGTCCTCTTGCGGGCGGTATGGGACGGTATCATGCTACCCGTCGTCAACATACTCGAGCATACCCTCAACTTAAAGCACCAGTCTCGAATCTGGCTGTGTCCAACTGCGGCCTTCACATCCATTCCTCTCCACGCAGCTCACCCATTTCGAACGAAGGCAGATCACTCGAAGGAGCCATGCCTAGAGGATCTCTACATCTGTTCTTATACGCCGACACTTTCGGCGCTGATTAGGTCTAGACAGATGATGAAGAAGCATGTGCCTCCATCCTTCGTGGCGATCGGACAGGGTCAACCGGGTGGAGGGAATGGCAAGGCGCTCTTGGCTGTCGACGGTGAGCTCGAGCTTGTCCATAAGCTTGTCCCCACGACGGCCAATCGTTTCACTGTTTCTGGCGACGCAGCCACACGGGCAGGTACACTCGAAGCCCTGGAACAGAACACTTGGGTGCACCTCGCATGTCACGGCAAGCAGGACCACAACCAGCCTTATAATTCTCATTTTGTCATGAAGGACGCACCTCTCACGCTGCTCGACATCATGGAGAAAGATATTCCGCACGCTGAGTTCGCGTTCTTGTCGGCGTGTCATACCGCCGTCGGCGATAAGGAGACGCCCGACGAAGTCATCCATCTTGCAGCTGGACTTCAGTTTTCGGGGTTCAAGAGCGTCGTTGGCACGCTATGGGAGGTCGATGACGCTGTCGCAAAACACGTTGTTGAAGCTTTCTACGAGAACATGGTCAACCATGTAGAGGATGGCGGGTTCATGGACTGTACGAGGGCGGCCTGGGCACTCAACCGTGCTACTCACGCTGTGAAGACGAAAGTGCCGCTCGAGCAGAGGATGGTTTTCATACATATTGGTGTGTAGTTCTACCTACGTCATATTGTTTCGTCTGGTATATATTCGCGAGTCATTCGTCTGCGACCCTCTTTCATCCTGCTTTCTTGTCGACATGACCCTGATATTCTTGTGCTCCCGTTATCTCGTTTTCATGTTCATCACAAAATTTATAGGTTAGCGTAGATCAGGGCCCGCGCCCTCTGAAGTTTATCTGCTGGGTTATTGCCGGACAACCATCTATACTTAATTAAATCGTCAAATTTTCAAATCCCACTCCAACTCAATCTCTGTTTTCATTCAAAAACAGTACAAATAGCCTATGTGGACTCGGACTTGGACCTGTGCGGCGCGAGCGTGCACGTCAGCAGTGGACCTCGACATATGAGAGCGTCAATATGGGCATCGGGCGATGGATGTATACGCTTCCTGACGCTTGCCATCAAGAACCATCGACAACGTCACTCAGAAACCTGCTAACCTTAGACTTTCTATTCATCTCAATTGGTTCACGCTCGATGAGTTAGCAAGTACTACGCAGTACGGTACGTTACACTCACCAAGATTTACTAAAACTCGGAAATGACACTAATGCATCCTGCTTCCAGGATGCTTTGTTCTTGGCATTTTTCCAGTTGTCCTTACACCACGGCTTATCCAGCGGATCCGCTGTAGATGTTCTGGTACCCTACCTATGGTATCATGAACCACGGCGCCCACACAAGTCAACGAGCAGATATTAGATCACTAGAAGGGTCCGTCAATCCTGATTGACATACAGGTCAATCGCCGTCGATGAACAAATCCACTAAGGTCATTGTCCGTAAGTTTAAACACCCCATCATCTCGACCCTGACCCACAGGAGCGTAGAGGACTATATTTCCTAGCGCAGTAATGTTTCAACCTGCATATGGAAGCACAATTCAGATTATTCGAGTAGGTGAGTCTTCGCCCAGGTTTCGAACTTGACCGGTAGACCTTCCCTTTCAAAAGCACACGATGGTCCGAGCGAACACGACACACCCACTTTCAAGACTGGCATGGCTATAAAAACTATTTCAGAGCGACTTGTCTCATAACTCGGATATCTTATTTTTCTGTTCGCTCATCTCGACATTCACGACACGAGTCCGACAACCTCCATAGCTCCTACCGCAACCTGCACCATGACTTCTTCAGACTCGGAGCCCGCAGAATTCATTATACCCGACTTCTTCAGCGATTGCTGCTACCCCATGCGACTAAACCCTCACCGTGATCCGGTCTCTCTTGCTTCCACACAATGGCTTTGTGACGAAGCACATCGAGTAGAGCTCGATATTACTAAATATACCAGCGTGCGGGCAGGTTGGTTCGCTTCACCTTGCTACACTGACGCGGATGCTTTCCATCTCAAAGTCTGCTCGGACTTCCTGAACTGGTCGTTCAAATTAGACGACTGGCTCGAGATCGATAGGTTCGATGTTAATGATTCGTGTGGAGTACGTGATTGCTGCATGGCTGCGTTCCGTGATCCCATCAACTTCCAAACGGAAAGATACAGTGCAATGACGTGCAAAGCGTGCGTCTGTTTTTTCCATCACACACACACGCTCTGAGCATCTTATGGTCTTCAGATTCTTCGGTTGTTTTAGGGAGACTGGTGGCCCTGGCTGCACCGAGCGCTTTATCCACACAATGGACGTGCGGTTCATCTCTGCAGCTAAGGATGTGGACAACCGCGCCAAGGGACATGTCAACGACATAGAATCTTACATCGAATTGAGGCGCGACTTGAGCGGCTGCAAGGCTTGTTTTTCCCTCATCAAATTCGTAAGTGGGATTGATCTCCCCGACGAAGTAGTCTCGGATCCGGTTATCATGGCCCTGGAGGAGGCTACCAATAATTTTGTTTCTTGGTCCAATGTAATGCCCTATTATGTCGTCGACGCAGGGACAATACTGACTTCGTTGCTGATAGGACATTGTCTCCTATAACATGCAGCAATCTCACCGTAGCACGCATAATTTGGTTGCTGTGCTCATGGTCGACCAAGGTCTAGACCTGCAAGGTGCTGTGGACTACTGCGGCTGGCTTTGTAACATTTCCCTCCAGCGCTTTGAAGAAAACCTCGCTATGCTCCCCTCGTGGGGGGATGTGGTTGACAAGCAGGTGGCTACCTACGTTCGAGGACTGCAGAGCTGGATTACTGGTTCACTGCACTGGACCTTCGAGTCCCGCTAATTCGGAAACGATGCGCATATTGTCAAGCGGGAGAGAATTGTGAAGCTACTTCCCAAGCGGCCTTTGTAAAGCCTCTGTTCTATGTGAGTTTTTTCCACTTCCTGCGTTGCATGATTCTGATTGCGACGACTCGTATTATAGAAGGCTACCATTGTTATCTATGTCTTATTATGAAGCTGAATATTGATTACCTCTCCGTCTGCCATCTTCTTGCGATTGTGTACCTTTTTGTACAAGTTGAAAACAATGTATCGTGTTCATTTGGTTCCCTTTGGACGACACAAGATGTCAGTGGGCGTGCAGGTGCCAATTGTCAAAAGCAGAATCAAAAACGTTTCAAGGTTGTAGACAGAATTTACATTGATGAAGTCACTAGCGCTGTAGTTGCCAAGGTAGCACCAAGGATCATTACATAAGCACGCACAAACACTTGTCATATGAATGATTTTATAACATCAAGGGTAGTTCCACACCAAGTACCAGACTCGTCTTGGGTACTGCACTGGGCGCTCACCATATCGTTTATGGCCAGGTTTCTACATAATTTTTGTGTGCGTGCGCATTGCAATTCAAACATATTTGGTTACCTGGATCTGTACTCATGAAAGACACAGTGACGTCTTTGCCCAATTGCCAGTGCGCCTGTCGGCTTCATCCTCTCTGTGTGCTTGACAACCATAGTGTAACTTTAATACCATAGAATGGCGGACTGGGTGGAAAAGTGTCGAGCGGCCTTGCAGAGATGTCCCCCCGGTCATTGTGATCGATCAACAACTCTCAACGATCTTGCTGCCAGCCTGGCTGACAGATTCAAGCAGCGGGGCATCCTGTCTGACCTTGACGAGGCCATCGAGCTCCATCAGGCTGCACTACTCCTTCGTCCCCCCGGTCATTCACTTCGATCATCGTCTCTCAACAATCTTGCAAACAGCCTTCATGACAGATTCAAGCAGCGGGGCGCCCCGTCTGACCTTGACGAGGCCATTGAGCTCTATCGGGCTGCACTGCTCCTTCGTCCCTCCGGTCATTCACTTCGATCAGACTCTCTCAACAATCTTGCAAACAGCCTTCATGACAGATTCGAGCAGCGGGGCGTCCCGTCTGACCTTGACGAGGCCATCGAACTCTATCGGGCTGCACTACTCCTTCGTCCCCCCGGTCATTCACTTCGATCAGACTCTCTCAACAATCTTGCCATCAGCCTTCATGACAGGTTCGAGCAGCGGGGCGTCCCGTCTGACCTTGACGAGGCCATCGAGCTCCATCGGGCTGCACTACTCCTTTGTCCCCCCGGTCATTCACTTCGATCAACGTCTCTCAACAATCTTGCCATCAGTCTTCAAGACAGATTCGAGCAGCGGGGCGTCCCGTCTGACCTTGACGAGGCCATTGAGCTCCATCGGGCTGCACTACTCCTTTGTCCCCCCGGTCATTCACTTCGATCAGACTCTCTCAACAATCTTGCCATCAGCCTTAAAGACAGATTCGAGCAGCGGGGTGTCCCGTCTGACCTTGACGAGGCCATCGAGCTCCATCGGGCTGCACTTCTCCTTTGTCCCCCCGGTCATTCTGATCGATCAGACTCTCTCAACAATCTTGCAAACAGTCTTCATGACAGATTCGAGCAGCGCGGCGTCCTGTCTGACCTTGACGAGGCCATCGAGCTCCATCAGGCTGCCCTACTCCTTCGTGCCCCCGGTCATTCTGATCGCTCAATGTCTCTCAACAATCTTGCCATCAGCCTTAAAGACAGATTCGAGCAGCGGGGTGTCCCGTCTGACCTTGACGAGGCCATTGAGCTCCATCGGGCTGCACTACTCCTTTGTCCCCCTGGTCATTCACTTCGATCATCGTCTCTCGGCAATCTTGCCATCAGCCTTGCTGACAGATTCAAGCAGCGGGGCGTCCCGTCTGACCTTGACGAGGCCATCGAGCTCCATCAGGCTGCCCTACTCCTTCGTCCCCCCCGGTCATTCTGATCGCTCAATGTCTCTCAACAATCTTGCCGTCAGCCTTCAAGACAGATTCGAGCAGCGGGGCGTCCCGTCTGACCTTGACGAGGCCATTGAGCTCCATCGGGCTGCACTACTCCTTCGTCCCCCCGGTCATTCACTTCGATCATCGTCTCTCAACAATCTTGCCATCAGTCTTCAAGACAGATTCGAGCAGCGGGGCGTCCCGTCTGACCTTGACGAGGCCATCGAACTCTATCGGGCTGCACTACTCCTTCGTCCCCCTGGTCATTCTGATCGATCATTGTCTCTCAACGATCTTGCCATCAGCCTTCATGACAGATTCGAGCAGCGGGGTGTCCCGTCTGACCTTGACGAGGCCATCGAGCTCCATCAGGCTGCACTACTCCTTCGTCCCCCCGGTCATTCTGATCGCTCAATGTCTCTCAACAATCTTGCCATCAACCTTAAAGACAGATTCAAGCAGCGGGGTGTCCCGTCTGACCTTGACGAGGCCATCGAACTCTATCGGGCTGCACTACTCCTTCGTCCCCCCGGTCATTCACTTCGATCAGACTCTCTCAAAAATCTTGCCCTCGGTCTTCACAACAGATTCAAGCAGTGGGGCACCCAGTTCGATTTAGATGAAGCATTTAGACTGTATGTGCAACTTTCCTACCTATCTCATGCAGTCTCTCGTACGGATCTTACTGCTGCCAAGTCATGGGCCACCTTTGCAGAGGAGATGAACCATGACTCTGCATTGCTTGCCTATCAAACTGCATTGAAATTCCTAGATCATCATGCTACTCTATTATCGTCTTCTCCACGCCATTTTGATGTCGTCAAGATGGCCACAGCTTCGCTTGCCATGGACGCTTTCTCGTGCAGTGTTCGTCATGGTGCGCTGACAACTGCTGTTGAAATGGTGGAGCAAGGCCGCGCAGTATTCTGGACCCAGTTGGCACGCTTACGCCCACCACTCGATGAACTTTCCCTGTCCGGTGACACTGGCGCAGCCTTGGAGAAAGAGTTCAAACAGCTGAGCTTTGGCCTTCGTAGCGCATTCGATCAGTCTAATAACGAGCAGCCCCCACGAATCCGACAACTGACCATGCAATGGAATGATGTTGTCTCCCGCATCCGCATGCAGCCTGACTTTTCTCGGTTTCTCCTGCCCCCACTGTTTTCTGACCTCCGGAAAGCCGCTGAAGAGGGTCCAGTCATCATTGTCAATGCTAGTCGGTACGGCTGTGACGCCCTAATCGTCTCAAGCAGCCACGATCCTGTCCACGTTCCACTTGATATCACGCAGAACAAAGTCTCCGAGCTGTCCTCCGAGTTTCAGTCTGTCGCAGAGCAATTCGGTTGTTCCAATAATCAACTCCAGCTCGTGGGCATCCTACGCAAGCTCTGGCATCATGTCGTCGACCCCGTGGTCCAAGCCCTTAGGATATCAAATGTTCACCCTGGCTCGCGTATCTGGTGGTGTCCCACGGCTGAATTCACTCTGCTTCCTCTACATGCAGCAGGACCCTACGAGAGGGGGAGAGATAACCTGTCTCAGATTTACATCTCCTCTTATACCCCCACTTTGGCAACGCTAGTTCGTGCGAGAAAGCGCGTTTCTCAATATGCGTCTACACAGTATTTTGTTGCAATTGGTCAAGCGAATCCGGACAGAGGGAAGGAACTCAGACATGTCGCTCCTGAGTTAGACGCCATATCTCAGTGTCTTGTACCCATCGTGTCATCCTTCACATCACTCCGAGACAGCCACGCAACAGTGCAGGGTGCACTCGATGCTCTAAACCAAAACCAGTGGCTCCATCTCGCCTGCCATGGAATGCCGGATCGGACACAACCGTTCGACTCTTCCTTCGCGATGCGCGATGGACCGTTGATGATCAAGGACATCATCCGGTCCAACTGGCAGAATCCTGAATTTGCATTCTTATCGGCCTGCCACACTACCGTTGGCGACGAGAAGAGTCCTGACGAATTGATCCATCTCGCCGCGGCAATTCAATTCTCCGGATTTCGCAGTGTCATAGGTTCCATGTGGTCTGTTGACGACGAGGTTGCACTGCAGGTTGTGTCTCTTTTTTACCGCAAGATGGTTGATGGTTCAGGGAGATTGGACTGCACACGGGCTGCGGTAGCATTGCACAAGGCTGTGAAATCGTTGCGCAAGAAGATTCCACTAGAACAGCAGATTGTATTTGTTCACATAGGTGTCTAGTTTGGTTGGTTAGTCATATGATATACGATTCTTGTAAATGGGTTCGGGTACATAACTGGTTTTGTTAAGGGTTGTAATGTCAGACATAAATACTAACAATTGTCGGTGCGGAACACACAGTTGAACCTTGTGAATAATGGATATTTTGACCCACTCATGTGACCAAAAATGAGATTATATTAACATACAACTATTATATCATAAGATTGTATATACTATCATTGAAACACAACACAGGTACACCAGTGCGCAACATAACGTTTGCAAAGGTGGCTACAGTGGAGTACAACATGTATATAACACATATATGTAACATACATACATACATATGTACTTACACACACGTACACAGCACTCCGCTATGGCTACTGTAGCCATAGCGGAATCCTGTGTACAGGAACGTGACATAGATATCACGGATCAAAGTATATATAGAATGTTCCGCGATGGCTAAAGTAGCCATCGCGGATCAAATCGAAGTGTAATTTCCGTATCACGTGATGTGTCACGTGGTGTTCGCGGACCTGATAATGATATACGATTCTTGTAAATGGGTTCGGGTACATAACTGGTTTTGTTAAGGGTTGTAATGTCAGACATAAATACTAACAATTGTCGGTGCGGAACACACAGTTAAACCTTGTGAATAATGGATCTTTTGACCCGCTCATGTGACCAAAAATGAGATTATATTAAGATACAACTATTATATCATAAGATTGTATATACTATCATTGAAACACAACACAGGTACACCAGTGCGCAACACAACGTTCGCAAAGGTGGCTACAGTGGAGTACAACATGTATATAACACATATATGTAACATACATACATACATATGTACTTACACACACGTACACAGTACTCCGCTATGGCTACTGTAGCCATAGCGGAATCCTGTGTACAGGAACGTGACATAGATATCACGGATCAAAGTATATATAGAATGTTCCGCGATGGCTAAAGTAGCCATCGCGGATCAAATCGAAGTGTAATTTCCGTATCACGTGATGTGTCACGTGGTGTTCGCGGACCTGATAATGTGAACATGAGGCAAAGGAAGGGTGAAAAAAAGAACATGAGGCATACGGAGGGGGTAAAGGGTGTAAAAAGATTAATCTACTCCTTCAGATGCAACCACCACGATACCCTGATCTAAGTACAACGTCTCCACTGCTCTACGACGAACGATGGGAGGCAAACGCGCTAAGAAGGGAGAAAACAACGCAGTACGTTATAATACATGTTTTTTAAATAGAAACAGAAGACTTACGTTGATTTTGTGTGCTTCTAACGGCAATCAGGAGGCAGGCGGATCAAGCCTGCACCTGCACCTAGATACTAGACCGATCCAAGCGATAACGCCCCAGAACGATGTGGGGAAGGCTACGCAAAAGCTGGACACGCAAGTTGGGAAATGTAAGGCAGGGGTAGCGTGGATTGACTTACTGAAGATGGCGAAACGTTTAAAATTCGGCGTTTATAACGACCGAGCAGAAAACGAGGTGGAGCGGAACAAGCTAATCCTGTCCTTCCAGCAATCCGGGATACTGTCTATGAAAGAGACAGCTGCCATCCCGATCATTATCGACATCAAGCGTTTGAAAAGCGGACTCACGCTGTCAACTGATTTTAGTGATCCAGACGCTGTGTGAGAGCTTGAAATCACGGACAACGACAAGATAATCGTTGCGTCCGGCCAGCATCGTCTTGCAGCGTTGAAGAAATATAGCCAGATGCTCAAGGACGAATATGCTGCGCTAGAGAAAAAGAAAGACAAGATCTCGGGCTTAACGAACGTCTCAGCAGAACACGTGGCACAATGGGACGACTTACGTGGGCAGATGGGCATCCTGCTGGGGAAGATGGACAACATTGGTAAATGGGGAGTCGTCGTCTACAATTCAAGTGAGTCGTCTCATTCTTAACCATTCCGCTATGGCTACTTGAGCCATAGCGGAGCATTTGACATACCTCGATGCTCCGCGATGGCTCAAGTAGCCATCGCGTGTGTATACTATGTGTTATGTGCTATTCCGCGATGGCTACTTGAGCCATCGCGGAGCACGGCACATACCTCCGTGCTCCGCTATGGCTCAAGTAGCCATAGCGGAATTCTTGTGCTGTTGAACACATGCTGATGTCGTTATATAGATCTGCTGTTAGCGAAAGGAGAAACACTCGCTGCTCACCTGAGTCGCAACAACGCGTTGCACGAATATAAGGAAACCGAGGAGGAGGTATTGATCACAATTTTCAAGAAGGTCCTCGCGCGCTACAAGGATAAAGAGGATGAGGGGAGTGCAGAAGAGAAAGCGTTAGAGTGTCTCAGAGAGTTGAAGAAGGAACAGGAGAAGAACACACGCCTCCAACGAGTCCTTGCAAATGACCCGCTGTGCATGCTCCTGTCTACGGAGCTTCTACAGTTGGGTCCGCACTTCCGTCACCGTCGGGAGTACTCCGTTACGTGGCTTTCCAAGTCTCTTGATGTTTGCCTTGGCGTGAGTTTCCGCGCATAGTGAGAATAAAGAAACATATACTGACTAAACTGACCTTACAGCTATATGTCGCGTGGATCCACACGCGATGCACGTTATTGAGGAAGTTAGCGTCGGAGGAACCGTTCCCCGACTTCAAAACAGTCGAGGAGCTGTTGGAAGACGTTGAGCGTGGCGACGAGAAAGCGGTGAAACGGGCAAAGGAATTGCGTCAGATCATTGCAGGATACACCCCGGAACAGGAGGGAGACATTACGATCTGGGCCGAATGGATCGGCACATTCGACCTTGCGGCGAGAGAGTCGTTCCGCGACTTGTCCAAAGGGGTCGGGGTACTGACGGCTGACTATATCGTGTCGTTGAGCACGTACCGGGAGACATTAGTGAGTAACCTACAAAGGAAGTGGCATGTGGGATCCTCGAGTCGAGGCAGCGACAACAAGATCGTAAAGCACCTAGACACCATCGTGGCTCGACTTCTGCTGGTGTTAACGCCAGATGTGACAGCCCCCGACGCACCTGAACCGTTGCTGGGAGGGATGATGCTGAACTACGCCTGGACGTTCTTGAACACTGTCAAAACTGGCATAGCGGAGGTGAGTGGCACATAATCCTGAAGCGAGAAAGTGTAGACTGACTGTCCTTGATATAGATCTGCCGTTGGTTTGAGGCGTTGCTCGATTACTGGAAGATCCTGCATGTCAAGACTCACACCATGGACGATTGGTCCACGGTGATGTTGAATAACATCAGGAACGACGCACGTTTCGAGGCAGTTGACGTGAGCTACGAGGTAAGTGCCAACAGAAGAGACATGATAAAACGTTAACACTGACCTATGCTCTGCGTAGATCACCGACATTATTTGGACTTACAGGAATTCGTTGGTGATGCGCCTCAACAACAAGATGACGATGCTCCAACGACGGATGCAACCTCGTCCGAAGGATCGAACGGAATTCGACGCCAAGTTCGAGGCGTTGCCTGCCATGGAGAAGATAACCAGCACGGGGCTGACAAACTTAATCGGAGAGAGGCGAAAGCCTACTGCTCCGAAGACGAGAAGTATGGCGGCCGAGCCCAAGGGACTTTTGGGCATTATGGCCCTACATGTCACGTCGTGGGATTGGCTCCACCCCTCGCTCAAAAATAGTGCGAGGGACATAGCGCCAATGGGAGAGGCTATTACCTTGGAGCGTCTCTACGCTGACAGTTATCGACCTGAGTTGTTGAGCGATGTGAGTATTGGTGCGCTTAGGAGGATGTTAGAGATCTGTCTGGAAGGCAAGGCGAAGAAGCAGCAGACGTACGTTAACGCCAGGCTTGTCACTGACAAGAAGTGGAAATGGTGGGATGGGATCGTACTCGACGACAGCCAAGCAGACCCGACGAAGGTGACGAAAGCGATCCAGGAGACGTTCGCCGTCAACGTCCAGCAAACACAGCAGAGGCTTGCTCTCGAGACGGCTGATAGGGACGCCATCACCAAAGCTGTCTCCTACATATCTAACATGGCGTGTGCGAGAGCTGGAGAAAGCTCACACAGTCTGATGTCAGCTGATGTTGCGAAGCCACTGGCTCTACTTGTTGCGGTGAGTCTTTACATCTATACAGTTACACTAAATTCCGCGATGTCGACAGTAGCCATAGCGGACATATGCATGTCTGACGGTACACAATTTTACATATAGCACGTACGCATATGTTACGCGATGGCTACTGTAGCCATCGCGGACTTGTGCATGATTGTCTATATGTAAAATTTGTATATGCTCGCACGTATATGCTCCGCTATGGCTACTGTAGCCATCGCGGAATTGTGCACAATTAATAGTATGTGATACTTACTACCGATTTAATCACAGGGTCTACAATTAAACAGCGCACGTCTGCGTCTGCGTCATCTCGCGGGAAACAATGAAGCCTTGTTCAACTGTGAGGGCGATATCATTGACCTGCAGATCGCAGTCATCGATGGCGTAGAAGATGACAATACCTTGGTGAGTATCTCCCCTTCACTCCTGTGTTTGTACGACTCATTGTGTATTGCTTCACAGGGCTTACCTGAAGAGTCAAGTGTACCAGACAGGCCCACACCAGCGACTGTAACGAAGATCCCATCAAAGATCAAGGTCGCAGGAACAGCCAAAGGTCGAGCTAAGGGCAAGGGAAAACAGAAGGCTGTCACGCCTGTATCAGACGATGACGATGACCCCATTAGCCCACCCTACGAACCCTCGATTTCTGAGTCTGACAACATCGTCACCTCGCCCGAACCACCTCCCAAGCAGCCTGCAAAAGGCAAGGCTGCTGTGAAGGCACGTCAGGTTTCACGCAAACAACGCCAGGCTTCCCCTCCCATTATCCTTGCCCATGCCAGCGACCACGACAACGACCTTGGCCCGGTTTCTACGCCCGCCATCGACAACAACACTGTCGATCATGACACTATGCAATCTTCTGCCGTGCCTCATGTCTCACCAACTGTCGTTGACTCTGCCACCGTTGTCCCTGGTACAACTATATCGATCAACATCAAGGATCTTCCATTCACTCTTGTTCCAGATCCTACACCTACATCTTCCGCGATAGCTACTGTCGCCATCGCGGAATCTTACAGTACTCAAGGTATGTTCTTTCACCTTCATTCTTGACTATATTGTACTACTTCTTTTCTATCGTCTCTACAGACATCTTGGCTGGAACCTTGCCCCAACTTACTCCCTCGCCCTCTGAATTGACTGGGGGTGAATCTGGTGATTGGGGAACCGGAGATACGGACTGGTACTTAAAGGAGACTTATAGGGTCAAAACAGAAATAGGTTTCAAACTTGTAAAAAAATATCTTTTGGTGGGCTGGTACATATCATGGAGGGTACTTCTGGGATGGATATGAGCCAACAATTAAGAAAAACGGCGGTTCGGTTGTGGAGATATGTCCAAAATACTTATAGGGTCAAAACAGAAATAGGTTTCAAACTTGTAAAAAAATATCTTTTGGTGGGCTGGTACATATCATGGAGGGTACTTCTGGGATGGATATGAGCCAACAATTAAGAAAAATCGGCGGTTCGGTTGTGGAGATATGTCCAAAATACTGATATTTGAGCCTACCTCCCATATCACATGAATGCCGACCTCCGGAGGGTCTGGGACCATTCCCAATCGATTCAGAGGCCTCAAATACCCTAGGAGAGATGTTTTCAGTATCGGTATTGAGGCAGAACACCGGGATAGTGACATATAGGAGGTCAGGAGGAGGGGGAGGACCCTGTATATCTCAGGAACACGATTTTTCCAGGCAATTCTGGCATGACCATCGTGTTTCAGAGGGCTCAATAACCCCCAGGAAAAATGCTTCTGAAGGACAGGCTAGTCATATGAAGTCTAGAAAAATCGATCTTTGGGTGGGGGAGCATGGCCTTGGTGGCCAACTTTGGAAGATGATTTTTAGAGCAAAATCCGGCTCGACCAACGTCTTCAGATGGTCAAATAACCTCAAGAACGAGTCCTAGCTAAAGCCAAGCAAGCCATATGAAGGCTGAAAAAATCGATCTTTGGGTGGGGGGAGGATGACAGGGGCAGCCAACTTTGGAACATGATTTTTAGAGGGAAATCTGGCTCGACCAACGTGTTTGTATGGTCCAATAACCTCATAGAACGAGTCCTAGCTAAAGCAAAGCAAGCCATATGGAGGCTGAAAAAATCGATCTTTGGGTGGGGGAGCATGGCCTTGGTGGTCAACTTCGGAATTTGATTTTCTCATGCAAATCTGGCTCGACCATCCTTTTCAGAGTGTTCAATAACCTCGGAAACAAGTCCTACATCAACCCTTGCGAGTCATATGAAGGCTGTAAAAATCGATATGTGGGGGAGGCCTGCATGCCCTAGGGGGTCAACTCCAGCATTTGATTTCTTCGTGCAATTCTGGCTCGACCATCCTTTTCGGAGTGTTCAGTAACCTCGGAATCAAGTCCTACATGATGCCAGGCAAGTCACATGAAGGCTGTAAAAATCGATGTGTGGGGGGGCCAGCATGGCCTAGGGGGGTCAACTTCAGCATTTGATTTCTTTGTGCAATTCTGGCTCGACAATCCTTTTCGTAGTGTTCAATAACCTCGAAATCAAGTCCTACATGATGCCAGGCAAGTCACATGAAGGCTGTAAAAATCGATGTGTGGGGGGGCCAGCATGGCCTAGGGGGTCAACTTTGGAATTTGATTTTATTGTGCAATTATGGCTCGACAAATGTGTTCAGATGCTCCAATAACCTCTAGAAAGAGTCCTAGATACAGCCAAGCAAGCCGTATGAAGGCTGAAAAAATCAATCTTTGGGTGGGGGGGAGGGGCATGACAGGGGTTGTAGTCAAATTTGGAATATGATTTTAAGAGGGAAATCTGGCATGACCAACATGTTTGTATGGTCCAATAACCTCTAAAATGAGTCATGCCTGAAGTCAAGCAGGTCATATCAAGGCTGTTAAAATCGATGTGTGGGGGGCCAGCATGACCTGGGTGGTCAACTTTGAGAATTGATTTCTTCGTGCAAATCTGGCATGACCATGGTCTTTGTATTGCTCAATAACCTCAAAATCAAGTCCTACCTTATCCTCCCCAAGTCATATGAAGGCTGTAAAAATCGATCTTAGGAGAGTGTGGTGCTGCTGCTGCTTACATAAGCAAGAATGCGGTCCTCTCAGAGGGGGCCTGCTCACCACTCAATGCCACTGTGATGCACCAGCAAATAAATCTTGCTGATTTGTTTCCGAGGTTCAGAGTGTTAGATCCTGCCTGTATCTGCCTTATGAAACACCAAAATTGTGAATTGCAGAGGTGTTATGCAGAATTGCACAGCAGGGACCAAGCTGTTCACCTCTGATAGAGGTGGCCATCTTGTACATGTATATTTTCGCTTTTTTATGATCTTCTTGGCTTTGGTGCATTTCACACAACAAGACTTGTCCAAGTCCTGTGATTTGACTGACTTTTGCTTCTTGTCTGGTATTGACTTGCATGACAGGGGCAGCCAACTTTTGAACTTTATTTTAGAGCGAAATCTGGCAGAGTCCTTAGATTTGACCGATGTTCGCTTCTTGGCTGGCTTTGGCTTCATAAATGTCTCTCTTCATAACTCCATGAAAGCGAAAGTATAAGTAGAAGTTGGCCACCCAAATAGCCCTCAGAGCGAAAATGATGGTCACCTCTATCAGAGATGAATCCCACATGAAGGGGGGAAACCAGGACCTTGCTACCCAAATTGCCCCCCGAGCCAACAAGAAAGTGAAAAGGTAAAAAAAGCGAAATTCCTGGCCACCTCTATCAGAGCTGTTTCCCCCATGAAAGGAGGGACCAAGATCTTGCTACCCAAATACCCCTCAGAGCGAAAATCTTGGCCACCTCTATCAGAGCCCATGAATGGGAAAAGCCCTTAGATTTGACTGACTTTCGCTTCTTGGCTGGCAAAACCTGGACCTTGCCACCCAAATAGCCCTCAGAGCGAACTTGGGGCGAGGAAATAGGAATGTGAACTCTGGGGGGTCACAAGGATATATCCCTCGAGAGGTGTGCTAGTAGTATCATCCTTGAGGGATGCTACTGAGGCAAATCTCTTCAAGTATGAGGAGGATCAGGGACTAGCTAGACACCGAAGATATGCGAAGACGTGCAAAAATTGTGATGGGGTCATGAAGAAGGAGGTTCAAGAAGTCAAAGCCAGAAAAGGAGGATCACAACATTCTTCCGAGTCGTTTGGGTGAAGGGATGGTAGATGAACGCCTGAAAAAGGGTCGTACTCACCAGGTTAGGTGTGTATCAATTCGTCCCATGCCTCACTTTCTATCATTAACATTTGGCTAAGCCTTGGGGAAGAAGCACCGGACCAAGAAGAACAGACAGTGTACAGTCATTACTGGGATTTGGACTATCCTGCAACTATCTTCATTTTCAAATATACTACAGTTGGGTAGGTCATGGTATTTTCTATGTGTCCCCACTCATGCCAACTCCCGACCCCGCCTGATACAACCCTCAACCCAAGCGACTTTTTCTTGACCTTGCTTGCATCATTGCAACAACATCAATGACATTGTCATTACATTATGGCAAGGGACACTTACAAAGGCAAAGCCAGCCAAGAAGCCAAAGTCAGTCAAATCTAAGACTCGGACAACCTTTCTGTGTGCGATGGCAAGATAAGTGTACCAAAGCAGTGTCCTGGAGCTTCTTCTAACACTATAGCTACATTTCAGATGACGAGTCAATGGTCAATCCTCATGCAGACTAAATCAGTCAAATCATAATGAAGCTTGGGTGAAGGGATGGTAGATGAACGCTTGAAAAAGGGTCGTACTCACCAACATATGAAAGACATCAGTTTTGGTGAGGAAATAGGAATGTGAACTCTGGAGAGCCACAAGGATATAGACCTTGATAGGCGAGCTAGTGAATCTGAAGCGAAAATCCTGGTCACCTCTATCAGAGATGAATCCCCCATGAAGGGGGGAAACCAGGATCAACTTTCTTTGACTTCCTAGCTGGCCTTCACTCCGCAGGTGTCCCTCTTCATAAGGTCATTATAGGTTTACTACACCATTTGCTCACAGGCTTTCTGAGATCAGAAATTTATGAAACCAAGGCCGGCCAAGAAGCAAAACCAGTCAAATCTAAGACTCGGACAACCTTTCTGTGTGTAAAGGAAAGGTATGAATATCAACTTTTATTGAGGGCCGACATGTGGCTGACTGTCATATGAATAAGTCGCCCTTGGGCAATGGATGGTACAATGGAACATGATTGTATCTCTGACGGAACCATGGGAAGAAAGTTAATGTTCAAGGACATTGAATTCACTGGTTAGTTTGTAAAGCGGTGTCCGGAGCTTCTTCTAACACTATAGCTACATTTCAGATGACGAGTCAATGGTCAATCCTCATGCAGACTAAATCAGTCAAATGATAATGAAGCTGCCAAGAGGGAGGTTCAAGAAGTCAAAGCCAGAAGATGACCATGGCAATATTCCTCGGAGTCGTTTGGGTGAAGGGATGGTAGATGAACGCTTGAAAAAGGGTTGTACTCACCAGATTAGGTGTGTATCAATTTGTCCCTTGACTCACTTTAGGTTTGACATCAAAGCGGGAGGTCACCTCTAATTCCATGATACACATGGCACCCGAAGAAGACTTGTTACTATGCCCATCCACCGAGATTTGTGAAGTTGACACCCATGGGTTTACTACACCGGGCCAACATGTGGCCGACTGTCATATGAATGAGTTGCTCTTGAGCAATTGATGGATAGACTGCATGAACCTGACAATGAATCAGACACTGATATGCCATAATGCTCTGATTATCTGTACCCTATGCCAAGCAACAGCCACATCGCTCCACAGAACACCAATATGTTCGCCTTCACTGACCATCAGCCCTCAGCGACATGCAGCCCTCAGCCCATGGAAACCCTTTTCCAAATTCAATCCCCATCTAATCATGCCCTGTGCCCAATACGACCTCAACCCAGGCGGCTGAGCATCAGTCACCAATCCAATGCAAAACCCTCAGCCCAGTGAAGCCCTCTACCCAATCCAACCCCAGCCCAGCAAAGCCCTCTATCCAATCTGACCCTCGGCCCAGTGTAACCCTCTGCCCAATCCAACCCTCAACCCAGGCAACTATTTATTGACCTTGTTTGCACCATTACAACAGCATCTGTCGAATCCTGATGGAATTATGAATAGGGTCACTTACAAGGCCAAAGCCAGCCAAGAAGCGAAAGGCAGTCAAGTCTAAAACTCAGACAGCCTTTGTTCACACACAAAGGTTGTCCCAGTCTTAGATTTGACTGACTTTTGTTTCTTGGATGCCTTTGCCTTTTTAAA